TTTTGACACACACACACACACACACACACACACACACACACGAAAACGTATGGGGCTGTTGTTATGGTGTATTGGACGTTATGGAGGTGAGGATCGAGCGACTGGGTGGACTTGGCGGGGGCTGTGATATCGAGCTCCGAGCTGATGTGGGCTTGAGCTCTTCTCAGGCTAAGGGCTGTTTCAGAGGCTCCTGTTTCGACGTTTATTGTATGAATGCCGAACCTGTAGCTCCTCATGAATAATCTTCCCTTTTTTTTCTTTGAATTTGTGCTCTCCCTTTTACTCGTCGACTCCGACACCAACATGGTTTTGATTTACATGTCAATTCAAGGTCGGCGGCCTTGTGGCAAGATCTATACATGTCAACCGGTGGCATGGGCACGGCAAAACGGCTTGCTTTTTCCTCCTACTCTCTGCAAAGGGGCGAAAAAAGCATAAAATCTAGTAAAATGTTGTGCTTCATAATAAATTTTTAGTGTGCTTGGATGATTTAGCTCTAGATTTACTAGTCTATTCACTCGACAACTCGACTTGCGCAGCAAGTCTTGGCACACATCACCCCCCGCGGCTACAAGCCGCTTCGGCAGCACGCGCAGCATGCTGCTCAATGCGCAAAAGGTCGTATTCGATACGCCAACTTTTGTTACACGCGCCGAGACTCCGCGGTGCTTGGTTCCGGGCGCCCCAAAGCGTCACTTGCTTGTCGCTACCGATCGAGGCGACACCAATCATATGCATCAATACAAGTGGCATGCCTGCACGCTTGACATGAATCGTCTACTGTAATCGCAGTCAGCGACACGACCACCAGCACTGCAAATGTACCCACACACCATGGACACCATGAGATGAGCTAAGGTCGTTTGTCGGACGTGCCGCGAGAACTGCACAAAACAACATACCAAGCGTCACCACAAAGGTGACAAGGAGAAACAGCAGCGCATAGCGCGCTCGACGGGTCTGAAAAGCACGCCGCGACGGATCCACTACAGCCAGCTTGGCGCTGAGCGTGTCTTCGCTGCGACAGTGAAAGTAAAGGCCTGCCGCGGCACCACCAAAAAAGCCGCCCAGCTACATGCAACAAAAAAGCCAGAGCGGGTAAGCAAAAAAAACAAAAAAACAACAACATAAAAGTTGTATATGTCAATTATCACAGGCGGAATGCTGGGACGTACCAGATACCACCAGGAGGCACCCGGAAAGAGGGCCAGGATGACGGATGTAACCAAAACCATGCTGCACGTCCACAGCACGAGCCGCCGGCGAGCCCCCTGAACTTCGTCTGCCACAACCACGCCGACATTGGTCGCCATGAGACCAGCCACTAGAGCGGCAGGACCCGTTGTAATCCACGGGGCCGTGGCCACCGCTGCCACGGCTGTACCGCAGCTGGTGGCACATACAGCCAGCACCACCATGGCCCAGGCGCCGTGCGCGTGCTCAAAAGGGACACCCATGAGGGCAAGGCAGATGATGTCGTGAATCAGAGCAATGACGCCTCGGCTCACCAGCACCGGGCTCACCAGCAACTGCAACTGTCCCTCTCGCAAGCTGTGCGGGTCACAGGCGCCGTAATCGCGCAGGGTTTTCATCGAAGCTCCTATTAAAGGATTCTCTTGCAGGGTCGCAGTGCCCTCATCCGAGCCAAGGGACGCAAGCCACAGAGCCAGGTTGGTGACACAAAGGAGCACGGTCATGTAGGGGACACCTCCACCGCAATATATCGAGCCCAACCAGCCCGAATCGCTGTAATCGTCATCGTCGCTCATCCCATCGCGATCTGGCATGTCGGGGTTGGCATGCTCCCGTTGCGAGGGGTGGCTTTCACGGCGCTGCTGCCCACGGGCAGGCATTGACGGCAGCTGCGTGGGCCAGTTTTCCCAGGCCAAGCCCAGCCGACAAGAGGCTTGCAAGCGGGGCGCATGTTGTGTCATGGGTTCAACGCAGGCAAGTGGAAACCAACCGCTCTCCGGACGCACGCTACGGGTGGTGCCAAAGGCCCAGTCCTCGGTCACAACCTCAGCATCGAGCAAAGTTCCGGGTACCAGGGTCAAATCATCGGGGAACTCGCTTGTACGGGCACGCACAACCATCATGGCTTCATCGTTGGGTGGTTGCTGCACGGCCTCTTCCAGAAATTGGGCCCGGGATTTGATGGGCGGCGCCAGGCGCGAGTCATTGGCGGGAACTCGGACTATGTGCAGGGAGTAGCTCACGCGCACTTGCATAAGCGCATCCGGCTCCGTCCCTTCTGTCTCGGTCGTCGGCCCACCAAGGTCAGCATCTGGGGTGACCAGATCTGGGGCTGTACGAACGGTAGTTGGTGGTTGGGAAAAAACTTCGAGGACCACCACCTGAGCGGTGGTGGCGTGCGCGACGGTAACGGGTTGCTGTGGGGGCTCGCCATTGATCAAAACGCGACCGTTGTATGCACCGGCGTCAAAGTATAGCTGGTCGGCTGAGTCTGGCACATAGAGAGTGTACATATGGCCAAAGGGCGAGAATTCGGGGTCCAGCCGACCTTGATGGGGCACCACGTACTGCAAGAGACCCTGAAGGTAGGTGCCACCCCGCTTTGACACGTGTGGACTGCTGGCATCAGCAAGGTCTAGGGAAGCATGTTCGCTCTGGTCATCGCGGTAGGAGAGCTGGGTTACAATGGTTGTGTGGCTCGAGTTGAAAAGGCCGAGGCGACTGTGGCGTGTTGCGGTTGTGGGGCTCTTGATCAGGTTCACGTGGCTGGGGGTGATGGTGTCTCGCAAGGGGCTTTGAGGCGCAGACTCTGCCCAAAACACGGATGAGGCACCGGGAGAGGCATTTGTAGTCTCTTCCAAAGTAAGCATGCGCGACTGACGCCTGGGCGAGAGCTGCAGTGGCGGTAAGGGTCCCACCCGCCCAGAGCGATTCATGCTGCCTCTATGTGGCCGGGCTCGCTCTCAACGCCGACTCGCTGCGGCCCAGCAGCCAGGCACGCGTGCATGAATTGTTGAGCTTCTAGCTCACAACCGGCTCATAACCCTGCGATCCATGGAATGAAGAAACTTCACGTGGCTCAGCACGCTTGATGCAGAAGAGGGGCAGTGAAAAGCAACGGCGGCAAACGGCTACACGGGGTGCCCAACCCTTTTTTGGGGGGGCGGGGAGCATCGGCGAGCCAAATGCGCAGCTCAAACATGTGTCCGGCAGACGGAAACCAAGAGGGGGCGGGGTGTCCTCTCATTTGTTGACACACACACACACACACACACATGTCATCTTTCTTTCTTTCATCTTTTTTTTTTTTTTTTTTCTTATTGGGGTGTGTGTGCGAAGAGTGAGTGAATGCTCGTTCACGTCGAAAGTTGCAGCATGATGGTGTTGATGCCATGTGAATTGCGTGTAACGATGACACAGGGTCGGCTCGTCGAGCAGGTGAGGAGAAAAGACAAACAACATCAAGTGGAGGGTCGCATCAATGACATGCGCATGGCTGGGGCAGTTGGACAATCAAAGGTCAACGTTTGTACGGGGCTGGGGGCCGTGAAACGGCGGCAAGACAAAATTGCACAAAGGCAGAAAGGGGAACACACAAAGGGTCACAGATGACACAGGCATCCTTTCGGATGTACGTACAAAAAGGGCCAGAGCCCCACGGATAGAAACATGTTACAAATCAGAAGCCGTTTCCATGCCGGCCACCGCAGAGGCAGTCACGGGGTGGACCACTTCATCCACCACCACGGGCTTGATCAGCTCTGTGAGGACGGCCGTCGAGCCCTTGGGGTATTTGTACTCGTTCAGGCGCTCACCCTTGACGTTGGCAATCTCGTGGGGCCGAATGTAGTCCACCTCACCCTTCTTGATCACACACAAGTCGACGTTGCTGCCCGAGCCCTGTACCGTGCGGCCACAGGAGCAACGCGTTGGAGATGCCACAATCAGGAACAACGCACGCTCATCGAATATCAAAGCCTCGCAATTGCCAATGCATATGAATATGGCGTGCCACACATACCAGATCATTAAAGATACCCGCAGCAATGGCATCGCGCACAAGCTTCTTCGCCTCCTCCTCCTAACAGCAGGTTGGCCCGAGGGGCAGGGGTGGTGGGCAACAAAGTCAAAGATTTATGCAGACGCTTTTGGGCTCGCTTCCTTCACTCTGCTACTCCCACTTACGCTCATGTCCTTGCGGAAACCGGCCTCAAAGACACCCATGGCGGCAAGGGAACCAGAGCCTATCAAAAAAGAAACCGTGTTAGCGTGGTTGTGCGACATGCGCGCGGAGATAAGCGTTTTGAACGACGATAAGATGCACATGTGGCGTCAGGCACGGGGCCAGACGCACCCATCGTGACGTAGGGAAGTTTGTCTGTACTGCCGTGGGGATGGATGCTGTACAGCACTGGGCCGTTGATGTCAACGCCACCCAGCACCAGGGCTGCCGACACGTGGCCTTGATACCTGTGCGTTCCCCGAGTCAAATCAAATTATGACAATTTGGTCAGATAGGATTGATACCGCAACGATAAAAAAAATCGAGGCTGCGCGGTTCTGACCTGAAAAGGTGCTGCTTCAGGACGCGCAGCGCCGTGATGGTTCGTGACTAAAGAAGCAATCCGCAAGGTAGTGAGAGGTTCAAGTCTTGACAAAAAAAGGGCGGGACAGGGGGGAGGCTTCGCGCGACGGCATCGCACCTCGCGGTCAGTCTGAAGACGGTGCAGCTCGAGCTGCGAGGCCACCACGTTGGTGACGCTCTCCGTGTCGGCAGCCGTACCGGCGCCACAGCAACTATGAGATGCGAATGAGCGGCTGGTGAGTGAGCCTCTTGATCGGGGCAAGGTAGCTCAGCGCCCAGCACCAAGGGCACCACAGCGCAAGTGGTCAGATCAATGCACACGCACTAGATGTTGGGAGCGATGTAGTGAATCTTGGAGCAGTTCTTGTCAGCAACAATGGAGCCCTGCGGGAAAGACGGTGCCATGACAGCGCCGAGCGTGAGTCAACGGTGTTGGGATTGTGCACCCAGGCAATCACGGTCCCAGCAAACCCTGGGTATGTATGCCTCACGTACCGCCGTGGCGCGGGTATCAGCGCCAAGAACAACGCCATCCTGATGGTAGCCAAGCAGATAGACACGGACAGATCATGCCGCCATAATACATGAGACAACGGCCACGCAAGCCCTCTTGGCCCTTGGCGCTGTGCTTAAGCCAGCCCTTTTTGATTGAAGCCAGGGTACCGCGCTGCAGTAACAAAAAGGAGCCACATGCGTCGGTGGGCAAGAACGTTGGGACGGCACATTCTTGATCAACTGACCTTGTAGATGACACCGCAAATAGTGGTACCGGTCTTGGTAAACTTGGGCAAGGCGTAGCCGGCAGCGCCAAGGTGCTGGTTGCTGCACGGGGAGATTCAAGTGAGGGCAAGCCATGTGGTTTCGAATACGGCGAGGCAAAGCGAGGCTGGGTTTTCAAAGGCTGCCGCCGCGCCATTGCCGGACGCACCGCTCAACATTGTCAAAGGTGAAGCCGGGAAGGCTCGGGGCCACAAGTTCCTGGGCCATTTTGCTGGACAAAAAGGGAGCGTCGGAACTGAGGCACTGGTGCACTGAGCTACTAATGTTGTTCTACTCATGTCATGACACCAGGAACAGCCAGTGGGATGTCCAGGGTCAGTTCAGCAAAAGCGCCCGCGCGTGAGGTCACTGGCTCACACACAAGTGCAGCGAGCACGTCACGCCGCGCTCATTCCCACCCTGGGCGGCAGTGACCACCTCACACCAGCAAAAACAGCCATGTGACAACCGTGCGAGCCCTCTTTCTGTTTATTTTCGAATGCTTTCATTCACACACAGGCACTGGCCAAACGGACGCTGCCGTTTCCTGGCCGGCCGAGCCAGCGCCACCTCACTTACACAGAGAGAAAGAGAGAGAGAGAGAGAGAGAGAGAGAGAGAGAGAGAGAGAGAGAGAGAGAGAGAGAGAGAGAGAGAGAGAGAGAGCGAGTTGTGTTGATTCTTTTGTTGCTTTGAGTTCTTTTGTTACAAACCTGAACTGGGGAACCAGCTGTCAGTAAATGGCTTACACTTGGTAACATCGGCCGCTTGCTGTTCCGTCAAAGATTGAGATGATGAAGACAGCGAGGGAGATAATGAAGACTTTATGAGAAAGTCAACTCTATACAAGGTTAAACTAAGGAGAGAAGATGAAGAAGAACAAGCAGATTATGAGTCAAAACCAACAACAGTGCTTGATACACCCGAGCCAAAACTTCATTTTACAGAGGTGGAGCTGTCATCTCCAATGTGAACCCCTCTCACTGTCCGCAGTCTTGAAAGTTACAAAGAACTCTCCTGTGTGTGTGTGTGTGTGTGTGTGTGTGTGTGTGTGTGTGTGTGAGAGCGCTCCTCCATATCGCTCATCGGCAGCGCGCCGCGCAGACGAGAGAGAGTGCGTGCGTGCGTGTGTGTGTGCGCGTGGCCAACATGGTGGGCGGCCCGGCACGCGCACACAGCCTTTTGCTGGGTGAGCCCTTGTCTGGTGTGTTGGCCAGCGTGGTCGAGCAGGGTCGCCCCTTGGCCCGCGAATGCGAAGCACTGCCCGAAAACAACGAACATCGCGCCAACCCGCGGCTGCTTTGCCTGCGCAAGGGCAACCACAGCTTTCACATGACCCTGCAAGATACACGCCCAGTCAGCATTGCCACTGTGGAAAATCTGGGAGCTGCCCAGGTCGCTGGTGCTCGATCAGGAGACCAGTGCCTTGCCATCAACGGCCATCACATCATCCATGTCAACGTCGCTGCCGTTCAATCCCTGTTGCGCTCACACGGTGCCGATCATGTCAAGCTCCTCGTGCTCCAGCCCAGTGCACGCAAGCCCTTTGCTCGGCAGCGCGTACGCTTCGAGCCAGGCCCGACCATTGATGCACTGGGATTTGATTGCAGCGCCGATGCGACCGGTGCTCCCATCCAGGTCGATGCCAGTATCACGGGGAGTGGCGAGGATGATGCCTTTACTGACGTGCACGACAGCCCATCTGTTGAGCCTGCACAACCAACAGGCAAAGTCCCAGAGGAAGAACACGCTTCCGTCGGGCGCTCCCCAGATGATGCGGCACGGCAGTACACGTCCAAACCCACCAATCTCATCCAGGAGCGTCACAACACCCGGCCACAATGGTTGGACCTCCTTGAAGACTACAATGCCAAGGCCCGCGAGGATGTCTTTATTGTGCAAATCGGCCCCGATGACCGTATTGCCGATCCAGAATGGAACGCTTGGCTGTCTCCGCTCTGGTTCCTGCCCAAAATGGACAACGTCTGGGTGCGTCTTCACAGGCTTGTTCTTCTTCGTATCCTGGTTCCTCTCCCCTTGTTTGGAGCGCCCGCACAATCGTGGAGCTGCTACTCACGGGTAGCGTCTTTTCGCTTTTGTTCTGTAGCAAGCCTTGCTGGGCGGCTGTCCCCACGATTTGCGGCGACAAGTGTGGCTGCGTGCCACGCGTGCCCCTCTTCTGCGGCAGGAATGTCCTCTGCGCTACGACGAGCTTGTGGCCTGTGGAGGATTTGAGCTCGAGACGACCGAGTCGCTCGTCCAGGTGCTTGTCCCATCCTCTCCAATGGCTCGCTTTCTGACATGCATCTAGCATTGTCCATGTCTGCATTGTAGCCATGGGGGACATCCTTTTCTCACTTCATCTCGTTCGGGGACCTCACCAGATGCGCAAAGATCTTTTGCGCACCTTCCCTGATAATATTCTTTTCCAATCGCTCGAGTCCGAGGCCGTGGCCCGGTCAGTACTCGCTTATCCACCTCAAGCCCAAAATTTTATTTCTTGTCCCTCACAACTGATGAACCCTCTCTCGTTCGCTTCTCACCCCAATTCGCGACACCACCAATGCAGCCTGCGGCGGATTTTGACGGCCACGGCCTGGTACCGTCCAGACATCGGCTATTGTCAAGGGCTGGGCATGCTTGTCGGCTGGGCCACATTAATCATGGAGGAAGAAGAGGCCTTTTGGTTTATACAGGCCTTGCTCCGCGAGCACGTCAGTGATGACTACTATGGCTCCACGTTGCTAGGCGCCATGGCGGATCAACAGGTTCTTCGGTAGGTTAACTCAGAGCCGTGTTGGCTACTGAGACTTTGACAGGCATTTCAGGTTCTTTTTGTCTCATGGACCAGTTTTTTTATCGTTTGTTTGGAACAGGGAACTTGTGCGATTGCATTTACCCAGGGTACATGACATTCTGGAGGAATACAGTATTGAGCTGTCCCTCATTACCCTGAATTGGTTTATTACCATCTTTGCCGGAGTTGCCCCCACGCATTTTACGCTCCGCATTTGGGACTGCTACGTCTTTGATGGTCGTCTCAGTCTGTTCAAGGTTGGATGCATTTCACGCACCATGGAAGAATAAGAGCATCGTTGGATGCACTGCCTCGCCATTGTTGTGTCCAGGTCTCACTGTCTGCGCCACACACACACACGCTTGCAGATAAGCCTTGCGCTGTTGACGTTGGCTGAATCGCGCCTGACTCAGGCCGAAGATACGGCTGCCGTTCTCAACGCCATTTCAGAAGCCCCCAATATGGCCCACTCGCCCGACGAAATCATCAAACTCAGGTCAGTACCGACTGTGCAGCCAATTTTTGGGGCCTCTGTCGGAGGCCCCCTTTGTTCCCAGCCAACCGCTTATTTTCTTGGTGTCAAATCTTCTGCGGCGTTGGACAGCTATGCCTTTCAGTTCATCGAAGAGGATTTGCAACAGCTGGTGGACGATGCGCGCCAGCAGTTGCGCGTGCACTTCGATGATTATAAGCGCCGGCTTTTGGCCCGACGCGCCGAACAGGACACGCCCGCCACCAAACGGGTAAGTTAGAATGGAAAGTTCCAAGTTCTTCCTGAGACTAGATCGAGCCTGGAACTCTAGGCGAGCTGGGGCAACGTTTTCATCCTCATTGATGCTTGGCCCACTTTCCTACTTTGTCTGTGCCTCTTAGGCGTCAGCTTGGAACTGGTTCAGCCGTTGTAAGTCGTGGCACATGCGGCACCATATCATCGATTTGACTGGCCTGCCTGGGTAGTAACTCACTTTGTGCTGCGCACAATATAGCGGCACAACGCGACGACCGGCTGATCAAGTCAGCCGATGCCATTTTGCACAAGCTAGGTGAAACAATGCAGGAACTGCTCGTTGAGGGCCGCAAGCCCACACGAGCCGATCTCAATGAAGCTGCTGATCGGTGCGTTGAGTTGTCATGCTCCAAGTGTCGTGTACTCCAGCGTGGCTCCCGCACGTGCTCACCATCGTCCGCGGTACCATCGGATTACCGAATCGACTCTGCTGACAATCATTAGCCTGGCCGACTGCCTTGAGGTTCTACTTCTACACGGGCTGCAGTTTACGGCCTTGCCATTGACGCCCAGCTTGACCAAGAGTGAGCAAGATGTGTGGCTAGTGTGCGAGGCAGTGAGCGAGCTATTGCGCCTTGACGAGCTGGAGCTGGAGGGGTGTGTTTCAGATCCCTCTCCCAGGCGCTCATGCTGTTGTGTGTGCTCGTCACCTTCATTCCCTGATTTCCTGATTTGACCTTAACACCTTGCCCGCTCGTCTGTCAAATTTGATCATCCGGCAGGGAGCCGGGCTTGTGTGAGACAACGGAAGTTCGCAACGCTGAGACCGCCTTGTGCAGCTTGGTTCAAACACTGAACCAACAGGCTGAGAACGAGCCCCAACCACGGGTATGATGCATGCCAAGCTGGTTGAGCGCCCCCTTCAAAACGCCTTGCCGCTTCACGTCTTCACCCATCATGTTGCTTGGGCTTGGTAATAATAGCGGGCCCGCTTTCGCCAGCTGGTGCGCTCCGGATTGAGTGGGGGTCAACTGCATGCGTGGATGATGGTCTTGGCCAGCGCTGCCGACAGCAGCAAAGTGCAGCGGGCCTACCATCGACGCAGTGCACTCCGACAAGATGGCATCAAGGTGTGTTGTTTGACGCCCAAAGTACTTGGGATTGATTTCTGTGTGGGGACAACGCTACGCACACAAACACACTCGTTCTGTCACAAAACACGAGAACATTCAAACACGCCTATGAGCCCCAAGCAGACGTGCACGCACAAACTGCCTTTGTACATCCATCTGATCTGGTGATGCTGGGGGTTATGCCGGATTGAGCAGGTGGTGATTCAGCTACAACCGCTTCGCAACACGGCTTTTGTCACGGGCACATTGCGCCAGCGTCCTTCCGAAACCGAAGCAGTCGAGGAGGTGCCTGCAACACAAGAGGCACAGCGGCCCGCAAGCACCGAGCCAAATGCCGGTCCTGCCGAGGGGCCGGGGGCCGAGTCTCCAATCCATGATCACGAGTAGCTATGGGCGTCCACGCAGCAACATTGGACGGTTATAGTGCCAGTGAGTGCGGGATTTAGGTGCGAGTGTTTAAATTCATCCATGTATCCATAAGATGAGTGGACAAGTGGGCAATCATACCGCAGGCCCAGACCAAATCCGATGCCAAAGCCCGTGAATGAGGCAGGGAGCTGATATGTCATGACCTTCTCCAGCTACGTCAATGGAGCCAAGGGAGTGAGATGATGCAACAGGACAGCCAGCTGTCTGCAATAAGCTCATTTTGCTATCTGGTGTTGAGCGATGCTGAGCCCCACCTGCTGCTGCCAAAACTCGGGGTCAATCTTGCCATCACCGTCCTTGTCAAAGATCGACTTGATCTTCGCCTCAATCCTGTCCCTGCACATTAGGTAAGGTTGGCACCATGGTCAGTATTGCCAGGCAGCATACCAAGACAATGGGTGAAGATGGATGGCGGCGAGGCGAAAGAAGTACAGGCACGTAGTAACCTACCAATGCACTGTGATAAAGCCATTGTAGGCTTCAGGGGAGGGCACGCAACGAGTGGGCGTTTGACATGAGATGGTGGTGGGGCAGAACACGAGCCAGCCCAGCACCAGCACCGGGTATATACGCGTACCTAAAAGCTGCAGGGTCAAAAAGGCCACGCCTACAGCACTGGCAGCAGCCTTGCTGACCTTTTTTACAGCCATGCCAGCGCACTACGGCCCGCACGCGTTGAGGTTGAGGTGAGGAAGCATGTGCGAGGCCTCCTGCCCTGGGTGTACAGCGGAATGGATCAGGACACTCACATAGCCCGAGACGCCACCGACAGAGAGATTGGTCATGACTGGACCTGCGGCGTTGGTTGAAAAAAAAAAAAAAAAAACACAAGAAGCAGTCGGTGCACGGCATGGAGGGATTGCGTCAACGATTGCAGGCACATGTCCCGATAAGCTGGACGAGCCTTGTCAAATGGTGGGCACAGTTTCACTCACCAGCCATGGCGCGCAGGGCCAAGCTGAGGTTCTGATGCTCCTGATCATGGTGCTCCACTCCCTTGGTTTCGACGGTGGCATCCACACGCTCCTCTGTTTGGGTTTGACTCATGACAACGGTTCTTGTTCTGCGCCTTGGCAGGTCCTGTCGATGCGCCGAGCAAGAAGCAGGCAACATTCACAAAGTGAGCGAACACCGAGCTCCACAGCACCGCCGCTCCCTCCTATGCCCCATATTTTCCGCCTCACTCAAAACACCCCGCCTCCAGCCACCAGACCCCCACGGAGCCAGGAGGTTAAGCTCCAAACACCAGCGGTGCCAGCCGATTCGCAAATTCGCACAGCACACGGGCCAATGGCAGCAGAGTCGAGCTTCACGCACGGGCAACACCAGTGGCCAATTCAAAATGACATACCCCCTCTTATCTAATAATATCTGACAACAGCGAGTCGTGGCATTTTCACTTCACTCTGAGAGAGAGAGAGAGAGAGAGAGAGAGAGAGAGAGAGAGAGAGAGAGAGAGAGAGAGAGAGAGAGAGAGAGAGAGAGAGAGAGAGAGAGAGAGAGAGAGAGAGAGAGAGAGAGAGAGAGAGAGAGAGAGAGAGAGAGAGACACAGAGAGAGAGACAGACACAGAGAGAGACAGAGACAGAGAGACAGAGAGACAGAGAGACAGACACAGAGACAGAGAGACAGAGGTGCGAAACAGCAGTTAGTGCAGGGGGCGTCGGCGGTCACACGGACGACAGCGATCAGACCTAAATACGGAAAACGAATCAAGTGTACATTGACTGGATCCGGGCAGAGGCGGTCATTCGCGCACGGCTGCAGGGGCTGGGGCGCGTGCTTTATGGCTTGATTGCTGCTCGGTTCGTGGAGCTTCGGAAGCTACAAGAACCGTTGCTATGGCAGGGCGCTTGTCCCAGGCCCTGCCGGCGTTTTTCGAGCCACCAAGCCAGAGCCTCGAGGCTGTTCGGAAGGCCGCGCCGCGGTTTGCTTTTGTAAGCTGCTCATGCCCGTGCACGTTGACCATGTATTCAATCCTTGACGCGATCCGTGGTTGGACATTCATGCTCATCCCTTGACGCCACAGTTCGACGCTGGAGCCAAGGCGGGTGCGACTATCACTGTGTGGCAAGTCCGTCACCATGCCCTGCAGTTGCAAGCACCAGTGAGCGCTGGCATCTTCTACTCCCGCGGCGTCTACCTCGTGCACGTCAAGAGTCGCGTGCCTCGCGTAGCTATATGGTTTGGAGCCGATGCCGAACTGGAGGATATGCAGTATGCCGGTACGTGCTGCCTCAACCAGGTGACCCCCGATTGTGCTCTGCAAACTCCAAACGGGCACGCCACCTTGGTCGTGCGATACGGAGCTGGACGCATCTCAATGAGATTGCATGGAGGTTCTGGTCTCTCCCCTTTTGTTCTTGTCCCTCAGCATTCTCTCAGGCGCTCGTTGTGAAACATGCCCAATCTTCTTGCGTCAGGCATCTTCTGGAGTGACCTCATCGCCTGGTGTGAGCACACTGGTGAAACACCGGCACTGCATTTCGAGATTCAAGGCACCGAGTCGCCCCACTTTGTGAGCTTGTTTGGGCAGCTGCTTGTGTTGAATGGTCTTGATCCGGGTACTACGGGGCCCTCCACCAGCGACAAGGCGACCCCCTGCTTGGTCGCCGTACATATCCAGCGCAATGGGTCCAAGAACAGCCCACCTGTGGGCCGTGAGATTCCCGCGCAAGCAGCTCAAATGCACCAGAATGGCATCTTCATTCTCAACGTTGGGGATCGCCTTTGGGCGTGGCAAGGGCGCGACGTGCCGAACAAAGACAAACTTTTGGTAAGAGGGACCAGAAACTTTCTAGCGAATTTGACTTGCCTCACGAACGAGTGATTGCATGCCGCAAATGACAGGCCGAGCGGCTTTGCAAGCTCTTGGCACACCATCGCCGCACCCGCGGGGCACTCGAGTACATCACCGCAGGTGAGTAGGCTGTGATGTGCTGACATTCATATCCTGTGACGGGCTCGACCGTCATCTCGACCGTCATCTCGTCCGTAAACGGCGAGTCCATACTGTCTCACGAACAGCGAGACTGGCGGTAGGTCTGGAGCTTGCCACTTCGTTTTTTACGGCGCTTGGCGAGTCTGAGGATCAAGTGTCTGAGGCCGTTGCACCCGCAATCCCTCCAAGCGAGTTGTGGACGTGCCGTTTACCAGCGTCCATCGAGGCCTTGAACTTTGTGCAAGAGCAGGGTGCTGTCCTGCCGTTCACGTCTACAGTGCTGGGCCCTGGTCACATCGTGCTTGCCTGTGGGTATTCGAGATCCATTTCCTTCTGCGGGGCATGATGCCGTCCCACTGATTCACAATGCAAACTACGCCTCGAATAGTTGCGGACAATGCCATCGTGCTATGGCGTGGCAACCAGGCGCTGCCCGAGGTGGCTAGTAGTCGCCTCGTTCTGAAAGCCCTGCAATGGATGCAACAGCAAAACCAGTCCTTGCAAAGCCTGGCTTCGGTGGTCATCGTGGAGCAAAACGCTGTACCTGCGGTATGGCAAAGATCATAATTTGCCGAAAGTTGTGTATGCGAGCCTATTGCGTTCGACGCCCCTATTTTCTTGATTAATTTTTGCACCTGTCAAATGGTTCTCTCACTCGCTTGCCCGGCGTGCCTGTGCACCTGGTTTGCCTCCAGTCTGTGGCCCGCCTTTTCGCTGCTGGTCGGTCGCAACCCAAAATCAATTCGCGTCCTCGACCCGAGCCTGCAACGCTCACGCAAGTTCTTCTGCGCTCGCCTCTGCTCGACCCTTTCCGAGCACACTAACAAACGTTGAGATATCATGATCAGGTGTTCTCTCTTAACTCTGGTCTGCCTCGACCGGGTTATCATACTGTTAGGGCACAAGCCTTGTTAAAGCCCAACTTCCGACGGAGCGTGGGAACGACCGATGTGGCCACGGAATTGGAACAGCTGGCCAAACGTGCGGAGAGCAACGACGCGTATTTCAAAGATAGCCTGGCCCAGGGGACACCCAAGTTGGGTCGTAGGGTAAGACTATCTGAGCAGGTCCAATCAGGCGTTGCTGGAATGCAACTTTGGTATCGTGCCGGGCTCACTGACTATTCATCCTTTGAACCGTATATCGACGCGGCTTTTTTTTCTCCCTTGCCTCCAACAACTGCCATCCCGGGCCAACAGCTGTACAATCAGGTACAACTATCAAGAATGCTTTTTGCTTCTGACAGCAACTTGGCGTGTATACTCACCCAGGTCTCGATCACTGAACTTTAGCCATCGGCTGGAGCTTCTCCACAACCGGCCAAGCCATTGTTTGGTAAAACTTCGGCAATGACGCAGAACATTGTTGCTCCACCAGCTTTGACCCCGCGCACAGCGGAGGCATCGACGCCTAGGTCGGCCGGTGTCATTCAGGCCAACATCCACGAGAGCGATCACACCTACATGAACTTGCACAGCGTTACAGCTAAGCCAGCGGAGCACACATACGTCAATACGCCGGGTCAGGGTCAGCCTGATGCTAGCCTGGCAGTGACAGCAACGCAAACATCCTCTGCCGCTGCCGAGGAGATTGACGATGGTGTTTCCGTAGATCTAGTGTATGGCAATGCCGAGTCAGTCCCTTCGCCTTCTGCTGCTTACGAAGAAATGAGTTTGACAGCGGATAATACCTATGGGGAGGCTTTACCGCGCGAAACAGAGCCAGTTTACGGCAATGACACCACATCTGTCCGTTCTTCCATGCCTGCTTACGAGGACGTGAACGTTGAGGCAGAAGACGTCACTTATGGGGAGGCTTTGCCGCCGCCTCAAACAGAGCCAGTCTACGGCAGCGCAGACGCAACTGACGCACAGGATAACAGGGCTGTGACCAACGTTTACGGTGCCCCGGTATCGCCAGTCTCCACCGTCACCGACTCCAAAGATCCGACCGTTGTGGCAGCCACAGACGACAGTATGTACGAGCCAGTGGATGATCCGCGCTATGAGCAACCGGTGCTCACGTCAGATCAGCCACACTACGAGCCTTTACAGGCCGCCTCCTCCAGCAACAAAGCGGAGACTGAATCTGCCACGTCTGCAAATGCCTCAGATTACCCTTTTTTTCACCAACTGGATCGTGAGCAAGCCCTAGGTGAGTTTCTGCTTTTCTTCGAGAGATTGGTACAGAGGGCAACGTTTGATTCCGGAGGGTGCATCTGAACCCGTCTTGCTCATCCCGACCTCGTTGCTTTGCCACACGCGCGCGCCAGAAAAATTCAAGTCAAACATGCGGGATGGCACATTTTTATTTCGCCCATACAAGAAGGACATGGTGCTCAGCATTGTTCACCGTGGCAAGCTCACTCACCACCACGTGAGATGGTCTGTCGAGGGCAACGAATACTTTGTGAACAACCGGGCCACCAAAGCCTGCAGTCTCGCCGACCTCGAACAAATTTTGCCAACCATGAGCTGGTGGCCAGTCGCTTTTGTCAATGGCCTCCCGCGTGCATAGCTTGCTTTGTCACTGCAATTTTACACGCGCCTCTTGAGGTGCCGCGGAGCACGCACACAACCATGATGTGGCAAGAGAAGTGATAATCAATCAGTTGACACAAGTGTCATCATCCTTATGTCAATTCACATCGTGCTTCCAATCAGGGTGCCACAACAACTACTCCATCGCCTGACCATCAGAAGAGAGTCTTCATTGTATCTGCCATGCGGTCGACTCTTAGGCATTCAAACCATCCACCAGAGAGCGAATGCGTCGCTCAATGGGCTTGATCAGGGTCAAAGCAACGCCATGCTGAAACTTTTGTTCGACCAATAATTCCTATCCAACGGCCACGATTTGACGTCAGCGGCGGCTCAATACGAGACTCCAGAAAGACAGGCAGCCAACTGCCAGGAGACACACCTTTTCTCGTGCAACGAGCTTGGACAGCAAGCTATCGGCATTGGACCGCAAAGCCGACACCTTCTGTACCTCGTCCTGGAAGACTTTGAGTTCTTCGGTGGTCAAAGCATGCTTAGGGCCCCAAACACAAGGAATCAATAAGATTTGGGCATCATAGTAAGGCGATGCATCGGTCCGGGGGTCTTTGAGAAACTCAGGGGTAAAAAAAAACATACCGGTGCTGAGAGCGAAGGGTCCTCACGCATATCGCTCATATCAGAATTGTGATGAAGAGGTGCCCCCACAATCCCAGCTAATAAATGAGCCATTGGAGCAGAGCTGAAGTGAGCGTAGAGCGTGCCCACATTGCACGACAAACAGGCGCAACAAATAGCAGCAACAAATAGCAGAGTGGTGTTAGCAGGCGGCAATCTTTACCTTCCAGCGTTCGAATTTTTCGCTGAGGTTGGAACGTGGAAGTCTGCGTGACAAGGTAGGAAAGTGAGGGCGAGAAAAAGCAATCCGACCCAGACCGAGAGAAAGCAAAGACCGTATCTTGGCCGTTCAAGCTGCAAAGTTAAACGCTAGACCTACTTGATGGGCACGCTGACTGTTCAGATAAAAGTCGAGGTGACGCCATAGCATGTATAGAAGGCATTCGGTCGAGGACTGGGTGATGCGGACAATCTGCTCGCTGGTGTCCGCCTGCAAGTACAAGAGACGTGAGCTCGAAGAAAGGGGAAAGTAAAAAGAAAGAGAAAAAGGTACACCCGCCCCCACACACACAGACACACAGACACACAGACACACAGACACACAGACACACAGACACACAGACACACAGACACACAGACACACAGACACACAGACAGAGACACAGACAGAGACAGAGACAGAGACAGAGACAGAGACAGAGACCAGAGACAGAGACAGAGACAGAGACAGAGAGACAGAGACAGAGACAGAGACAGAGACAGAGACAGAGACAGAGACAATAGAGGAATGTCCAAGAAGAAAGCCTCACCATCAACTCAAGGGCTCGGGCCACCACTTGCTCGTTTTTGGCATCGTCCTCAGCCACACCAATCTGCGGAAACGGAACACCAAGGTAGGTAGCGTGATGGTGAACACAAAGTACCTCGACCAGTGCCTGCAAGCGGTACGTTGACTGATCCACATACCCGGCGTAACCGGTCTGGACCCAGCATGGAGATGGAGCCTTCGCTGGAGCGAGCATTGAGCTGCTCCTTCTTCGCATCCTATCCTCGCAAGGTGTGTTGAGCAGGCTGCAAGACGGCACACACACACGTACACAGGCACGCACGTATGCGCCAGCATCAACTGCTGCAGGATCCTACCTGCTGGGTGGCCAAAAGCTGCTTGAGCAGGCTCAAAGCCGATCCACACGTGATTTCGTCAGCCACGTCTTCCACAAAGGAGGGTTTGATAAAGACCCGGGCTGCCAAGGCCACGTGGACACGCTTGCCCACTGCGGGAGCAGCAGTGAGTTCGTCAGGCGTCCATAGGTGGGCGCTACGCTTGTTGTGCCACGGCATTGGTGAGCCAAAAGACGCACTCACCTTCTACGTCACGATCAAGTGACTGGCGCAGGAAGCAGAGAATGTTGAACAAAGTATTCTGGACCAGCACCATAATCTCGTTCTGCTCAAACGCTTCTCTGGAGTTGTAATGAATGGCTGCTTTCCAGCTGAGTTATCATAAGAGCAATAATTCAAGAGCAACAAAGTGAGAACAGAGGTCGGAGGGGACAACAATCAAAATGAAATACCATTGTTCTTTCTTTCTTTCTCTTTTTTTTTTCAACACATCTCAAGGACATGTGCACAAGTGCGAAGAGCTCAATGATGCAAGTCACGTACTCGGCACGCATGAGATAGGCCAAAAGTGGAATGATCAAGCGCTGCACCCTGCGAGTTTGTAAAAAAAAGAAAACGAAAACGAAAAATCAAAACATCCAAAACGGATGGCCAACAGCGGAGGGAAGAAGGTGCATCAGGGTACCGTAGGGCCCAAGCATGCACTTTTGCGCGAGCTGTCAATGAGAATTCAAGAAACATACTCTTCCTGATCGAAGCACTCCGGATCGAGCTTGGCAGCGCGTGCAATCAGTTTGCGCACCAAGGAGGTAACCAACATGAGCTCGTCCAGCGCATTCGGCGTCTTGAGGGCACTCCAACCCTGCGACCAAATGAGGAACCATGAAAAGGGATCACAGGAGAGACAAAGAGCAGACGACACAAAAGGAGCGGCGACCATTCGATGACATGACCACAACTGCTCCGTCCCGATGATCCACGAGCAATCGGTGCGTACCTTCAGGACCGGCCTAAAGTAGGCGGTAAAGTTGGCTCGGAAGACGCGAGCCATGCCCAGGTGAATGTCCGTGCCAGCCGCATGCATGGTCATTTGATCGAGGACGCGAAGCATGGGCAATACAATGCTGCGAGGATCGACATTGCTCCAGCTCGCGCCACTGCTGCCGACGGACCCATCATCGGACACGTTGTGGGCACGCAAGAGCTTGCTATGCTCAAGCTGCAAGAGCAGAGGTGACTCGAGCAAGGCCTTGGCACCGCTTGAGGAGCGGGCGCAATTGAGAAAAAGGGCATAACGCGCCTGATGCTTATAAAACGGGTTAAAGTTGGAGCTAGACTGGAACGCGAGCGCTTGAAGCTGTTCTTCAGCAGCCTGTGCTTCATGAACGTACTGGTCCAAAAAGCCGCGCCGAGCCATGAATGCCAGCCAGTTGCCCTTATCGTCCAAAGCCACCAGCTCTGAAAGGGCGAGAAGGGCCAGGATACAGGTCACGCCAGTTCCATCGCAAGCATCGCGGCAGACCATGTCCATGAAGCGTTCACTGGGTCCCGCAATCCAGTCCGAAGGCAGAGATGATTCAGCCGTGCGTGCAATCGTAATGTAAAAGTGAAGGCTACAGTAATGGTTCTGGCGCATCCGTGGGCCACATCCTGCGGTCAGGACACCCTGAACAAGGCTGGCCAGGAGGGGTTCTTGCAGGTTACGAACAACACTCAGAGCACTGCTCTGTGCTTCCTCAATGCCACTCATACGCTGGAGGCTCCCCTGCAGGTTGGCTGTCAGGGTCACAATATTGTTGGACAGAACAGACATGAGCGCCGGGTCCAACTGCTGCGTCATCTGCAGGTCAACTGGCAGGTGGGTGAGCAAGTACATGAGTTGTTCGCCAAGCTCGGCGATTTGGTCGTCTCCCGTCACCAGCGGGGCGGTTTTGCTGAACATGATGGTGAGCACGCGTTCCCAGCCCTTGAGCAGATGGAGCCGCGCGCCACGTCGCTCGGCAATGAGATTGGTCTGGAGCGCCACGTTGACTGCGGCCGTGATGTCATCCACATAGGCCTCGCGCAGGCCCAGGTCATAGCCCCCGCGCTCCAACATTCCCAGCAGCTGCTCATGCATCTCACGCACAAAGCAGTATGGAATGGGCTCGTCGCCCAAAGTCACTTGGGTCTTGGTACAGGCCTGAAAAGCTTGATTGGCAATGCCAAGGGGCAGATGCGAGAGATTCAGCTGGCCCACTGTCTCGAGACGAAAGTCAATGGCGTTGAGCACGCGGCGCATCAGGCTCACGGGCTGGGCGGCAGCATCACCCACAAATGTGTCGGAGAAAACGGCCGACTGCTGCGGAAGGCCAAACAGCTCCTTATACAACCAGCGCTGCTCCTCGGAGGGCTCCTTCGCAGCCACGTAGAGTTCGAGGGCGATGGATTTGAGGATCCACCCCATGGTGCTGGTCCAAGCCGCGCTGCGGCGGTCCAGCTCCGTACTAAAGGTACTCAGTTCGAGTAAACCCTTGAGCTGTTCGAGCAGATCTCGGGCCAGGGACGACTCGCGCGTAAAGCGGACAACCATTGGGCCGACCACCGGATGGGACTGCAGAGCGTAGAGCAAAGCAAAGCAATTCTCTGCGAAAAGCGGGTGAAGCTGGTACAGGGGGAGGCGGTTGGCGGCGCTCTTGTTGGTGATGAGGTCAATGAGAACGTGCAGACAGGACTGTGCGTCGGCAGCTTGGCTGGGCAGCAGCTGCACCTGCATCACGTCCCGAGGCTTGGTGATGCGAGCGGCGACACCAATCATAAGCAGGAGGGGCGTGATCTCCCAAAGCCCGTCTTCGCTGAGGCTGTAGCGAAGGAGCTGTACCACGCTGGAGGCCACAGCATTATCGCACGAGTAGTGTTCCTCGTCAAGCACGTCCACATAGACGTCTTGTTGGTCCGACACTAGCTCGGGGCCGATGGCCATGAGGCGATACTGGAAGGCGAAGAGCATTTTCTGGCGTTCCAGCGCAGGGGCAGCGTTGAAGATTGAGCGCAGAGATACATTGTTGTGCGATGTGCCGGCAATTCGATACACCAACTTGATGGCCTGCAGAGCACGCACCGCGCGGGACACAAACACAAGAAGAGGTGAGTAATCAGCATAACCAAATGAATCCGGGGAAAAAAAAAACAAAAAAAAAAAAGCAGAAAAAAAAACAAAAAACAAAAAAACAAAAAAAGCAAAACAAAAAAAAACACGGCACTCAGGCGATGGGGCCAAGACCGTACATCGAGTGCCAGTTCGGCCGAGTGCTCGGCATCGAGAAGCATGATGAGATGAACAACGAGGGGCGAGAGCACGTCGTCGCCTCGTGATTGGTTCATAAGGAAGGAGTCTACGCGTTGGTGCGTCTATGTTGGAAGAAGGGTACAAGCGCGAGTAGGTCAGAGGCTAGTGGTGAAGCAGCCAAAGGTGAGTCAAAGTCTTGATGGGCTGGGGTGGAACGAACCTTGACGTGCATGTCATTGAGGGCAGCGCTGAAGCCTGCAGCCACCTCGAGAATCTGAACCGTGAGGGTAACACAGTTGATGACGGCCTCCTGGAGCTGTACTGGCTTGTCCACCCATTCATGTGGGGCCGAGCGCGCCAAAATGTTGCCCAGACCAACGAGCACGTTGCCGGTGGGGTCTTGCAAAAGGCTGGCCAGAACCAGAAAGCCGACGTAACGCGGGCCTTGGACGTGGCGGTGGTCGTCAAAACGTTGTACTTCCCCTTCATCGTCCGCAGTCATGTCCAATCCAGAACCGGCTACGTTCGTGAAGGCTTCCGCAGGGGTGGCTCCTGCCGGAATCGCACCGCCAAAGTCGCCCTCAGTGGGCTGATAGCGCGACAGGAGCTCGCGCAGAGTGGTGAGAGCATCGGCCAAAAGTTCCCAGCGCTCCGTTTCGCTGATGAATTGTAGGCTACGAAGGGCTGCCAAGAAGACCTCGGAAATGAGGTAGTTGATGGCGACGCGGAGGCTGTGGCGACTCTGAGGTTCATCAACCACGTGGGGGAGGACGGCTTTGAGGAGGCGCACAAAGTTGAAGGTCTCGGGGTAAGTCTTGGCTTCTGCTTCGCGCTTTCGAAGGTCATGCACGACACCGAGGTCCCGAATTTGGATATTGCCCATGTTTGTGGAGTCACCCACCAAAACGTGGCTCGCACAGATGAGGTGCCAAACGACGCGGGCCGCCGGGGGATGAGCGGCGCAGATGGCGGCCAAAGCAGCCAGCAATTTGCCCTTGAGCGTGGTCTCCAAGTGGGAGCAGAAGAAAGTGAAGAGGGTGTCGATGGCGTGCCAGTCGTCTCGGCTAACAATGCCGCGGGCGCATTCTGGATCCTCGCAGACAGTGGCGAGGAGGTGCAAAAAGGCCTCGAGCATTTGTTGCGTGAGAATGTCAACAGCTTGACCAGATTCGTGTGACATGCTGGTGGCTGAGGCGATGGCGGCAAAGAGGGAGCGCCACGAGACGGGGGCTTGGCGGAAGCCTTCACGACCATTGTCCATGAGGAGGGTGAAGACGTACTGGCTCGCGGGGCCAGGCTTGGCAAAGGCGGCCAGGACCTCAAGATAGACGATGTAGGTGGTGGCATCGAGTTGGTCGCCAACCATGCGCAAGAAGCCATCCCACACGGAGACTCGTTCCGCCATCATGTCTGCATCAGCGCGCTGGGCCACGGTGGCAATGGTCTTGAGGAGCCAAACAAAGTCGTCGTGGGTGACGTCTGATCCGCTAGCCACGGCCTCGGTGTAATTGTACATGAGCATGCGAAGAAGGCCACCATCTTCAATGAGCCAGTCGCAAAAGGCAAGGAGGGTGTCGATACTAATGGCGCTCGACTTGTCCTCGGCCCCACACTGGGGTGCGTTGGCCAGCTGGTGCAGGCACTCAAAGACGGATTCATCACTACGGTGGTCGATAAGGGTGGTGGCCTGTTGCTGAACGCCCTCCCAGACGTCCTCCGGCTTGTCGAGGGCAGTCCGGCAGAGACCAAATGCCAGCTGCATGAGGAGGCGCCAGGTGGGGTTGTTGTTCCAGGCAGTGGTGTCGTCCAGGGCGCGGGCAAAGTCAAGGTCATTGGCCAACGGGTCGTTGTAGTCGCTGGTCCGGTCACCGGTGCGGAGAGCGGCAACGGCGTGGAGACGGCGGCGAAGGAAGACGTGCAGGAGACAGATGACAGCTGTTGGGGCTACGAAAACGCGGGTTCCGTCCAGGGCGGCCGTAGTATGGCTGGCGTGCGTGTTGGTTGGTGCGAGCGCGGACCCTGCGGGGCCATCACCGAGGGTTTGCTGGAGGGTTTTGAGGAGGATGAGGCATTCCTGAGTGGTGATGGTGTCTACGTTGGAGTCACTTGGTTGACGTTGGGCGACGACTCGAGCCGCGGTGACAAAAAGCAAAAGGGCGTCGCAGGCTTCAAGCCAGCAATCCTTGACTTCCTGAAGAAGGCGAGCGGCACTGCGGTCGTGGGCCAGGAGTTGAGCTGCATCGGCACGGGCCTCAAAGTCACTACGGTGAAGGGCCAGGACTGCTGTGAGAACGATGGCTGGGAGTTCCTGAAGGCTTTCGAGGAGCTCAAGGGCCAAAGTGTTAAAGTTGGGGCTGAAGGACTGCTTGGTCACAGCCTCGAGGAGGATGCAGAGGATGCTGAAGAGCATGCGTTCAGCTTCGTAGAAGAGAAAGGCACCCCGGGTGAGCAGGGAGGCTTCGCGAAAGACGAGGGGATGGTTGGTAATGTCTTCGGCCTCGACAAGCAAAGCGGCCGCAGTGACTTGGCTGATACCGAGGATTCCACTCAGGGTGTGGGCATTGGCCACCTGCTGGTCGGTGAGGATGGTGGTTGTGGCGGCGCCCTCCACCCGGGCCTTGAAGATGGCCAGGGGTTTGGTGCGTGCCTGGTCTACGGCTTGCTGATCGCTACTGTTGGGCAGGGTGTGGAAGACCAGGGTCTCACTGGCACCACCATCGCGGTCCTTGTCCTACACATGATGGCGAGTTGTGGGCGAGCAAAAGGGTAAGGTCAAAACGACCAAAAGGCCATGAAAGGCTGCTGGGATGATGAGGTGCTGCGATGCGGTGCTGGGATGCGGCGCAAGCTGTGCACCTTGGGGGACTGAAGATAGTAGAATTCCGGCACGGCATCCTCAAAGGCGGCCTTGAGCCGGTGCAATTGGCGCTCGTCGGTTGAATAGGCTGCCGCCTCAATGTCCGCCAGCAGCTGACGGGCAAAGGCCCACATGGCACTGGTCTCGTTCTATTGAGATGGCTTCCAGGCGGGCAGCGAGGTCTCTGGTCGGCTCAAAACGGCCGCACGGCGCTGGTGTGCGCGCGCTTATCGGCTCGGCCGGCGTCACTGGTACCTGGTCAAGAGCACAAAGAGACGGGAAGGAAGGGTGGGAGTGAAGCAAAAAAAAAAAAAAAAAAAAAGGGAGAGAGAGGGAGAGGGGGACGGAGAGAGAGAGAGAGAGAGAGGCAAGGGATACAAGTTGAGGTGCCAACGGCCTCGTGGCGGGTACAGTGCAGTGGGTATATGAATGGCGACAAACACAAACCTGGTGAGCACACCTCTTCTCTCCACGTTCTACGGCCATAAATCAACCCAGACAGTACCGCAATCACAGTGAGCCGAGCGAGGCCGAGCAGGAGGGCACGACTGAACGGCTGAACGGCTGAACGAGCAAGTGAAAGAGCTCATGGACCAGAGAGAGAGAGACAGAGAGAGGAAAATTCAAAACCCGAACGAATTTTTTTTTTTGAGAGAAGAGAGAGAAGAGAGAGACAGACAGAGAGAAACAGAGAAAGAGAAATAAAAAGAGAGACAGAGAGAGAGGGAAGAGAGAAAGAGAGACAGACAGACAGACAGAGAGAAAGACACACACAGAGATAGAGCTCACAGTGAAACATGCTGTTGAAACACCAGCACCAACTTCATGTACATCTACAATTGGTAGCAGTCAACTTCTCTGACAAGTCTTGATCGAATGTCAGAATTAAATTTTATTGCTGACATTTAGCTATTTCATAACACGTCAAAACACACACACACACACACACACACACACACACACACACAGTGTCGGCGCCGGCAGATATATATGCAAAAGGGCAGTCGGAGGCGACGGGAGCTGTTGCTGGGTGCATGTTGCGAGGGGCCTGGCAGCCCTGGTATTGGGCCCACAGCGAGAGCGGTACGTTGGCCAAAAAAAAAAAAAGAGAGGCTGCGGCTCAGGCTGAGGTCGGTCCAACCTCGGCCGCGCCAGGATAGCTCATCACACCAGCTCCTCGCCGCTAACGTCCTCGTCGGTACGTGACATGTCATAACTGATCTGGCCTTGGAAGACGTACGTGTGGGCGATACCACTCGACGGGATTCATTTTCCGCCGCTGTTGCGACCCGAACAAGTGCCGCTGGCCTTGACATTCTCCCGTTATTGAACACCGACTGACGCTGCCCATTCTGCCCGTTCTGCCTCGTCTGGCCCACTGCCGACACTGCCAACTTTTGTGTCACATCTCGGTCTGATGCGGACGGCGCTCGCTTGTTTGCACTCCAACATCACCATGTCCAGTTGTGCAACGAGCCCCCGGCCTCCACAGCCCACCATGGCGCAGAGCAACCCCTGGAATAAGAGCCCTTGGGGCACTCCGGCTCAGGCACCAGCTGCCGCACCCGTCTCGCTCGGTATGTGTGCAGCCCCGATGGTCGTGGGCACCATCGATCATGCCCACTCGCACCTTGCTTATGGACTCTATGCTGAGTGTCCTTTCTCTTTTTCACAGCGTCTCACCTCACTTCACCTTTGTTTTGTGTTGTTATTTTTTCTCCCTCGACCGTGCGATGCGACTTGTGACAGCGGCGGTGGCCCAGGAGCAAAAGGACGAGCGAGTAGCACATGACATGGATCGTCACTTGCGTGACACAGAAGCCGATGAGCTACAGCGTGCAATTGCCGAAAGCGCGCGTGAGGCGGCTTTCTTACAAGAAGCCTTTGAAGCAACCAGCACAGAGGCAACTGCTACCCCTGTTCCTGCAACAGGGGACGAGGAAGACCCGGATCTTGCCTTGGCACGCAAACTACAGGTATGGCGCCGCAGCATTCTTGCACCACGACCGATGGCCTGCTGTGTTGCCTTTTGCTTCTTGTCTTGTTTGTTGATTTGCTTCGTCCATCCATCACGCCTTGTCCTATTCTTTGCCTGCCCCTCCACTCATTCGCATGGCTTTGGGGGTTATTTTTCTATGTGTAGGAAGAGGAAGATGCGATGGCGCGGTCCAACAGTCAAAACGGGGCCAGCAGCACAGCTGCTTCGACCCCGGCTGTCAACCCCGAAGAGGATCTGCAGTTTGCCATGGCCTTGCAAGCCCACTTTAATGCAGAGCATGACGAGCACGTTCACATGGCCCAACAAAAGGCCAACCTGACCAACAGCCAGAAACTGACTGTTTCCTTCGAGCGCTACCTCAGCCCATACCCTACCTTTGTCGATCAAGTTGCCCCCGATCTCACGTACGATCGACGTTGTTTATGTGCTAGTGCCAACGCCAAGTGATGCATTCAGAGCCCTAGTTATGCCCCTGTTCAAGTCCAACCAATTGGCTCACGGCTTTGCTGTTCTTTTAGGGATGAGCAGGAGGAGGATAACTGGGACGACAGTATTGATGAAGCTGTGTATTACCACAAACAAACTCGCACCATGCGAGACATGAACAACAAGATTATCACCAAGCACAACCCTATTGTCAACGGCCGTAAGAATCGCCAACGAATGGAGTCACAGTTCCCCATTGGATTTGCCAGGTGAGTCCGGGCTCGTCTTTGCCTGCCAGTTTATTGCTGCCCTTGCCACCTCCTCGCTTCTCGCAACTATCAGAGCCGACGCGTTGTTGACAATGGGGTCCACATGTACCCGGATTTGCCAATTAGCGGGGACATGAAAGCGCATGGCAAGGATCTCAAGATTAACAATGCCGTGTTCAACCACCTTCGCCGGTTTGCCCATCGTGAGGAGCGTCACACCGCACGCGTGCATGAAAAGGTATCGCTGACGCTCTTGCTGGCCCAAGTCTTGTGCCTGTTCGTTTTCGCATTCGCCTGCGATTGCTGATGGCTGATGCTTTGGTGTGATGGGGCGGCGAGCAGAAGGACCACTCGACCTCGGTCATGGCCATGGACAAGACGACACGCCTTCTTCTCTTCAAGCTCCTCAACCGAGGCGTGTTTGAACAAATCAACGGTGCCATCAGTACCGGTAAGGAAGCCGTCGTTTTCCATGGAGCAGCACACATCGACCCGGAGGATTTGACCTCGGAAGTGACTGAGGTGGCCATCAAGGTATGCTGCTGGCAGCATGGCGTGCTGTGTTTGCACCAATAGCGTCATGCATCGCCTTTGCTTTTGCCTTTGTATGCTTGTCCCTTGATGGTCACGCATGCTGGGTACCATGTCTTCTCATCCAATACTCGGTGTTTCTTTCTCTCGGGCATTTGTACATGTTCAATCAGGTTTTCAAGACGACGTTGACCGAGTTTACCCAACGCCAGCAGTTTTTGCACGGTGAGGAAGGATTTATTCTTTCTTTCTTGCTTTCTTTCTTTTTGTATTTTTTTTTTTCCCTTTGCTTTTCGGTTGTCACACTGGCTTCTCACCGCTGGTGGGGTCTTGTGGATAGGTGATCGGCGCTTCGAGAATCGCGTGGGTCGCCAGCCGGCTCGCAAGCTGGTGCGCGTGTGGGCAGAGAAGGAGATGGCCAATTTGACTCGAATGCATCGCCAAGGCATGAACTGCCCGCGTGTTGTACTTCGCAAACACCATGTGCTGGTCATGTCCTTTATTGGACAGGACGGTCACTCCGCACCCAAGCTCAAGGTCGGCTCCATATACCGTTTCGTGTGTTCTGGTTGGCGTGCGGCCCTGTGTTGGCTGGGATCTACGACGTCGTCCAACTCATCTTGTGGCTTTGGGTAGGATGTGCGATGGTCTCTGAAGCGTCTGAACCAATGCTTTCACGACACGTTGGAGCAGATGGCACTTATGTGGCAGCAATGCCGTCTGGTCCACTGTGATCTCAGCGAGTACAATATTCTGTACCACGAAGAGAAGCCTTGGATCATTGATGTGGGTCAAGCAGTCGAACCTCAGCATCCACGTGCTTTTGAGTACTTGTTCCGTGACTGCCTCAACGTCTACGAGTTTTTCGAGCGGGCTGGAGCTACGGAGCTCGTGTCGCCTGCCGACATGTTTGCACAGTTGACGGGCGAAGCCATCAGCGAGGAAGCCCAAGCCGAGTTTAAGCACAAGATTCAATGTGTGAGCCGAGGTGCCATGAAGACACATGAGCTGCAGTCAGCCATGGCAGACTCAAGTAACGTCGTCTTCACGCCTGCCGACCAGCTCCCGTCGGGTTTAATGGTGCACAAACAGGCCGAGATGAGCGGCGACCACGGCGAAGGTGCCAAACTTGAGCTTGAGCAGAGCGATGCGGAGGAGGATCAAGAGGAGCAGGATGTCGAAGAGGGCGAGGATATTGATTCTGATGCTTCCGAGGACGATGCCGACTTGAAGCAATTCTTGGAACGCGTAGACAGTGATTTGGCTGTTCAGCAGTCCAGGTCGGGTGCCACTTGCGACGCGTCGGCACAATCGGCTGCTGACGATGTCTCCGTTCAGTAGATTTTGATGGTTTTTTTGTTGTTGTTGTTGTTGGAAACAAAGACTGACTGGCTGTACCGCCCTGACGGTATTGTTGCTCGTGGCCTGCCTACACGTGGCTGTTGTAATTGCATTACCATGGCCATAACTTGGAAAAAAAAAAAAAAAAACATCATTTTGTCGTGGCGAATAGTGAGGGTGGTCGATATGTACGGAGAAGACGCAAAACCTTGAGATCGTGATCATGAAGCTTTCAACTTGTGGTAATAAAAAACCTCCCCTCCCCCCAACAATGCCTCATGGAAATAATGATGCCCTGGTCAGGAAGGTTTGTCGTCTTTGTAGTCAATTTGTGAATGGACGCGTGGCTAATGGCACATGTCACACAGGGCATGGCACGATCCGGACCAGACATGAAGGAGAAATCATACACGGCACAAAGCACGAGGAAGAAGGAGCAAAAAGAAAAAAAAATGCATCCTCAATGGTGGGCTCGAACAAAGAAAGGAAAACAACAACCACGAGCCCGGGCGGAACGAAGAGACATGGAACAGAGGAGAATTTCGGCGACAAGTGCAAATTGCTCTGACGAGGGGGTTTGATCGGCAAATCTTGGTAGCCTGCTCACTGACTCGATGGGCGCACGGAGTATACTCTGTTTCTTTTTTTTGTTTTTTCTTTTTTTCCTGCTTTGTACCTCGTGAAACTTCACAGGCGCTGCCACGTGCAACACGAGGTATAAAACAGAAAATGGAACTTGGGCACGGCACGATGAGATGGACACGAACTATCGAGGCAGATTTATGCCGCCAGCTCCTTGACCTCCGACTCAAGCTCCTCATAGCCCTCAACGCTCTTGTTGGTCTTGATGAGCACAACACTGGTTGGGCGCTTCGTCTGACCGGCGGCACCCAAATCCTCCTTGGAGGGCACAAAGCAGTAGGGGACATGTGCCTCCTCGCACATGACGGGCATGTGCGTGATGACGTCAATTGGCGAGATGTCACCGGCAAACACACACACGCTAAGATCCAAACAAGCGCAGGAAGAAGGTGTGAGGTGGGCAACTCGGGCATGAAGGGGTCATAAGAAAAAGGTGTTCAGAATCTTAAGAACGCGAAAACGACACGGACAACGGGCGGGCGCTGCATTTCGCGGGTACCGTTGAGAACATACCCCGTGCCACCCTTGCGGAGCGCCTTGCTGACTTCCTTGACACCGCGGCACAAGGACTTGGCTTTGTGAGCGCGCTTGACCACCTAGAGCAAGAGAAGTCGCCCACAAGAAAGAGCACAGACATTGAGCACGCCGTCGAGCAGCAAGAATGGGCAAAGGCCGTGTCCTAGTCTCCGGTTGATGATGGTGGATGATGGTTGGGGATCTAGACTGACCTTGTACACCTTCTTGGTGAGCTTCTTGCTGGCCAGAGGCTGGGCAATGACGCTCACGCGAGAGGCCAGGATCTCGTAGGTGCGGCTCTCATCCTCGGCTTCTTCCTTGTCCACCTTGGCGCGCTTGGCCTTCTTCTCACCCTTGCCTGCAAAGGATACATCGCACATGAGACTGACGACTGGTGCAATGCCCAGGACTAGACGTTGACAGGACGGACGAGGCCTGGTCAGCCCGCTCTTCGCTACATACTCATGATGCTGGTTGTGTTCAAGGAAAAGCAGGCAAGCGACGACAGCTGGTCCAAACTAAGGTGCGACCCGAACGCAAGATGAGTGCTGACACGGACCCATACCACCACCAAGGCCACGATCAGCGCACGATCAGCGAAAGGCATTTGTATGGGGACGCGACGCTCTGAGCAAGTCGCCCCGACGTCCCGACACCCGTCACAAGCCATCAGCGCCGACTCACGAGCTCGTCACCACGAAAAAGACAGGAAGAGAGAGAGCGCGCGAGCGAGAGAGAGTGGGAGAGAGTGAGAGCGCGAGGCAGAGAGAGAAGAGGAAAGGAGAGCCAGAAAAGAGAGAAGAAAGGAAGGAAAGAAGAAACGAGAGCATAGAGAAGCGATAAAAGAGAGAGTAAGAGAGACAAGAGAGAAGTCAGAGAAGAAGTCCGCAACAGAGGAAACTCAGAGAGAGGACAGAGATGGAGGCAAAGACGAGAGAGACAAAGCGATGGACGGAACAACAGAGCGCGTGGGAGGGGGGCTCTGATTACCAAATGTAGTCAACCAGAATGAAATAAAGACGAAAGTAGTGACCATAAACCGTACAGTCGACGAATACAGTGAGATCATGTTTTATCGTTATTTTTTTTTTTTTTTTCGGTGCCGATCGCCGACTCGAACGACAGTATGGCGACGGGTGGTGCCTCCGAAGGCTTGCAGGGCCTGTTGCCCAAGGCGGGTATGTTGGACCGTCTCTGGTGCCTTCTGTAGCCAGGTCTTGTGCATGCCATTTCTTTTTGGAAGTTTTTGCTTGTGGTTGGTGAAGAAACTCGCTCAACTTGATCCCCGTGTCTGCTTTCATTCGCCGAGGTGTACAGTGGGCAGTGAGACGTCCTTGTCTTCATCGCCACGGCGCCAACAGAGCTCAGACAGCCAGGACAGTCGTCGGCAGGCAGCAGTGTATTCACCCTTGCGTGCAGATCGGCCCACACGAGGCGTGGCCTCAGCCTGCACCAGCGTTGCCTTTCGGGCTCATCCCCACGAGGAGCTTGTGGATGTGCTCAAGGACGTGGTGACCCAACATGGCTTGCGAGCAGCCTTTGTGCAGACCTGCGTAGGCAGCATTGAAAAAGCATGCTTGCGCCTTGCCAGTGCCAACCGTGAAAATGGAGAGGATTTCTCTGATTTCCTGGAACTGGATGAACGCTGCGAGATTTGCTCGCTTGTCGGAACGCTGGCCGTTGATGAGGCCGGCAACTTTGCCAAGCACCTCCACGTGACGCTGGCCGACAAGGCTGGTCGAGTCGTGGGAGGCCATGTCATGAGCCTCCAACTCTTTACCACTGCAGAAGTTGTTCTGGGTGAATTGACTCAGGCCGTGTTTGACCGGCCCCTTGACCCAGAGACGGGCTACGACGAGCTCACCGTTGAACCTCGCTAGGGACCCTGCAAGCGCCACTGCAACCCCTCGACATAGTGGCCAGGGGATGACTTGCTCCCCAAAAGAGCCCCCCACGTTCTAGCATGGCCGCAGGCTTTTGTTCCTCGCCTTGGCCCTTCTCGATGGCTCATGACCCTTCCCTCATTTCTTCTTTGTCACTGGCTGCAAGACGACGCACGAGTGCGCTCGAGCCAGAACGCAACGTGCTCTCATCCTATCTAAGCATGAGTTGGCATGCTTCCTGGGCCGCGCAATCAGCGTGCTCTACCTTGAGGCACTGGGTTGTGTGCCGTGAGAGTGAGAGTGTATGAATGTGAGAAATCCAGATACCAAGACATCTCAACAGCAGTACATGCGTGTGGGGAGTCAATTCAGCACAGCCAAGTCAAACATCGGTACACGCACACACCACCACGGTCACAAGAGAACAAAGGAAAAGAATGATGGCAAATGAGGTCAATACGGCCAAGATTTCTCGAAAGCAACCCCCTGGACAGGTAATCAAAGAAGCGCCAACCAGGACTCTTGGGGCTGTAGGAAGGTTGTTGGCAGTGGACGCGGGTGGCAGCATCGCACAAAAAAAAAAAAAAAGAAAAGAAAGCATTTACAATCCGTTCAACAACACGGCACAGGAGTAAAACAATGGAACCACTAAAAGATCAAGCCGGCAGATCAGAAGCAGACTCGAGGTTGGAACAAGCTCACGAACACGTATCCAAAAGCTCGAGGCGCTGTGAGCAGATGGACGGTAAATAAACACAAAAGGACCGAACAAAATGTCGCGCTATGGCTGGCTCACAGATTGACACAGTACATGGCTGCAAACATCGCCTTGCATACAGGATGTTCAAGGCGCTTGCTTTAGGCTCATGCACTCTTCGAAAATGAGAGGGTCTATTTCGGGTCTACTGCGGTCATTCCCAGGTACGATCAAGCGCGACACAGGTCACGGGGGAGGCAGCATGGCGTGCGAACTTCAAGCCGTGTCCTCCTGCAGGGTTTTGCGAATGTCCTCAAGCAAGGCGGTCTTTGCATCTTCGGGTACCGCGCCTGAAGGCATGGCCGATGCAGAGAGACTTGTGAGCTTGTGACAGGGGGCAAAACAACGGATGAGAGTCTTCGTCAAGTCTGCTGCCAAGGGGGACGTACGGCGGGCATCTGGTGTGATGGCGGCCACAAGTTCCTCAACTGTCAGTTGGCCATTCGCCTCACGAATCTTTTCTGTGGAGAAGCAAACACCATTAATCAACAAATCGCGCGCAACGTGAGGCCGGTATTGGCAAAAGAGCACGGGGCGACGGACGCAACCCTGGCCCTGGGGCTCAAGAATGAATGACCGCGTTGGCTTACGTGTGGCAATCTCCTTGACACGGTCACGCCAGCCAGACTCGATAAGCTGTTGGCGCAACTTGTGCTTGAGCCTGCACGGGACAAAAGTAGCATGGGCAAAAGCAGGGCACCAAAGCAAAAGTCACGGGTGAGACGCACAGGCAGCAAACCCGGTGCCCCTTGGGCAAAAACGGTGTGTGTGTGTGTGTGTGTGTGTGTGTGTGTGTGTGTGTGTGTGTGTGTGTGTGTGTGTGTGTGTGTGTGTGTGTGTGTGTGTGTGTGTGTGTGTGTGTGTGTGTGTGTGTCCCGACGGCGTTGTCAGGGTAGGGGGTGGGAGGGAACTTACGCATCCTTCTTGCCACTTTCAATCAGACGTTGGTTGATGGAGGCCCGGAGAGCAGCCTCTTGCTGGGCCAAATCAGATCTACAAGGCATGCGCGTCACAGGGAGAGGCGGGAGGGTCGGAGAAAAAAAAAGGTCAGCAGCAGCAGAATTTGTTTTTCCGTCCGCCTCAGGAAGCAGGCGAGCGAGACCAGGGCGTGGCCACGCCACATCCGGCAGCTGGGTGCAAAAGCAGAAGACGTACGTCGACATGTTGAATAGCTGCACCAAGCGCGGGCGCAAGACAACAAGCAGCACACAAGGCAACCGCGAAAGATCGAGTCCTTGAGTCAACTCGAGTTTGAGACGGAAATACACGGATGAAGCTCGACCGCGCAGGCAGCCAGAGAGGGAGACAGAGAGAGAGAGATAAATTGGTGAGAGACCGAAAGAGACTAGAGACAGACAGAGAGAGAGAGAGAGAGACAGAGAGAGACAGAGACAGAGAGAGACAGAGAGAGACAGAGAGAGACAGAGAGAGACAGAGAGAGACAAAGAGACTCAGAGACAGACACGACTCAGAGAGAGAGAGGCAATGTCACTTCCGCGCGCGCGGCTTGACCAAATCCTCGAGCGCAAAGAACAAAAGAATTACCAACTGGAATGGATGATATCATTTGGTAGTGTCCTTTGTGAGTAAAGGCGATGTGCTCACTTTTTGGGCACGAGCAAGTTTTTCATTTCATTTCATTCTGTGTCAATTATTTTGAACCTCCCCTGGTTGCCATCTATCTGTGCCGCCGAATATGCATAAAGGCAATGCGCAACCAGGCCATGGCAACACCTGGCCAAAACTGGCAAGATGCTGGATCAGAAGCAAACGGGACAAGAGCAAGCCGGTGCCTTCACAAGAAGGGCCGCAGCCCCTATACAAGATTGGGCTACAGCCAGCCGCCCCGAGCGCCAGCACGAAATAGAGGCTCACACAAGAGCAAACTCACCAGGCAAATCAAGGAAAACACACATGGAAAGAATTCAAGAAGGACAGATAAACAGCAAATCAGACAAAACACAGCCCCAACGGGCCGCTCAGCAGCAAGCACCAAACCCGCTGGGATATGAAAGGTAAAAACCGCATGCCAAAGCAAACCCCTTGCCTCACCTCCCGTCTCATCGGGCTTGTCTCGTTTCAAGTCGCGCACGAATAAAGAAGACCCTTTGCAGTCTTTGGCTTTCATCTTGGGGCTTGAATGACGGCCACGATACCGCCAGAGGTGCAAAGAGAAACGTGCTCATCCTTGGCGTCCCAACCTACTTCGTAGATGCCCTCTTGTTGCTTGCGCGTGGCAACTGGTTGCCCATTCTGCATTCGGCAGCGCCATGGGCATGGTCAGAGAACAGACGAGGTGATAGCCAGAAACCAGCGAGTTGGTCAAGGACGCCTGAGAAAAGCAACCGCAATCCCAATTTGAGACATGTCAAAACACCGCCTACCTCGAGCGACCAGATGATAACACGATGATCAAAAGAGCCAGAGGCGACGTAACGGCAATCATGGCTAAAGCACACCGAGTAAACAGGACTGGTATGTCCGACTAGCGAAAAGATGCACGACCCCTTGCGGCCGTCCCACACTTTGATGGTCCGATCAAAGGAGGCTCTATGAAAATTTAAAGAGCGTGAGCGTGAGACGAGCAAAGCAGGGGAAAGGATATGGGTTTAGATATCTGGGCCACTACCAAGCGGCTCTGAACAATGCTCTAGTACGCCAGCAAAAGCTGAGTAGCAAGGCCGTGCTTACGTTGCAATACGCATGTCTGTTTCAGCCAAAGTGGCATCAGTCCGCTTGACACCAAAGGGTCTAGCCCAGGCAAGCGTGTACAACTTGTCATCGTGTCGCAAAACATGTTGGCATGCTGCTGCTTCAAGACTCCAGATCTGTGCAAAGCCACAGCCGAATCGTGCACGGATATGAGTCCGCGTATTCCATAGGGAAAACCGCAGTCGGGCAGAGCCGTAGCGAGAGACGGGAAGAGAGAGGGGGACGCAGAACCGCAGGCGTATGCACACAAGAACACTTGGGCAAACAAAGACTTTCTACCCGAGCCCTCTTCCCAATTGCGACTTACTCGAGCCGTGTTGTCGTCAGAGCACGAGGCCAAAAGTTGGCCGGCTGCATGCCAGCTGACCACGTTAACCTCGTCGGTATGGCCGGTGAAGCGATGCAAGGGTTCGTTCTCGGTCACGTGGCAGACAATGACCGACCCATCGATCGAGCAAGAGGCAAAAACTTCCTCCGACTTCCAAGCCACACCCACGCAGGGGCCGTGGTGAAAGGTGAAGACCCGGCGGGTGGTACCACTGGCCACGTCCCAGACGATGGCAGACTGATCCACGCTGCATGTGAGCAGCTGCTTGCCCGAGGGGCTCCAGCGCAGGCAGAAGAGGGGCCCGGTATGTGCGCGAAGCCTGCACTGCAGCTCGCCCTGTTTGGTCCAGATGCGCGCCGAACCATCAAAGCAGCCCGAGGCAAGAAGCTCGCCAGCAGGAGACCATTGTACGGATGTGACGTCCATCGGCACTTCTTCACCCGGTGGTGCCAGATGGCGTAGAATGAGGGGCATGCTCTTGGGTTCCTTCAGATTCCAGATGCGTACGGTGGCGTCATTGGAGCCCGACGCCAGCAAGGGTTCTGTCGGGTGCCAGACACAAGTAAATACAATTTGCTCATGGCCCTAAGCATGTGGTGGTGCATTGTGTGAGACATGGGCGTGATGCAGGAGCCGCTGAATGCCAGAGTAAACACAGGGGTTGTCGAATTGACGTACGCGAAATGTGGTAACGCTATCAGTTGGCACCTCCATGGGTTCTGCGGCCTCGTCAGCTGGTTCTGAGATCAGGTCGATAGATTGAGGAGCAAACATCATGAGTTTTTGCCGTTGAGTGTGGCGGGACCACGCGCGGATGACTGGAACCCCTTTGAGCAGTGAGGTTGAAGCGTACCAAGCTTTACATCGGCACCGGGCTTATTTTGTTCGCGTAGCCGCTCCATGAGCTGCTGGCGGCGCTGCTGGCAAACCTCGGGCTAACAGTACATACAAACCAAAGGGCAAATGATTAAGAGGATGCGCGAAGCAGCACAGCAGCAGAAGGATCGCCGATGTGTACGCATTGTGTCAAAAGAACTGAGGCACAAAAAGGTGCCCGGGAAAGCGCGGCGCCACATATGTGCACGCGTGCAGGACGACAAAGGAGGATCACACATTGATGGCGTGGCAAATGCCGTTCATGAAAAACGAGGAGGCCAAAAATTACCTGGCATGCTTCAATGAGATTGAGCGCTTCAATGGTCTCGAGGTCTTCAAGATCAGCGGGCCGACCATCCTGGAAAGGAAAGACGAGAGGGCATGGCATGCCAGGTCGCTGTGAGCACAAAAGAAGAGCTGACAAGCGATACTTGTCGGTCAGCAACATTGGGTGGGGGGAGTAAGATGCAAAACGCAGAGGACATGCATTGTCCTTTGCATAAGGAAGACGATGCACGCTGCTGTGGTTGTGTGTGTGTGTGTGTGCGTGTGTGTGCCAACACGGCATGACACGTGAGAGGGCAGAAGCATGTACCTCGGTCAGGTTCACCTCAGCCTGCACATAGTTGAGGGCTTTTTGCAGGTGAGCAATGAGGGCACCCGGGGGAAGCTTGTTGGCAGTGACAGTGCTTTTGGTAATGCCACTTTCTTGGGCAAATGTGAAAGAGCTATGCTGGAAGCCTGTGTTGAGCAGAGTCCACACGGTGCAGGGATGCAGGACCTGGTCAGAGAAGGTGGAAGCGCTCGGCGAGGGCGCGGGCGAGGGCGAGGGCGAGAGCGCGGATTGGCGACGCGACCAGATTCAATGAGGTAGCGATAGATCAAGTAGTTGATCTGGTCTGAATCGATACTCATGGCGATCCGTTATTGCATGGCACCACCAGGCGCCATGTCCCACTCGCTCCCGTCTTGAAATGCCGGTTCAGGCCGTCCCTGCCCTTGCTGGGTGCGTGTGGGAGTAGTGTGGGGAGGCCCTCGGCAAGAAGGAAAGCGGCCGCGGCTAAACGGGTGCCAATCCGTGCGTGCGCATGTGCACCAGGCGATTGAGAGAAACCGAAAAACGGAGCTCCAACAGCAGGAAGCAGCCGCTACGCTACGGTGGGCTACCATGGGCAAAGGGGCACTCACCTCAAAGTGTGGAAGGCGGAAGCGACGCGAGGCGAAATCGCAACTGATGGGTCGGGGGCGAACGGCGACCCTTCCTACCACACAATTGGTGCCGGTGAGTGCGATCTACACACGTTGAGATAGCTCAAGGATCCAACATGGCTTCACCACCACGCCAGCGGGCAGCCCAAGGCTCAAAGGCACCTGCCTCTGGGCAGTGGTGACGGTGCCCCGCTGTTGAGCCAACCGCACCGACTGACCGACTGACCTCTTGCACGGGAGAGAGAGAGAGCGACAGACAGACAGAGACACAGACACAGAGAGAGACACAGAGACAGAGGGACACAGAGACACAGAGCTGCAAAGAGAAAAACGAGACACACACACACACAAATGAAAGAGAAAAAGAGAGAGAGAGAGAGAAAAAGAGAGAGAAAAGGAGAGAGAGAGAGAGAAAAAAAAAAAACGGCGAATTGGTGTTAACAAGTCTCCTCAAGTTTTGTTGAGTCTGCCCAGTCTCTGACACTTGGTAGTCCTGATCGGGACACACGACCCTTTGCCTCGTGATGGATTTCTGAACCGTTAAAGTCAGAAAAACAGCTGAAAATCTGTTGTTTGCTGCAGCCAAAAATATGCACAACAGCTGTCTTCAACACCCCTGGCTCGCTGTGGGCCGCGTTCAATCGACAAGTCAAGAGCTGGGCGAAATTTTTTTTTCTTCACATCTCTATCATGTCATTTCTCCCAACGGGATGATTTATACTTCGAAATGATGAATTCTTCATGTCGATGCACGGAACCTCGGCACACAAACCGGGAACGTGCAAACAACAGAAAGTAAAAGCCGCCAAACAAGGGGCCACGCAACCCAGGGAGAACGTCAATGACTAAACACGACGCCCTAGGCGCAAGGCAGGACAGGAAAAAGGCCCCGACATCCAACATCTAGGTTCGCAGAAGCAGTTCGAGAAAACGAAAAACCAAGCACTTAACCACACTACAAGAGGACGCGTCGAGACGGCGAGTTACACCGCAAATCCAAGCCAACACCCAAAGGTTGCCATGGACGACGAAATCCATGAAGCGGTCCAGCACGACAAAGACAAGAAAAAATGCAGACAGCATTTAGAGCTTGTCGTAGTACTTGTCGAGAGTGAAGGGCTCGGGGCTGAGACCCTTGCGGGTACGGGAGAACTTGACAATCTCGTACTCCTTGCTGCCCTCCTGGAGAGGGTTGCCGTTCATCTTCTCCCAGTGATCGAACACGCACTGAGGGAAGGCCTGGCCACCAGTGCCGGCACGGAGAGCAGAGTCGAAACCGAACGACTCGTTGACGGGCAGGTAAGCCTTGACGTTGTACATGGGAGTGCCCGAGACGGGGTTCTCCTCGAAGACCATACCACGGCGGCGGGTCAGGACAGAGTAGACACCACCCATGGCAGTCTCAGGGCACTGAATCTCGACAAGGAAAACGGGCTCCATGAGACGAGGCTGAGCGGTCAAGCAGCAAGCGTACAGGACGCGGCGAGCGGTGGGGATGATCTGGCCACCACCACGATGGATGGCATCAGCGTGCAGGGTCACATCGTGCAGGTCGAAGCGGATGGCGCGCATGTTCTCATCGGCCAAGACACCCTCCTTGGAGGCCCAGTTGAAACCGGTGGTGACAGAGTCCTTGATCTCGTTGAGGTACTAAAAAGTACGAGAAAAAAAAAGGTGAGATGATTGACCAACGGTCACGTAAAATAAAAGCGTCAAGACAACGACAAGTTTGGGTGCCGCCATTAAGCACAACGCATCTCAAGAAAAAAATTAGAGTGATTGACAAAATTTCATCAAAGGATGTCCTCACGAAACAGGGTTTCGTCATTGATACGTTCAACATGCACTCGAATGGCGTCCACACAACAAAAGACAAAGAAAGAACACATTGGCGATCAAATAAACCAAACAGGTCAATCACAGTCGGAGCGTGGAACACACCTGAACACCCTTGGAGACATCGACGATGACGTTGGGGCCAGTGCCCTCAGGGCCAAAGCACCAGATCTTGCGAGCCTCTGTGACGTCCCACTCGAAGTTATCGGCGAGGAAGCGGCCACGGGTCTTGGGATCGTCCTTGGCGCTGACCTTGCCATCATCGATGGCCTCGGCCAGACCGTCACTCAAGGGGCGAGCCTTCATGAACAGACGGTTGTGCTTGTTGGGGGACTTGGACAGGCACATAATCTCCGACTCGTCATCGACGGTCTCACGGTAAGAGACGACGGGGTCGGACTTCTTGAGGGGAATACCAGCGTGATCCTCCTCGAGATCCTTGAGGCAAATCTCGAGATGGAGCTCACCAGCACCGGCAACGATGTGCTCGCCAGACTCCTCAATGATGCACTGGACCATGGGGTCTACGTATCAAGAGAACCGATATTTATGAGCAAAGCAATTGTGCGGACAAACAAGCGTTTGTAACCATTCGCGTGTAGGAGCAGGGACGACAGATAAGCTCGGAAGCGGGACAAAAAGCATTGTCGAGGCACAGGCAATGTGGAGCTCAGGCAGTGTGAATAACAAGCACTCAACACAATCACAAGGATTCAGAAGGTGTCCTAAGTGTTTTGTTTGCATCACCGCGCCACAAAGCAGCCCCTCGACAGAGCAAACATGAGAAACACCCAAAGAAAAAACTCACCAGACTTGGCCAGACGCTTGAGACCCTCGACGAGCTTGGGCAGATCGGAGGGGTTCTTGCACTCGACGGCAACGCGCACGACGGGGGACACGGAGAACTTCATGACCTTCATGTTGTGGGCACCATCGAAGCTGGTCAGAGTACCAGTCTTGACAAGGAACTGATCCACACCGACGAGACCGCAGATGTTACCGCAAGGAACATCCTCAATGGGCTCGATGAAGCGACCCATCATCAGGATGGTACGCTGGATGGTCTTGACAAAGAGATCATCCTTCTTGCCAACAACGAAGTTGGGGCCCATGATGCGGGCCTTCATGCCAGTGGCGACCTTGCCAGAGTAGACACGGCCGAAAGCATAGAAGCGGCCCTTGTCGGTGGTGGGGACCATCTTCGAGACGTACATCATCAGAGGAGCCTCGGGGTCGCAGTTCTTGATACCAAGAGCGGCGGCATCGTCATGAGGACCCTCGTACAGCATCTCCATACGGTAGTTCTGGGCGGTGACGGGGGAAGGCAAGTGGATGGTGATCATCTCAAGCATGGCATCACCGGCAGGCAACCAGCGGCGCATCATGGCCTTCATGAGGGGCTTGCCCTCAAGCTCCTTCTCATCGGCGGAGAGCTTGATGCCGAGCTTGGTGATGAGCTTGGCAGTGTCGTCCTTCTTGAAGTTCATGACAGAGTCGAAGACCTTGAAGATGGGGTCCAGGACAAACATGTTGAAGCCACGGACGTAAGACGAGTCATCACCGTTCTTGCGCCACTTCTTCTCCTTGGCGTTGAAGAACTGGTCGCCCCAAAGGCGCTTCATGAGCTTGTCAACCTCAATGCCAAACTTGGAGGCATACATGGTGGCGAACTGCTTCAGGGTGAAGGCCCAGCCGTGGAGACCAGAGCCGAAGCCGACGGTACCAGCGGAGACATCGACCTGGATCTGGCCCATGGGTCCCTCGTCATCACCGTAGGTGGCAATGATGACGTTGATGCTCTCGACAATGCGACGGAAGGTCTGGAAGAGATCCTCCTGCTCGAGCTGGAGCTCGAGAAGAGCACGGTCCATCTTGTTGAGGAAGAGGACGGGTTTGATGCGCTCGGCGATGGCCTGACGCAGCACGGTCTCAGTCTGGACGCAGACGCCAGAGACGGCATCGACGACGACGAGGGCACCGTCGGTCACACGGAGGGCGGCAGTCACCTCCGAGGAGAAGTCAACGTGTCCGGGCGAGTCGATCAAGTTGATAAGGAAAGCGTTGCCATCGGAGGTCTGCTTGACCCACTTCATGTCCTCCTCAGCCAGCTCGTAGTAGAGGGAGATGGCAGTGGACTTGATGGTAATGCAGCGATCCTGCTCGTCCTGACGCGTGTCAGTGAAGCGAGTCTCACCGGCCTTGGCACCGGCAATGATACCGGCCTTGGAGACGAGGGAGTCCGTCAACGTGGACTTGCCGTGGTCCACGTGCGCAATCACGGACATGTTGCGGATGTTATGCCGCTTGTCCATGATCGCGCGGATCTGGTCGACCGTAAAGTTCACCTGGGGAAAAAAAAACAAGGATAACTTCATGAGCGACTGCCGGCAAGGGGAAGCGAGGATCAAGTGTAAAGGGAGTGGGGAGTGTATGGCATGCCCTTCATGTGGTGGCATGACGATGCTGCATGTAGCAATGCTGCCATGCTTGACTAGCTCGGCCCTTTCCCACGTGGAAGTGAATCAGATAGCTTTGGCACCTCTGGAAGCGCGGGATGTGACGCTCGGATCATGTCCGGCCGCAACATCCTTGCAGCCTGGATGCCACGCCTATCTGAGCCCAGCCACCGACTTTTTTCGATCATGACGAGCTACGCGGCGCTATGGCGGAACATCCGTTCACGGCCGTGTCTCAAATTATAACCCGATCGGAGCAGGGGTACTGTCCAGACATTGACGCGGCTTGCCGGCAGTCCGCATGGTTTGCAACAGCTTTTGGCAGCCTTGATCCAGGTGAAGAAGGTCTGATGTGTGTGTGTGTTGTGTGTATGTATGTTTGACGGCAGCCCGGCCAGCCGAGCCGCCGCCGCCCCGGTGAGACAAGCAACGTACCATCTTGGCGGTTGGTATCGGTAGACCGTTCTCCCCCCAAGTAATAAAGTAAAGTAAGCCACAGCCGTCGCCCGAGTCGTCTTGAAAGAGAGAGAGAGAGCGCGCGTCTCTGTGTGTGTGTGTGTGTGTGGTGGCAGTGACTGAAACGCGCGCACACACACAAAAACACGCAAGAACACACTTGACTTGGTGTAACAGCAGCAGACGTGTTTACGTTATGCTCCTCTGTGTGTGTATGTAGTGTAGTGTGTGTAGAGGAGAGTGTGTGTGGAGCTGTCAAAAGGAATGCAGTGTGCACACGCCACGCGGTCAGACAAGGTAAAGGTAAAGCGTAAGGTCAACAGAGAATGGCTGACACTGCAAGTAGCAATGACGCTTGCTTTCCACGTGGTAATGGCTTGAAGTGACCTTGTGGCGCAGCCGCCTGGTTTAAAGTGTAACATTCATCACGCGTGCAATACCATGCTTAGCCCTGCAACGTGGTATGAGCTCATGCAAGTTGGCTCATTCTTATTCAAAACTGAAAAATCATGCTTGAACTATTCAAAAGTCCTCTGGAGCAACCTTCAAAACTCGATTGTTTTTTCATCCCAGCCCAAGTGCGACTCGAGCACACTTACCCAGACTCACCACAAACAACAGTCGTTGTCGACTCGTCTGACAAATTATGAGTCCAAATTATTCTTACATTTTGACCAACCGACGACGTATTCAGTGACACACACAGAGGCGATCAAAAAATAAAATAAAAAATAAAAAAATTTAAAAACCAGTTTTTAGCTCGATTTGGCAGCTGGACGGCTCAATGCGCTTGGAGGGCCAAGGAGGGGCACTTGGACGTGGGCATTGTCTTCCGGTGATTGCGTCTTGTCCGAGTCTCTGTGCTATTGGTGGCCTGTGACGATTTGACTCCGGTTGAACCGGATCATTGCCAGCTGAGCAAAAGGATATCTCTCAACTGGCTCACGCTGTGAGCTGAGCGGCGTGGTCTTGCAAGCTCCGGTTTCCCTTTGCTGCCTTGCTCGTGCGGCATGGGCTTGGTGGCCAGTACCGCTGCGCCCGAAGGTGCGGGCGTGCGCACCCTGGCCACGCAGGATGCCACCGGTATCTGGACCATCCTCCGCTCCGTAAGCCACGATCCTGAAGAGGACATCACGATCTTTGAGCACACCTCGACGGCTGATCCGGACCCCGTCCTGAGCTTGGTCAAAAACAGTGCAAACTGGTTGCGCAAACTGCGCCATCCCTGCCTTCTTAAATACGAGTGGGAACAAGGCACCACTGCGCAACGCCGCCTAGGCATTGTCACCGAGCCCGTCGTGCCCTGGGCTAGCCTCGACTGCCGGCTCACGCCTCACGAGGCGCTGGTGCTGTGCCACACACTTGTTCGAGCCTTGACCTTTCTGACCGAGGTAGCCTTGTTCATCACGCCCGCCGCAATGCTCGTCGCCCTCACCCGTTTGCTTCACGCTCATGATCCTGACTCGACGCGTGCTCACGTGCTTTGCACCCCCCTACCAACCCAGTGTGGCTTGTACCACAACAATATCTGTTTGCGCAGCGTTTTTGTCCACGCTTCCACGGGCCAGTTCAAGTTGGGAGGGTTTGAGTTTACTGCTGAGCAGTCCCAACCACCTCTTGAGTCGGATCTACGCGAGCTCGCTGCGCGTGCCCCGGTACGCCACCCAAACCAAGCAGCGGATCGAGCCCCAGTCTTTGGTGCCTCCACGCCACCTTTTTTTTAACCTCCTGTGTGCATGGATGTAGGCGGATTGTCAGTGCCCAGACGTTTGGGCCCTCAATGCGTTGCTGGATGTTCTGCCGCTGACCGCCCCCCTGCCCCGTGCTCTGCTCGCACTGGTGCGCCAGCTCGTACAGGCCAACACCCTCCAGGTTCGCGCTCACCTGTGTCCGCCGTACAACATCGCCAATCGTCGCGCTGTGCCACTGCGCCCCGTTGGAGAATGCAACGGAACCAGAAACCTCGCGCTTATGATGGACTTGATCCCTCTCGTTATGGGCCAATCGCACCCCATCGCCGGTTGCTTTTCTGCCGACCTGCCTGCTGCTTGCGCAGGTAGAGGCCCTTGCCGTACTGCAGGCCCCCAAATCACCGCTCCTGTTCGTACCTCGCAATTCGATGCTCAACCCCCACAGCCCCCCTTGACCTCTTCAATCATGTTTGCCCACTGTGATGGGCTAGCAGCTGACCAGCAGAGGCGTGTTTTCCGCGCGCCTTTTCCGTTTTTTCTGACCTTGCTGGCGTTCCCAACAGATCCGATCCCCTTGTACAGGCCGTCCGCTTCACCGACGACTTCACCATCCTCTCCCCTTCCGCGCGCGCAGCCCAGCTCCAGTACGCCCAAAATCCTGCCCTTCCCTCAGACCAACGCTCGAGCATCACTCGAGTAACACTCACCTCCCAACTCGACTGCTTTGTCAACTTGTCAATGCCCCAAAAGGGAATTGGCGGGCAGCTTACGCAGCCTCTCTGCCGCCGCGTTCGGCCGAGTCCTGCTGCCTCTTTGGGTTCATCGGCCCTTGATGCTCTCCTTGGACAGTGTGGCCACTCTGATTCGCCACTTTGTAGATGTGGCACGGCCCGGTTGCCCAACCACACCAACTGAGATTGAAACGTGCGTGTGTGTCCACAGCTCACCGCAGCGCTCGCGGGCATCTCGGCGGCAGTAAGCTGCATAGCCACACCTCACCTTGGTCCTGCCCACCGATGGTACTACAAACACTCAGAATCTACTCGGCACCCCTCAGTGAGGGCTTGCTGGAGAGTAATGACGTCGTGAGTCGGACCCTGCTACTTGAGGCTTACTACCTGGCCGCCCCGGCCATGAGTTTGAAGGCCTTGGAACGCTGCCTTCACCTGATTCAACAAGGTGAGGACCTGATCCCGACCATGGGCTCAGACTGTGCTCTTCTATTCCGTAGTGCGATGCCATCTCATCCCCACAAACGGACGCTTTGGCCAGGTTTTGTGGCCGACGACGACAGTGTTATGGCGTCATCGTACATGGCCATGGGCGCGGCAATCAAGAGGCTGGGCGGCGACGTGCTACACGCACACCGCATGCCCGTGGTGGCTGCGTTCAACCCGGTAAGAGGACGTGGTGTTGCGACGTGGTTGGCTTTTGCGATTTGAACGTGGTGGCATGGAGTGATGATGCTTCTCTTACTGTGCTGCCTCCTGGATGCAGCCACGACCTGCCGACGAAGATTCGGACGCGGGCCGCTTCCAAGACGGCTCGTCTGTGCGCCCACCGACCAAGGCAGTAACAGCAAGCCCTGGGCAGAGTGTCTATGCAGATGACCCGGTGCCCATGGAGGACACGCCCGCCAGTCCCGCAAGTGGTGCGGATAGCCCGACAAAGACTCGAACGATGGGCGCTATCAGCTCGGGCAGGCCGGCTAAGACAAAGGCCGAACGAGATGCTGAGCGTGAGGCCCGGTTCGTACTTGTTGGGGCCTGTGCTCGCTGATTCATCGTGTTGGAGAACATCAGGCAGTCGTTTCCATTGTACTTGATGCCTTGTTTGCCTTTGCGCCGTCACTGAAAAACACTGCGCTCGACCTTTGCAGGCGCAAGGCTCGTGAGGAACGCCGGGAAGCTGCCAAACAAAAAGGCTCCCGCTCGAAACTCGGGGCCAAAAAGGTAAGATGCGGTCATGAGGTTGTGTCTCGCCAACGCCGTCGTTGAGAATGAATCAGCATGAGGAGAAGAGTTGTCTGCGAGGTGCAGGGCTTGATTTTTTGATTTTTTTTTTTTTTTTTTTGTGATGCAATTTTTTGTTCACCCATAGGCAAGCGGGGAGGATCCCACCACAAGCCCGGTCTCTGGTCTTGAATCACAAAAGGCCCCTGTTGACAACTCTGCGACTATGGAGCCCGGCTGGGGTAGCGGCAACGAGGAAGACGTGGATGCTGACTGGGGCAACCTGAACGAGGGGGACGCCAATGACGATTGGATCAACCAGAGCGAGGACGTCGCAGGTGCAGGTGAACCCAAGACTAGCGGGTCGCCACAACTGGCTGGGGACTGGGGCGATGAAGACGCGGCCGTTGATTGGGGGCCGTTGGAGGAGGACGAGGATGTGGAGGAGAAAGAGCAGGAGAGCTCCGATGCAACTACCAAGTCCAAGGAGCAGGAGAGTGCCAACATGAAGGTCGCCGCCGTTGTGGAGACAAATGACTGGGCCAATGAAGACGACGGCTGGGGCGCCGAAGATGATGATTGGGGTGCCCTCGAAGATGAGATGTCAGCCAAGGAACATTCTTCGCCCGTGCCCCAACCCGACGTCAGCAGGCATCAAAGCACCAGTCCTGGGGAAAGGATGGATGATGATCGAGCTGGCTCAGGCCGCGAGGGTAAGGCGGGCAAAAATCAGAGCGCCATGGCCAGCCCCGTTTCTGGGGCTCGGACCAAGATTCGTGATGCCCAGTCTTCGGATCGGCAAACGGTACCGGTCCGGTCATCATCCATTACGTCAAAGATGGATGGCAACACGTCACCACCATCATCATCACCGTCATCGCCCCCGAAAAAGCAATCGGAACGGCCTATGAAGAAGGGCATGAAATTAGCGGGGCGAGCCAAACGCCAGGTGCTGCCTAGTGATGATAGCCAGAGCTCCACGCAAACCCGTGCCACAAGTTCTGAGGGGCAAGCACCCACTGTGACGCCAGCGACGAAACCACCCGCGGCAGCAGAGCCCGTGGTACCCAAGGTTGTGTCAGATGACCCATTTGCAGAGCTGGCGCCCAAGCTCGAGCCTCAGCCCACCTCTCCGGCCCCGGCGCTGAGCGCCCCTGCCACCATGCGATTTGCAGCGGCCGATCCTTCGCCTGAAGATGATGGTGGTGACGGCTGGGGGGAGGCGGACGGTGATGGCTGGGGCGACGCTGGAGATGAAGATCTGGATCTCGATCTCTAGCGAGACCCTTTCTGGTATCATGTAGCGGACGAAGGGGATATTCTTTCGATTTGAGTTTTTTTTTTACGCGAGTCCTGCCTGAGGTTTGGATGATGCGCGATTCAGTGTGCTTGTTGTGGAGGCCGCCATTGCATGTGTATCTAAATTTGACAAGAATTTAAAATAGTATTAGACGCATCACATGCTCGATTCACGGCCCGAGACGAACGAGTGCGGTAGCTCAACGAGCCTCAATGCACTCAAACCACGCAAGTGATAACTATGGGTCAGGATGAGCGCCATCTACACCACCGAGAATGATTTGTGTGTGCATCTGTGAACTTTTCGCCATGTTCCAAATCGGAGTACGCCCTATTGACCAAGCATTGGTGCGCGGGCAAGCATCTGGAGTGAGATGGACCAACAACACACGTACTCTGCTGGCTAGTAGTGTATGAGGCCTTCACCCGTTCCATTGCAATCGTTCACAGCCAGCTCAAGTACCCCTCAAACCGCTAGTCGTTCACAAACCTCGATCCTTATCAATGTGACTTGGCGCCATAGTGAAGCGCAAATTCGGAAAAAAACAGGCAAAAACCTCCCCTACACTCTGACATCTGACATCTGACATCTGACATTGACAGCCGTTGCAGCTTCGATTGCGTCATTCTGTGCAATGGTGTGCGCAGCGAGAGAGAGAATGAAAGAGAGAGGAGTGTGTGTGTGTGTGTGTGTGTGTGTGTGTTGCCGCTGCTGCCGGCAGCCACCTCAATGGCGTGCGTGTGCATGCGGTCCTGGCGGGCGTCAGATAATGGCAGCCATATTATGGCAGCGCCTGTTTCCAAGTACAACAATGCCACGCACTCCCAAACTATAAGATCAAGCCGAGCACATGGCCCCAAGTCCGAGCTGACCAATGAAGAAGAAAAGAACCCAATAAGAGCCAGTTGACCAAAACGCCTTTCAAACATTTGTTTTGGTGCTCGCTCCCACACACACACACACACACACACACACACAAAAGCTGTTGAACACTTTTTCCTTTTTTTTCTTTTTTTTTCTTCAGAGAGAGAGAGAGAGAGAGAGCGAGAGCGCCAACAACGGCAGCGTGGGGTCGGATCTTAAATCATATTGCCTGATTATCTCTGTTCCTGGAGGCGCTGTGAGGTCCTAAGAGCGTGTTTGGCTAGGGGTGTGGGAGAGCTGTGCTCGAGGCTGTGAGTGTATTTCTTGGTCCGTGTATCCTTTTTGGCCGGGCTGCTGCCAGTGGAGCCTTTTTAGCACACACCTTTGAACATGGCACACGGGACCATGGACACGGCACAGCTGGCAGCCGTGGCGCTGTCGCACACCAACCCCCACTTGGCGACGCTCAAGGAGGACAATATGTATCATATTGGCTTTTCTACCCGCGATGACCTTCGCCACCTCTTTGGTGACGTTCAAGTCGTCGTAACGGGAGGCTCGCCCACTCGCATGCAACACTTTGCCGAAATGGTGCTCCTTGAGCTGGACCTTCCCTTGCCCTTTGGTAGCCAGCTGCATGATATCTGTAGCACCGATAGGTACGGTACTACGCATCTCGTTCCCGTCTTTGCCATATTTCCTTTTTATGCTTGTGGCCATGGGACCTGCTTCCGTGTCCTTGTGGTCTTTGTGTCCTTGTGTCTTTGAGGTCTTTGTGTCTGTGGATGTGCCTTCTTCCCTGCCGATGAACCTCTATCCAACCAACGTTCTTGCAGCCTCGCCTTGACTCATCAACAACAACGCTTCTTGGTGCCACAGGTATTCCATGTACAAGGCCGGCCCTGTGCTCTGTGTGTCGCACGGCATGGGCCAGCCCTCGTGTGCCATCATGCTCAACGAATTGGTCAAGCTTCTGGCTCATGCCGGCCATGAATGCGGAAACATGACATTTATCCGTCTCGGTACGAGTGGCGGCTTGGGTGTGACCCCGGGCAGTGTCGTCCTCAGCACCCAGGTCTACGATGGCCTCCTTCGTGCCTCCCACGAGTCCTTTATTCTGGGTCAGCGCGTGGAACGTGATACCAAGCTCGACGAGGCCCTCAGTGATGCCATCGCCCAGGCCGCTCCGTCGGAAATCAACATCGTGCGTGGCGCCACCATGAGCACGAGCGACTTTTTCGAGGGTCAAGGTCGCCTCGACGGCGCCATCTGCAGCTTTGGCGAAGAGGTACTTCATTCCCCCCCTAAAAATGATTCGTCGTGTCTACACCGCTCCTCATGCTGAGTTGTGCATCAAACTCATGCTTCTTGTCCAGGACAAAATGCGCTTCCTCCAACAGGCTGCTGGCGTGGGTGTGGTCAACATCGAGATGGAGGCTTTGGTCTTTAGCAGCTTTTGCCACACGGTTGGGGTTCCAGCCGCTGTTGTTTGCGCGACCCTGGTGGTACGTAACTTTTTCAACGGTGCCCCCTCATCCCTCCTTTGCCCCCTTTTCCTCTTGTTTGTGCTCCTCTCGAATGCTCTTGTGTGTGTGTGTGTGTGTGTGTGTGTGTGTGTGTGTGTGTGTGTGTGTGTGTGTGTGTGTGTGTGTGTGTGTGTGTGTGTGTGTGTGTGTGTCTTGATGGAGGAGGTTTGCTATTGTGCACAATGCCCTGATTCGCTGGTGGCTTTTCCTGGTACCGATCGTCCATCATAGGATCGCCTGCAAGGGGACCAGCTGTCAGAGGATTCAACCATGATCAAAAGCTTTTCGCTGAATGCACAGCGTGTGCTGCTGGCCTATCTCAAGGCACGGTTTGGAAAGTAAACTTTAATTGACTTGACAACGCGTTCACGGATCGAACCAAATCAACTCGTGCACCAACGTTCCACATGCAGCAAAAGCAAGAGCGCTCGCATGGCTATGTTCAATTGGTGCACAGAAGCCTGACACACTACAGAGCAAAGTACATGCAAAGAGTCGAACCACAAGTGAGCAACAAGTCAGCCAGTGCATGCAGTCAATGTGACTGCTTGAAGCTTCTGGCTCGAAAAAGTCGGGGGAGCACGGCACGCTCAGCGTTTTAGTGCGTTTGTGACTGCGATTTTTCAAAGGCTTGGATTGCCGCCTTGTTGGCAACAGTAGAGAGGGGAGAGAGCAGTGCGTGTCAGATTGTCCAAAAGAGATTGACGAAATGACGGCGGCGACAAACAATTGGGGGAGGCAGCAAATTCACCCACCTTGGATAGAAAAGCCGATTCCAGTTCCCAGGTCATGAACTGGGGACCTCGTTTGTACCATCGTACCAGGTAGGAGCGAACGCCGTTAGGCGCACAGCGCACGGCCTCGATTCGCTCTACCACCATGAGCTGATGAGGATCAAGACCCAGTTCAGTCGGGTCCGGTGCACGGGCCTTGAGCGAAGCCTGTGCTGATGATGTCGTCTGAGAGGGATGTTGCAATTCTTCAATGCTCCGGCGGCGTGGGATTTCATGCTGTACACTTGGTCGAGCGTCATGTTGATGTCGCACCGGTGCTGAGCTCGTCCGCGCCACGGACGTTGCACCAGCACTCAGAGCCGATGAGGGGTGTTTTCGAAGGATTGAGGCTGGAGTGTTTGTTGCTGATGGGCGCACCATGGAAGGTCCAGCCGTGGGCCTCCAGTTCGCGGGGGTGGTTTGCTTGGCTCCTTCAGGCTCTTGAAGCATACGGTGGCGCAAGCGCTGGCGGGCCGTCAATGGTGCTGCGGCTACGGGTGCGAGGAGTGGATCCTCCTCAACAGGCATCTGTGGAGATGGCACAGAATTACTGGTGCCATGCCAATAGTTGAAAAAGGTGAGCTACGGCGCCAAGCCGAACATTGAGTCACATGGGCGTGCGCCCGTCGTACCTAGCGGCTCGGCTGGGGTGATCTCGATGAGATCTCTGCAAGAGGAAAGGGCATTTTGCATCGCACCAGTCAGAAGGGAGATGGTCCATGTCAAATGCTGTCGGACGCCGTAGAGCAGGCTGACCTTGCTAGCAGGTTGGCCCGTGCCCTTAGCCGGGCCAGGCTCATTGCTGCGGCGTCGCGAGGCCATGTGTAGGCTACGTCCAGGAGGCCCTCTGAACGCAGGTCTGCCAAAAGACGGCGCAGGGTTGCGCCGATGAGCAGCGTCTCCAAAGGCGCGAAACCTTCACAGGACTCAGCAGAGACACGCAGTTGACATGCATGGGTGAGCAAGTCGAGGGCCAACGACCATTTCGCAACGCCACAAGACAAATAGCTCAGAGAGTCGAGCCTGGCTGCCACAATCGACAGTCGCAGTCAATAGCCAATAGCCGCAGACAGCAGACAGCAGATAGTCGACAGCCAAGAGCGGCAGCCCGTCAGTGCATCAAGTTCATCTCTCTCTCTCTCTCTCTCTCTCTCACACACACACACACACACACAAGAAATACGAAAAAAAAAGTAACGGTACACACACACACACACACACACACACACACACACACACACACACACACGTACGTTTTTTTTGTTTTTTTTTCCCTTAAAATGCCGAGGGAGGAGATGCAATGTACGGCCGGTTGGGGGTCGACCCGACTCATCTTGGGGCTTGGGCTGATGGTATTGGCGGTCAGGGCGGCGGTGCCAGTGCCTCCAGTGGGACCGAGTGTGGTTTTTGCCAAGGGAGAGGCTGGGTACTACTGCATCAAGATTCCGGATGTGGTGCATTTCCCAAACAGCTCAACCTTGCTGGCGTTTGGAGAGGCTCGCCGAGACTCGTGCTCGGACTACACTGCCACCGAGCTGGTGATGAAGCGCTCTGAAGACCTTGGTCGCACGTGGGGCAATCTTACCGTGGTCCACGCCAATGGCGCTCATGTTGTGGGCAATGCTGCGCCAGTACTCCTGCCCTCTGGTACGCTTTTTGGTGCACCAGCTCGCTTGATCCGTGCTACTCACCCCCGAACCGCTCACCGCCCGATCGCTTCCTGGCCGGCTCCATCAGGTCGGCTGCTTTTACCACATTGCCTCGACAACAAGGTTGTCTACACCATGCACAGGTCAGGCAGTTTCCCGTTGTCTCATCTGCGGCAGTAGGTGTCTCAAAGTGGCTCATTCATTTGCTGGACTGCCGGGGTGCTAGTGACGACCAAGGTATGAGCTGGAGCACCCCCACTTTGGTCTCAAACGCAGTGCGGGACGACTGGCGCTGGATTGGTCTAGGGCCACCCGGTGGTCTCTACAATCGCGGCCGGGTTGTCATACCAGCCTATCACGACACATCACCACATGGTGCGTAGGCAGGGTATGGCCTTTTTTCCGCCCCACAGAAGACCGGTAGGTACGCCAAAGTGCTCATGGTGTCCGAGTTGCCCATTTTTTTCTTTTTTTTTTAATCTCAACTAGGTGATGATGGCCAGTTTACACACCCCCACACACTTCTCAGGTATGCGTACCGTACCGTGCCGTGTCGTGTGGTCTGCTCTGCCTCTGCGCCCTCTTGGAGCGCCAAAGCAGTCAACTCGCCCACGAAAGCGAGGCGCCACTCTTTTTGTTTCTGACTTGCCAACCCCATATAGCGATGACGAGGGTGCAACTTGGCGCATCGGAGCCACCATCAACTCTACGGAGCTCGATCCTTTCTTCTCCAACGAGAACCAGGCTGCGGTCTTGAGCAACGGCAGCCTGTTCTTTTCCGCGCGCACCTTGCTGGAAAGACGCAGCCAGTGGTTGAGTCACGATAATGGCGAATCCTTTGGGCCTGTTCAACTGGTGGAGACGCTCATCCAGCCCGTAGATGGCTGTGAGGGGTCAATTGTGACCTTGGCCTCGGGGGCACTGGTGCTGACACATCCAGCGGCATGGGACCTACGCTACAATCTGACAGCACATGTGAGCCAAGACAACGGGACCTCCTGGACCCCTAGCGTTGTGATTGACCCGCTCCCGAGCGGGTACTCGGCTTTGGTGGACCTGAGCTCACCGGAAGGAGGTCAAGCAGTTGTTGGTCTGCTCTGGGAGCACGCACCTCTGCCCAAACAACTAGTATTCGTGCCGACTGACATTCGCTTTCAGGTGATTCCGCTCTCGCTGTGAACCGGCCCCAACGAAGGAAGCACAGGGCGCGTCTTTTCAGATCCCTTGGCAACAGTGTTGCTCTTAATTGATTGTGAAGTATTCTGTGTCCTTGTTTGCCTGTTTTTCCGAGACCAGGAGCACTTGCGATGCTGATACGGGTATCCCATAGACGCACATTCAAGACACATCGCAAGCTTGCCAGCCTACCGGAGCTTTCATCAACATGCATCCACGTTATGACATCTGAAAGTCACGCGGCGCTTTCCTCTCAGGCTAGAATGCATACCCTTGACTCGAGCAACACAGACAGACAGACAGACAGACAGACAGACAGACAGACAGACACACAGACAGACACAGACACAGACACAGATACAGACACAGGCACAGACACACACACACACACGCACACACACACACACACACACACACACACACACACACACACACACACACACACACACACACACACACACACACACACACACACACACACACACACACACACACACACACACACACACACACATGATGTCCTCTAACTGATGTTTGTATAACAACAGCGTCACATGCCAAAAAAAAAAAAAAAAGGGACAGGAGCAGTTTCACGCGAGTCGAGATGTTCGTCATGGCGCACCGGGGTCATGTTGTGAGCTTGCTGGTGGTTGCGGGTCTGTTGGTACACGCGACAGAGGATGTTGAGTGGCCTATCCTGGCCGTGGATGACCGTGGCAATTTGCACATTAATGCGACCACGCTCGAAGAGCAAAGCGTCGCGGGCGCCGCCAGCCCTACCATCTATCTCAACGGCGTGGATGTCAAGGCGCGCATCGAGTCGTTGTCGCAGGAGCTCAACAGGACCCGGCAAGACCTGGCCAATGCACTTGCGCCCGGCCCCACTGCAGGACCGTGGGGAATCAATCTCGATTACAACAACTCGCTCTATCGTGCGCTGGACATTGACTATGTTCACGTGGTGGGCTACCGAGACGTTTATTCGCCCTTTTTCGACTTGGATGATGACCTGAGCTCGGGCGTGGCCATGGTACAGGTCAAGGGCACGTTTCGAATGCTTGGTAGCGATTGCTGGCAGTTTATCGAGGTCGTTTGCTGGAAGGATGACCAACGCATCACCCACGAAATGGCCTGCCGCTATGAGGGGGTCACAGCCCAATTGGCCGACCTTGGTTCGACAAACAGCGGTCCAATCTTCACCTATCCACCATCAGTGGCCTCGCATTGGGGTTTGGATGACGGCGAGAGGTTATGGATTGGCTTTTATCTCCTTGGCAATGTGTCTCGCCTCCCCGATTACGTGGTCCGACTCGATAACCCCGCATCGTCCTATGTCAACGGTACGGCCATCATCCTGCCCGACGAGCTGTCGCCAGAAGTAATGGCAGCACTGGCGTCCAATCCCATGGTGGTGGCCGTCCGCCACCGACGCACGTGCTCTGACTTGCGCCTTGTCTACCACAACTTCAAGCGAGATACCATGGAGAGCTTTGGGCAGGCGGTGACGCTTCGCTCCTGGAGCCGAAGAGAGAATGGCCGATTTACCTTTTTCCCGGAAACCACGCGCTTTCAACTGCGCATGCAGCTCAACTACTATGCGCTGGCCAACACCAGCACCATCCTATCAGACTACACCGTCCGCAAAGTTCCCACTGATATTTAAGCAACCCGTCGTGCACGGTGAGAGAGGTACCATAATCATATTATTATTGTCTGAAACCACCACAGCCCACACCCTTGGGCATTGCGGTTGCGGGCCTCTTGGCAAGAGCGAGGTTGTTTTTCTTTCGCCAGTTTGGCGACAACAGCCACGAGCCTGCGCCGACCCAATGCCCGAGCGAAGTTGGCGTCGAGTCTTCTCGCCTGCTGGCCATCTTGCCTTCTTAGATGATGAGACCTAAAAATCGAATTAGAATTTTATCCCGCAGCTTGATTCGGCCAGAGGAGCCGTTTGGCTTGATAATGTGCAAAGCAAGGTCATTATCCGTGATGAGTCGAGGTTCCACCCATCAGGTTCCACTGGTACGCACCATCGGACAGCTGTAGCTCTGCTCGGACTGCTCGCAAGCCGCTCGACCTCGCGACCTCGAATTCACCGATTTCTTTTGACATTTCTCTCTCTTCTCTCTCTCTTCTCTTTTCTCTCGTCTCTTGGCTCCTTTCTCAGCTCTCGCCTCTCTGTCCATTATCTCTCCATTCACAAGTCACACACACACACACACACTCTCTCTCTCTCTCTCTCTTTCTCAAACTAACCAACCCAATTCATCTCTCTCTCTGTCTCTCTCTCTGTCTCTCTCTCTCTCTGTCTCTCTCTCTCTCTCTCTGTCTCTCTGTCTCTCTGTCTCTGTCTCTCTGTCTCTGTCTCTCTCTGTCTCTGTCTCTCTCTGTCTGTCTCTGTCTCTCTCTGTCTCTGTCTCTGTCTCTCTGTCTCTCTGTCTCTGTCTCTGTCTCTGTCTCTGTCTCTGTCTCTGTCTCTGTCTCTGTCTCTCTCTCTCTCTCTCTCTCTCTCTCTCTCTCTCTCTCTCTCTCTCTCTCTCTCTCTCTCTCTCTCTCTCTCTCTCTCTCTCACATGTTCACACACACTCTCTCTCCCTCTCTCTCTTCTCTCTCCTTCTTGCTAGTTGTGCTTTTCCTTTGTGTCTTTGCTCTTTACTTCTCTCTTCTCAAACCAATTCATTCCTTCTTGCTTCTCCGCTTCGCTTTGCCTTTTGTGCTTTCATGCTCCATGCTCTTGAAGATTTTCTCGTAAGCGTGTGCAGTGAGTCAGTGGCATTTTTCTTCTTCGTCCTTCAGGTTCTTTGTCTACATCACCCTCTGCCTCCTTTTTTTTTTTTTGGCAGCGGCTTCCGTTTCAAACTCCTCGTTGGACGTCCGTGTCCCGCGCTTAGTCAAGGCTATAAGCCTGGTCCTCGGTGAGATCTGGCTTGGTCACGTTTGGAGCAGAGTGCGGCATCATTTGATCTCGGCTCTTGGGTCACTGTGCCGGCTGACAGGAGCACGCTCTCATCTCTTTTTTTTTTCTTCCTCAATATTCTTGGCCGGATGGCCGCTGGCTTAGTAGGACCATCCACCATGGATGACATTCAAAAGCATTTGCGCTGGTGCGATGCCATTGCCACCCTGGGTATTGGTCAAGGACGCACATTGCTCCTGGACTTGGAGGGCCTCGCCCATCACGTCTATGAGCCCGAGTACAAGGATAGTGTGCGCTACCTGGTTCAAAAGGCGCTGCACTTTGTCGACGTTCTCGTCAATGTGGCCCACATTCACCTCTGGATTGTCAGCGCGCCCGAACTGGAATCCATCGGCACGAACAATGATGCCAGCCTTAAGCTTCTTCGCAACGCCATCGTCACCCTCTTTCAGGTGAGTGCGCAATGATGGGTGTCCAAGCGTGCGACACTCGGCCATCGACGATGGCCAACGTCGGTTCAGAGTGACCTTCCTGCAACCTCACTCATCGCCTTGCGTTGACTTGCTAGTCGGAAATCGACCATCCCTCCGTTACCTTCTCCCGATATGCCTCGATCAACGACGAAGCCTTCAGCTCTGATAAGATGCACCACGTGGTCAGTTGGTGCTATCTTCCCTCTGCCTCCCCCCAAACTTACCATCGTGCTGCCCTCAGCCCAAACCTCACATTCTTTTTCTTAATTTTTTTTTTGTTGTGGCTTGGTAGCCCATTGCTGCTCTGAGCACGACAGCGGATCGTGACCCCATCACCAGCATTCATCTGTGGCTGCGTCAGGTCTGTTGCACATTGACGGTCTCCCACACCACCCCACTTCCCCAACCCAACCAGGTGCCTCACTTGATGACTGTGCATCAATGTCACAGGAGTTGCCAGTCATCTTGCTGGAGGGCAGCAACTTTGCCACGCCACGCCTCTTCGCTTGGCTTGTCGACTTTTGTAAGGAGCCTGTTGCAATTGGAGCGCACCTTCCTGCTGTCAAAAGTGACGCCCAAGATTCCGGTGCCGTGCCTCATCAGTGACTTGCCCCCCTTGTAGTTACATTGCCCACGTCGGAAGACACATCACCGGCCGTGACCGCGGCGGTCTCGGATGAATTCAGCTCGGAGCAGCAAACCGCGCTGCTGTCTGCTTTTGAACAACAGATCAAAGATACCTCGGCAGATGACGAGGAGCGCTACTGCGTTGCGCTGTGCCTAGCTGCATTCCAGGCCAATGGCGAGGGATCTCCCTTCCCTCACAGCGTAGCTTTGGCTGCGCTTGCCCTGGCGCAAACTTTGCCTTTGCGGTCCCGCAACCTGGCTGGCCCAACGCCCGAAGCCTGGGATGCCCTGGCCCAGGCGAGCCCCGAACTCGCCCAGTGTCGCGACTTCTGGCTCAAGAGTCTGACTGCTCTTGCCTTTCTTCTGCAAGCTACCCGCCAAAGTGCCCACAAACCTAAGCGCGTGGAGGATATTGTTGATGGCCGCCTTTATCGTGCCTTGTGCCTTGCATTGCTGGCCAACCCCGCAGCTCCAGCCTCTGCCCTGACCGCTTCAGCCCCGAGCTGGCTGACGCAGTATCTCGCTTCGAGCGCCCCTCTGCAAGCAGCATGGACAACTGCCCCAAAGGCCGCTGTGCCTGCTGCTAAAACCGAGCAAGAGAGTGCACAAGCGGCTGCCCGTGCTGAGCAAGCAGCTTCTGCTGCCATTCCCGAACCGCTGCCCCTGCTGCACGCCACAGCAGCTTTTGCCGAACGCTCAGCGGACAACTCGCGTATCCTTGATCTTTGGATGAACCGTGCCATGACACGTGCACAGCTTGCGGGCGAGGATCAAGTTTGGTCTGCTTTGGCTCAAAACCAAAGCGCGCCCACCCTTGACATGCAGGCGCAAACCACGCCTGCTTGGCCAGTGCCCAACTCTTTCACGCCCAAGGTAGCCGACCAAGACTCGGATCGTTTTGCCTACGTGAATCAGATTCAAATTGGCCGTCGTCACGAAGAGCGCATCATGCGCGCGGTACGTTGCACCCTCTTCTTGTTGTGGAGCTGATTGTGCGCTCTCTCAGAGGCAGCGTGGCCAGTGCGAGAGTAGAGGGTTGTGCTTGGTCTTTGATATTGGTTTTGCTCATTCATTTTGACCATGCCTCATCTAAATTTCTGCTGATGCTCCTTTGAAATCATCTAGGCGGGAATCTATCGTGCAGCCCGCCGAGAAGCCACTGCTAGCACCGGCGACGAGCGCGAAGCTGCGCTTCGCCGCATGCGCGATGCTACCATGACTCTCTTTGGTCTGCTTCCCGTATCCATTGATGAACGCTTTCGGCGGTGCAAACCGCTGGAACTGGACCCGGCCATGGAAACCGAGCTTGAATACTTTTTTGACAGCCGTGGCCGACACAAGGGTGACATGAAGGGCATTCAAAAGGCCATGGAAAAGGAGCAGCGGGCACGCCAAACCCTGAGCGAGCAGCGTCTCAAGACAGCCGAAGGGCTCATTGGCGGCCCAGTGCAGACCACGCTCATCGAGCTTGATGCCAACGACGATCGCCTGCCCCAACTTGAGGCTCTCAATACCTTCCGTCGCCGTCTTGAGGCCGACGACAACCCCATCAGCAAGGGCCTGGAGCAGCTTCAGCGTGCCACTGTCCCCACGCAGCTCAAGGTTTCCTTAGACCAGGTCCAGGCGCGTCAGCTAGAGCGTGTCAAGGTTGAAGTAAACCGAGCGCACTCGCGTCAGCGCCACCGCGTCCTCCGCGCCATCGCCACCAGCATGAACCAGCAGCAAGTGCGCAATTATAAGACTTGGCTCCAGCGCATGGACGACGCGGCCGACAAGGCCAACCTCCTGGCTTTGGTGGCTGACATCGGTCTCTTCATTGGTAGTCATGATCGTCCGGAAGCGCCACTGGAGCTGGATCAGCCACCCTTGCGCATCTCTGTCGAAGAACGTGAGGCTGCTGCCACCATTGGCCAAACTCTATCGCTGCTCCGCAAGGCCGAGAGTTATCAGAGTCGCAAGTTTCCTAGCGAGTTTGCTCATGCCCTGGAGCTGCTGACGAAGCAGGTCGAAAGCTTGCGCAGCCTGTTGGCCGCGTACGGCTTCACCAACGACCAGCCACCTCAAGTGCTCGCCCGTTTTGTCTTGCGCGTCATGGGCCCGCATTTCCGCCGGCCGAGCGGCCGCGAGGACTACCGCTCGGAGCACTTCCCGCCCGACGATTGGCAGCGAACGCTTCTGACCGCCATTGACAACCGCCACAGCGCCCTCATTTCTGCCCCAACATCTTCAGGCAAGACCTTCATCTCTTTTTACGCCATCGAGCAAGTCCTTCGGGCCTACCCCGAGCACGGCGACGGCCGCGTGGTGTACCTTGCCCCAACCCGTACGCTCATGCAGCAAGTGCGCGGCGATGTGGAGGCTCGGTTCGAGAAGAAGATGGACCGCAGCGTTCTTCTCGGCGAGTTGGATCCTGGCTTTCGCTTCAACCTGGATACGTGCCAGGTGCTGGTGGCGTCGCCCGAGTGTCTTGAGGAGCTGTTGTTGGATCCCGTCGTGGGCTTGCAATGGCGTGCTTCCCTGAAGTGGGTCATCTTTGATGAGATTCACAGCATCACCTCTGCCACAGGCCGTGTTTGGGAACGCCTCCTGGCCCTCATCAACTGCCCCTTCCTGGCCCTGTCTGCCACGCTGGGCAACGTGGATCACCTGCGCCGTTGGCTCAATGAGCTGGAGGACAGTCGTCGTCGTCCCGAGGTCACGTTTATCGAGCACAAGAAGCGCTGGAATGACCTGGGCTTCTCCACGTACGCGGGTTCTCTGGAGGACCCCAAGGTTGAGCCCATGAATCCGATTGCCCTCTATCGTACGGAACAACTGCAGCGAGATGATTGGAAGTCGCTCGTCAAGCTAATCCCGGAGCACCTGGACTCTGTCCTCGAGACGCTGCGCGAGATCCCCGAAGCCGCTGAGGACGTGGCCGAGCTGACCAAGTTTCGTGATACCAACTTTGGACGCGCAGAGCTGCCCGTCATGTTTGGCAGCAGCAACGACGAGGGTGTCTCTGCCACGCCGAGCGCGGTGGAGCAGTTTGAGGCCCAGGTCAAGGGCGCCGTCCAACGATTGGCACAGACGACTCCCAGCGCGTGCAAGACGTTGCTTGCGCGATTGGCCTTTGCGCCCCCCGTCTTGATTGACTCGTTGCCGAGGGAGGCAGAGGAATTGCGCCAACTTTACCGCTACCTAAACAAGGAACGCCAATTGCCGGCTCTTATCTTCCGTCTCAACGTGTCTCATATCCAGAGGCTGGGCAGTGAAATTGTGAAGCAGATTGAACTCAGCGTGCCGTCTGACCAGGAGCTCAAGCGGGAGACCATTTTCACGAGCCCCTTTGAGCAACTCAAGACAGAGCTGACAAACGACGAGCACAAGCGAGCGCGCATCAAGTCGGAGCAAGGCCTCGATGACTGGGGTTACAACGAGTGGGCAGCGCAGGAGGCGGAACAGCGCGTCCTCAGCAACCTGCGTGCCTCGCAGCGTGTTGACGACCTGATTCGTGCCACGCGCACGTATCGCCGCGTGCGCGACCAAAAGCATCAAGCCATGCTCATGGATGATGCCCAACGTCAGTCCAAAAAGGATGAAATGGATTGGAATGATACTCAGTATGATGAGCACGCCTTGGAGCAGGCCGAAGCCTCGGCTATCGTCACGGTGCGCGCCCAAGCCTTCCGCAACGTCGGCTTTTGCGTGCCCGGCCAATCTCTGCCAACGATGGAAGAGCTGCATGACATGTATGCTCCCGGCAAGGAACTGGCCAAATTTGAGAACATGGTTTCTGAGAGCCCCTTCTTTCAAGCCCTTTTGTGTGGTGTGGGTATGCACTACTCGGCCCTTTCCGCGCCCAAGCGTCGTTTGGTGGAGAACCTCTTCCGTGCCCATCGCCTCGCGGTGGTGCTGGCCACGGAAACGTTGGCCGTGGGTATTTCCATGCCTTGTCCCACGGTGGTGATCACGGGCGATGCACCGGAGCTCGACCCCACCAACTTCCAGCAAATGTCTGGCCGTGCCGGTCGTCGTGGTTTCGATCTTCGCGGCCAGGTCATCCTCTTTAACATGTCATCCTACAAGGCGCGTTTTTGCCTGTCGCAGTCCATCAACACCAACGCGGGCAACCCCGTAGGGGATGCGGGCTTGACGCTCAAGATGCTCTGTGGCCTTCGTACTGTCAACACGCGCCTGGACGAGCGCTCCGACGTGCTGAGCACCATGGATCGCGTCCTTTGCCAGCCCATGGCCTTTGCGGCCCAAGACCCCGCCACGCTGGCACGACACCACCGCAGCAACGCGCTGTTGCAGCGCTTCGTGCTCGAGTTTTTGGCACGGGTGGGTGCCGTAAAGTTGAACGTATCGCAGGCCAGTTCGGCCAGCGATGCGGCTGCTGTGAGCAAGGAGTCGGCGATCCCGGCTGCTGCAGGCAAGCCAGACTCTGATGACGAGGATGATGAGGATCTCCTGGATGATTGGGATGCTAGCTCTGATGAGGAGGGCGAAAGCGTGGCACCTGCAGGTGCTGGAGCTGGACCGGCAGCAGTGCAACTGACTGCGACGGCGGACCTGCACAACCTAAGTGCCTTTGCTGGTCAATTGTACTTTGAGAGCCCGCTCAACTTTGCCGTTTTGCAGCTCCTGGTGGAGGGCACGTACGTGCAAGCCTACGGGGCGTATCGCGCTCATCAAAAGATGCAAAAAGCCAAGGCCGATTTCTTGACTTTTGTGCTGCACTGCGTATGCATTCGCCGCGAGAACGGATCTTGGCTGCAGGAGGCTCAAAAGACGCGCGATCAACGCCAAGCCCCAGTAGCCATTGTGCTGCCACCTGCCCCTGCCCCGTATGGTCCAGCCCTGGCTGCTGCGCGCGCAGCGGGAGTGCAAGCGTTGACCTCTGTGGTGAAGGCCCACAAGGATGTTTTTGTTGACACCGACTCAATGCCCTTGCCCTTGCTCAAATCGACATCGCACGCGGCCAAGGCAATCCCCACCAACCTGTTGGCCGATGTGACGGTGCCAACCACTGTTCGCACAGCGAACAGTTCCTTGGTTGGAAAGGGTGATGTCCTGGCGTCGGCCTCAGATGCATTGGCTGCCACACAAGAGTACTTGCCCTGGCTTCACTCAGACCTGCTGGTGGATGACCTAGTTAGCGACCAGGTGAGTGCGAATTTCGGTGTGCTCTTGCGAGGACTTGTAGCTTGCGGTTTTTTTCCTTCTTTTTTTTTTTTTTTCCTCTGGTATTGTTTTGGTTCACACGACCCTCTCTGTTTGCATGCGTTGCAGGATCGCTCGGTGTTTGGTGCGTCGTGGAAGAACGCGTGCGTGCTCGACCAGTGGCAAGTTCGCGATCCGGCTCTTGTCATGGAGTTGGATCGCGTTACCCGCGATGATCTCTACGATCACTTTGTCGTGCTGCGCACCTATTTACGCGTAAGTCGCCCTTGGCCTGCGTCCACTGCTTGGCAACAGCCGCTGTGTTTCTGTTTTCGTTTTTGTTTTAGTTTTTCTTATTCGTTGGTGACTTATTTAGGTGCTGGGCCGAACCATGTGGGCCCGATTGGAGGATGGAACCGATCCCGAGCATTTGCAAGCCCGAAACTTTTTGGTGGACCTTATTCTATCGTTGGAGCTTGACGTGCACAACTGTCTTGCCACCTTGTAATGGGTTTCAAACTTGGGCGTTTACTTGTAATCGTCCCAACCGTTGCTGGTCATCCGGCTCCTTGTTTCTTTGTGGGTCTTTGCGAACAATTCATGCCCAGTCCACACTCCAGTTTCTCTGACTCTGAACGTAACACCGGCCTCGTTAGAAACAAGACTTAGTGTGTGTTTTGGTTGGGCGCCTTTTCTGGCTGTGGCTTGGGCATGTGTCTCGAGTTTTCCCTAGGAGTCCAACAACAGTCATTGATCATCGTTGTACGACGTTGTGCGACACTTGCACATTCGATATGTGTCTTTAGGCTAGTGGCTCGACTCGTTTGAGCACCTTTTCTGGCTGTGGGTTGTCCCTTTTTTTCTTGGAGTCCAACATCAACTTGATGATCTTTGATATCGTTGGATGACGTAGAACAAAGTGTCGCACATTTTTCGACGAGCTTGCTCGTGTCCATCACTCACTGCTTGTAAGAGGTTGGCCTCAGTTGGCCACAGCTGCAAGCAGTCCGATGGAATCGTGGGGCAAGGTCACAAGCAAAAGCTTTCTTCTTCTTCTCGCGAGTTCTCATATTATTATTATTATTATGTTGAAGAGCGAGGTTGACACGCTAACCAGTCGAGTCGAGTGGTGGAGGAGCCGCATTTACCAGTTGACGATCAGAGCAAGCAAGTTGATTAACCACAACAGCAACATGAGCGACAAGGGCGGCAGTCAAGGTCAGAGCAAGGGCGGAGCCCCCGGTGCGGGCCAAGGCAAGGGCGGAGCCCCCGGTGCGGGCCAAGGCAAGGGCGGAGGTTCCAGCGCTGCCGGCTGGCCCTCCACTACGGGCAACCCCTCGGGTGGTGACCGCTCCAACAACCCAAGCAAGTGACGCTCTTGATAGAATAAACTGCGGTGCCGTTTACTCTGCAATTGAGCGATCAAAACAAATGAAATTGGCGCTGCCATCCTCTGTCTCTTCTCTCGCTCCTTCTCCTGTCTATGACGTTGTGTGTTCGTGAATACCTCTCTCTAATTATGGGTCGTCGTGTGTCTTTTCTCTGGTCTCTGAAGTCCAACCACGTCGGATTGATCTTTATGATCGGCACGACGTTGAACGAAGTGTCGCATTTTTTTTTTTTTTGGGAAGCAAACCTTGATCAAAAGAGCCACAGCTGGAAGCTTTAACAATGTCATGTCAGCAAAAACATTCACACACACACACACACACACACACTGCGTTGGGATTCATTCGTGTGTCTGCTTTGGGCATGGCGAACAGCTGCTGCCTTGCCTGCTGGGGTGGGTGATGCGATAGAGCGTGCCGTTGTTGGTCAGGCAGGGGTTGAGATTCTGGAGCCAAGCGGATGGAGCGGTGCGGCAAGATGAGGAATGCTGCTGTGGCAGCCATGCTGTTGGCGATCATGGCTACCGTGGCGGCGACAGATCCTAGGGTGACGGCGTCTTCTGCCGTGGAGCTGGTGGCGCCGGCCAACGGCAGTCACACGGCCTTTCCATTCATCCACTTTGAATGGGTGTGCGCCGGAGCCAACATGTACGCGGACTATGATGTGATTGTGGTGGATGCTGCCAGTCACGCCGTCGTGGCTCAGGATCGCATCAACGGCCGGGCCTGCCGCTTCTACCCCAGCGATCCGCTGCCAGAGGGATCATATGTGTGGCAAGTGACAGCATCAAGCATCTCAGCCGCCTCGGGCTGGAGTCATGTGACAGTCACTGCAGTGGACCACGAGTTGACAATCGACGTTAATGCCACATTTACAGATGTGGTGGCTGCGTTGCGAGATGCAGCAGCACTGTCGGGAAGCAAGCGCGTGACCTTTGCGCCTCGCGCCGATCGAACCTACCGACTCAACCCCATGGGTGCGTCATGGGATGACTATCAGGCGCTGCTCAATGTCACTCAGGCACAAGACCTGCTCGTAGATGGCGGGGGACAACTCCTCAACTTTTCGTGGCCTGTCACCTTTGCCTACGTGACGTTGAGCAGTCGCGTGGCCCTCCTCAACATGCAGCTGGACATATCACCTCTGCCCTACACGGCATTTGCAATCCTGGATGTGGTTCCAGTGTCGGTGACCACGGGTCGCGTGACGGTGGCATTATTGCCCGGCCACCCGACCGTGGAGAGCAACCCAGCTTTTACGACGAGTGGTATCTTTGGTGTTCAGGAGCCCGATCTGGCCCGCGATCGGCGAGGGCTCACCGAAGTCTTCAACTATGCCAATCTGACACGTGTTGCTTGCTCAGCAGCGGCCAAGGCGGAGGAGACAAGGCGATTACTGGCAAGCAACATTTGCTACACCGTTCTTGTCGATGCTGGCTGGACAACTCTGTCCAAGGCTGATGTCATATACCTGGACCCGCGTCAGGCGCCTGGCTTTGTGTTTATGGGCACGACGCAGCCTATCCTGTACAACACCAGCATTTACGCTTGCTCGAACGAATGCATCACCAGTCAAAACTCTGACTACCTGGCCATTCTCCGGGCCAACATGCAGCTGCTCCCTGGCCGGTGAGTGGTGGGGACTGGGAGGGAAAGGGTGGCCGGCTTGTCAACGCGCGTACGCGAGCCTTTGTAACTGGCGATGGCTTTGCTTGCTTATACACTCCAGATGCACTCTTCTCACCATTCACGTGGCTTGGACCGTGTGCATTGCTTGTTTTCTGCACCTCTTCCCTCGGGGGGGGGGGGGGGGCAATCATCATTCGATGCGCATTGGGCCATGGATTAGTGACGGGCTTTTTGAGAGTCCCGGCGATGACACGTGTCACGTCTCGGGTTTGGTCATGAGCGTGGATCGGGTGATCAATGAGACCACCGTGGCCTTGCGCCCATCCGTTCCGGATGTCTTTGCAGCTCAAGTGGAGCTTGGAAACCTGTGGCTTCAGGTCGGGGATGAACTGAGCTTTTACGACCACATGACAGGCCGAATTCTGCTTCGAGCCCACATCCATGCGTTGGGTACCGGGGGCCTGGTTGACGGCATGCCAACGACGCTCGCCCACCTCGATCAGCCGGTACCAACTGGTGCGGTGCCCGGCATCATTGGTGGAAACTTTAATGCAACCGTGAGTCGCATGCTCTGGTATTGTTGGGCTGCAACTGGAAAAGCTTGGTTTTGCGACAAAGTCGGTTGATCTTTTGGCTTCCTAACAAGCAAGAGATTTTTTTTCTTCTTCTTAAATTTTTTTCTTCATATGTTCTTTCTCTGATGGCTGCGTGTGGTGCGGGGCGCGTGGTAGGTGACGCAAGTGTTTGATACGTCCCGGACAGCGGAGCGACTGGTGTTTCGACGCAACGTGCTGCACAACGGGCGCCGGGTGGGCTTGCTGGCCAAAGGTCGACAGGCGTTGGTGGAACACAACACGGCGGTTGGACTGGGCGGTGGGCTGGTGGAGCTTTTCAACGCGCCGTACGAGGGCCTGTGTGCCCATAGCTACCTTGTACGGAATAACACGTGCTTGTATACCAATCAACTGGACCGTGTGGCAGCGCCAATTTGGGTCGAGCGTCTGCCAAACAATGCACAACTGGATCAGTTTTGCCACGACAATTTAACAGTCGAGAACAACACTTTTGTTGTGGGACCGGGTCCCATCTTCCTGCTGGATGCCATCGCCAACGTGACGCTGCGCGACAACCACCTGGTGCGCTGCACGACTGATCACAGCGCCTACCTGCAAACAGGCCACGATCGCAGTGTGCAAGAGACTGGCACCACCGTCTCTCTGACCAACGACCCAGCCCTCTGCGTCAAGTGACACAGTTTGTAACGGCTAGTTTTTGTCAGACGAACCCCTTTTCATTTTATCTGACAATCTGATCCACTTGCTTGCTAATGATCCTTGACCGCAATGGGATCTGGGGAGAGTACACGGGGGCGTTGTGGGGGGGGGGGGGGAAGAGCAGAATTGTCTTGCGAACGCAGAAAACGCGGGGGCCGATTGCAGCAAGACCGCGTCGGGTACCAAATGTAATTGGTATCGTGTTGCAGCCCTAACCTTTCGCCAACTGGTTCTTCTTCTTCAACAAATAGTACCCTGTTCTAACCTTCTTCAACCCCACGCTTCAAGCTTCAGGCCCAACACCTCCTCCACCTTCTTCTGCATCTTCTTCTTCTTCTTCTTCTTCGTCCCTCTCTCTTTGTGTGTGTGTGTGTGTGTGTGTGTGTGTTCTCTCTCTCTGTGCAAGGTCCTTTGATTCTGCACGACCATTGCGTCGTGTTATCTGCGTGTGTGTGAGTGTGTGTGTTGGCTCTGCTGCATTTTTCCACTGCAGCTGTAAGTCTGTGTGTGTGCGCGCGCGCGCTCTCTCTCTGTCTCTCTCTCTTCAAAGTCACTGTCACTGTGTCTCTGTGCACGTTGGTGATCGGCAAATGCAAAGGGCAGCGCCGAGTGGCTTTGAATGAGATCAGGACCTTTCTGTCGAGTTGTGCTACAAACTGCAAACTGTGCCCTTTTGGGCAGCTGGTCTGTGGTGGTGTTTTGGCCTGCCCCAAACCATGTCGTGTTCAACAAGCGCGCTTGGCTTGTTGTGTGTTGTGTGTAACTTGACAACAACGGCAGCGGTGCTCACTGGACCTGCGCCACGCTTCTCCGTGTTTTGCTTTCCCGCTCTTGTTTGTCTAGCTCCCTGCACCAAGCCACTTTACAAGATGTCCACCTTGACTGTCACCCGTCAGGCCACGCGCCAAATGGGCCTGGGGGCTCGCGTGCTCGCCAGCCGCCGCAACGCTGGCTCGAGCAGTGGCGCCAAGCCCCTGACCGCCAACTCGCAGTCCTACGTGGATCGTGAAGACCGCTTTGGTTGCCACAATTACCACCCTCTCCCTGGTATGTCGGTTGCTTTACCCCTTTTGCATGCCCGCCCTTCTGTTCGTCTGGCCTCGTCTGTCAGTCTCGCTCTCGTGTTGATTCATCAATGCAACGCCACCGCCATGCTTTTTTGACCTTGATAGTCGTCCTGGCCAAGGGTCAAGGCATCTTTGTGTGGGATGTCGACGGCAACCGCTACTTTGACTTTCTCTCCGCCTACTCGGCCGTGAACCAGGGTCACTGCCACCCCCGCCTGCTCAAGGCACTCAAGGATCAGGTGTGTTTGAGCACACCGAAATGCTTCGAAATGCTTTGCGTTCATCTGACGCTCGAATAGAGAAAGGTCTTGCCGTGTCTCATATCCTCTATTTCTGGTCAATCTCCCCATAGGCGGACAGCATGACGCTGAGCTCGCGCGCGTTTTACAACTCCAAGCTCGGCGAGTTTGAGGAGTATGCTTCCAACCTCTTTGGTTATGACAAGTTTCTCCCCATGAACACCGGTTTGTTCACTGGCATCCACTCTCTCTCCCTCTTGGACTTGTTTGCGGCTTATATCACTGCCCCGCTCACGATTGACTTGTACTTCCGATTGCGCCTTGTATCGTAGGTGTCGAGGCTTGGGAGTCTGGCGTCAAGCTGGCGCGTCGTTGGGGCTACGCCGTCAAGGGCATCCCAGACAATCAGGCCAAGATCATTTTTGCCCAGGAGAACTTCCACGGCCGTACCATGGCTGCCATCTCGGCCTCGACTGATCCCGAAAGCTACGGTTCCTTTGGCCCCTTCATGCCTGGTTTCGAAACAGTCCCCTACAACGACCTCGACGCTGTCAAGAAGGCTGTTCAGGACCCCAACGTCGCTGCCTACCTTTGCGAGCCCATCCAGGGTGAGGCGGGTGTCGTCGTCCCGGACGAGGGCTACCTGAGCGAGGTCAAGCGCATCTGCAAGGAGAACAACGTTCTCTTTGTCGCTGATGAGGTCCAGACTGGTTGCGCCCGTACCGGTCGTCGCCTTGCTGTTGATTACGAGCAGGTCAAGCCCGACATTGTCATCCTCGGCAAGGCTCTCTCCGGTGGTGTGCTTCCCGTCTCGGGTGTCCTTGCCAACGATGACATTATGCTGACCATCAAGCCCGGCCAACACGGCTCCACCTTCGGTGGCAACCCCCTGGCTTGTGCTGTCGGCCTCGAGGCCCTCAAGGTCATTGAGGAGGAGAAGCTGGCCGAGAACGCCTTTGCGTACGTCACTTGCGTCTCGTGCATTTCACAGTCTCCACCTCTATTTTTCAAGGGCGGGTGATATTGTTAGCACATTCTCACATCTCGTCGTATATCATGCCAACAGGATGGGTGAGATCATGCGTCAAAAGCTCGTGGACATCAAGTCCCCCTATGTCTCTGTGGTCCGCGGCAAGGGTCTGCTCAACGCCATTGTCATTAAGCCTTTTGGCAACACGGTGCGTGTGTGAATGAGCGCTAGCAACCATGCTTGAGTCAGAGCACGAGAGAGCGTTATGAGTATCCCAAGCTCGTGCATATTTTTTTTTTTAACCCTCTCACCAATATTTTGCTCTGTGCGTCCGCAGACGGCCTGGGATGTGTGCATGAAGCTGCGTGACGAGGGTCTGCTCTGCAAGCCCACGCACGACGATATCATCCGCCTGGCCCCTCCTCTGGTCATCAACAAGGACCAGGTCGAGGAGAGCTGCGCCATCATTGAGAAGGTCCTTCGCTCATACGAGTAAAAAGCATGATGTGCTATTTGTGATTGGATTTACTTCGTTCCTTTCTTGTGATTGTGCTTCCCGTGCTATCTCCCTTCCTCCATCTTGTACTTTTTTTTTTTTTTTTTTACCTCCGACCATGCCCGTTGCCAGACATCATGTGCTCTGTTCCACCAGACTCCTGTGTCAACAAAACGCATCAATTAATTTGAAAGTCAAAAACAGTTTGACTTCCTCGGTATAATGAGGCCTTGCAATGCACGACCAGGTGTTGTTGGCTGAGCCAAAGAAAGCTTACGAAGAGACACAGCACATACGCCGACACACACGCCGGCTCACTCAGACGAGGGTGCCATGGCCTCGCTTGCTTGTTCCTCGCAAAGCGCTTGCACCCAAGCTGGACACCCATTGGCTGGCGTTTCAGCCCGGACTTGGTTTGCCTGCTGAATCACGTGCTCCCTTTGTAGCAGATAGTTGCTTCCATCGCGACGCGTATAGAATTCGATCTTCTCCTCGGGGTTGCCACGGTTTGTTACGACTCGGGCCAGCATGGTCGCATTGGTGGGATTGCGGTGTTGGAAGACGACCTCGATCAAATAAATGTTATAATCTTCAGCCTTTTGTAATGTGTAGACATGTGTCGCCACATCGATGGAATGGGACATGTCGATCGTGCTCTCAAGTCGCGCCGTGATCTTCTTTTTCATGGCGTCGTCAAAGCTGTCCTGAGGGTCTGTGCCATCCGGGAACTCTTTATGAGCAATTCGGACACCATTCATGATAAAGTCCTTGTCATGCACTCCGTACACGAGTCGAAATTGAAAAGGTCGCTGGCGCTTGCCGTAGCAATTGTAAAACGCGCACACCGTTTCAGAGAAATATGTATTGATGCACCTGTGAAAGGACTTGCGTGTGTGCGGCTTCTCGGGATCTGGTCCGCTCTTGGCCTCCACGGTAATCAGGGCCGTCTCCTCACGTGAGGGCTCACCCTCGGTGCCCCAAATGTAGCGATTGCCAAGTTGTAGATGGCGCCCACGCGTAGGCAACTCAAAGTGCGCTTGACAAATCCGTTTGTGCATTTCATCCGTAGCGAACTCCCTCCAGCTGAGATCATTCGCCAAGTGGCTCAAAAGTTCCTGGGCAGCAGCCTCCTTGGCCATTTTCTTGGAGCGCATTGGCAGCGATGTAGAGCATCGAGGTGGTAGGCTAGTAAGCTGAGCAGTGTATTTGAACATACCAGCTCCCGAATTGTGGTCTGAGTAGACTACTTTTGGCAGATTTGGTTGAGCAAAGATCTCGTTAAGCTCACTCACGGCCGACTTGTGGGGTCCGTGATTGGCAGCTGCAGGTGCAAAGGGGGTGGTTGCATCCGGACCCGATACTGATGCAGTAGGCTGCGCTGTAGTTGAAGGTGCTGCTGAGGCTGGATTGATGAGCGATGACCGGACCACGCATGGCGCTGTAGCAGCCAAGGAGAGCGCATCTGGTGGCGTCGTCGCTTGGGAATCTAGCACCCATGGCCGAATGTCAGGCTCCCCTCTGTCGGGCGCAGTTGCTAGAGTCCGCTGCCAACGCCCAGGCACCGGGCTTTCGGCTTGTCCGCGGACTTGAAGCACATGGTGAAGCACGCGATTGACGTCGGGTCTAGAGACACCCAATTCCTGGGCCAAGTGCACTGGCTTCATCGGTTGATGTTCTTCGTGCAAAGGCAGCAAATTCAAAACCTGGGCCGCGAGGGCCTCATCACTAGCGCTAGCATGATTCATGTTTCCTGCCATCCTCAAGCAAAAATGCCCACAGACCCACGATGACTGCAAACACAAGCCAATGTCCCTGATCAAAGCTCAAACCGTAATCCTTCAGAATCGCAGCGAGACGCAACCGAGCCGGCGTTGACCAGCATTCCAAGTGTGTGTGGAGTGATGTTGACTTTGATTGTTCAGCGCCAAAATGGGCCAGTGTTCTCATGAGAAGTGACTCGACTCGATCACGAATCACTTTACGTAGATGATTTGATAGTTTTTGTATAATGTATAACATCTTCAGTGTAAGTTTTTGTTGTCAGTTATGTGTTTGATGTCAATGGCGCTGGTGTCGTTTTGGTCAGCGGTGCCGTGGTGCTCTAAAGCCCTCGGGCGATTCCAGCCCTGTCTAGGATGGTTGCTGCTGCTGTGGAGCGACGTGCTTGACCTCACATCGAAAGCACAGACGAAGATCAAGGATCCTGGATTTTTTTTTTTTTTACTGTGCGACCTTTGCCAACACGAATGTTATAAACAACACCACAGCAATCATTCACATTAAATGGCTCTTGTCTTGCCAGGCCGGTGATATTGGCGAGTAGCCAAGGAACAACTTTGTCTTTAGCCATGAAGCAATGAAGCGCTGCCGTCATCCGCCCGCTTCGCCAAGTGCAAAACAGAGATGTCTCGAATTCATTCCGTATCAAATCCCCCAAAAATTTGCACAAAAACACGAAAAAATGAGAAAAAATTGCTGCGAAACTGTTTCACACACACACACACACACACACATTTCCCGCATAAAACAAGTTGTTGCTTTTTTCAAGGGTCAAGCTCGTGATGGCGGCGTTTGTGGATGAGGCGGCGTTTACGGCTGCGGCGCAGCGGATTCGGGATGCGCGGCATTTGGCGTTGGATAACGATGCCAAGCTGGCGCTCTATGGGCTTTACAAACAGGTACCACCTTGTCGCTGGTCGTGTTTGAAGCCACTTGCCTTGCTGGCACTCACGCTTCACACGAGGATGACCCGCGCAAGACGAACTCAAGACCCGCCCCTAACCTCCCGCTGTTCCGCGTTCAGGGTTCAGAGGGTCCCTGCAACATGCCCAAGCCTGGCATTTTTGACTTTGCAGGACGAGCCAAGTGGTGAGCCATTCTTGTGTCAACTTATCTTTCGCTTTAGTCGGCGCGCTGATCGACCGACCTTGGGATGCATAGGGCTGCTTGGCAAGAGCTGGGCTCGTTGGATCAGGCCGTGGCACAGGCGCAATATGTGGCACTTGTCAATCAACACCTCGGCTTAGCGCACGTTGCGGATGCTGGTCGGTTCTGTGCCTTGCTGCTTGGGTCAAGACTGGATTACAATAGCTCACCTGGCGTGCCGTGCATGCTCGCAGCAGCCGGCGAATCGTCATCTGGGTCTGAGAGCGAGAGCGAGTCTGCTGCTAGTGATTCAGATGGTTGTGACGTTGAGGATGAGACAGTGCAAAAGTCGAACAACGAGGACGATAAAGGCGCTACTTGTATGTTTCATGCTCAACCGCGCCCTCTTTGTCGCCCCGTCCCAATGCAAGAAGCACCACCTTCAGTCCTTGCACATTGCTCATTTGTTTGATTCGTATCCTTTGGGTATCTCTGCGTCGCCATTGTAGCGCTGGGTGCTGTGCAGTCAACCTTGTTGCCACCCGAGTCGGGTCGCTTGCCTGCTGACATGTCTCTGCACGAGCTTGCCGCTGACGGCCAGTTGCCCGAGCTTCAGGCGCGTTGGGCCGCTTCCGACTTGGATATCGATGTTCGTGATGAAGACGGCATGACAATGTTGCACTGGGCCACCGACCACGGTCAGACTGCCGTCGGCATCTGGCTGATTGAGCATGGCGCCAATGTCAACCTTCCGGTGTGTTGTGCTCGCCCAGAATACGGGTTGTGACCGGGGGGCGGGCATTCGCGCGCCTCTCAATTTGCTGCTCTGCGCTTTTTGTTCGGCTGACCGTTGCTGTCTTTCTGATCTCACGTTTGCAGGATGCCGAAGGAACCACAGCCTTGCACAATGGTAAGGATTGGCAACTTCCAGGCGCTCTGTTTCTCCAGCTTGCCGTGTATGTGCTTGCCAGCTTATATGGTGCTGAAATTTGCAGCTTGCTATGCACAACGGCAGGAGCTGGTGTCTCGTCTCTTGGCTGCCGGTGCCGATCGGACTGCAGTCAGCGGCGATGGTGAACTAGCCGAAGACATTTGGCCCGCTGGCTTTGCCAAGTCCTAAGCGAGATTGCCCACCCTTTGTGTCAAGTCCCCGCTTTACCCGCACACGTTGTTGTAATGGCCAGAGCCCGCCTTGTATTCTTCTCGGACGTCTGTATGAGAGTTTGGAGTGTGTGCGTCATGGCGGCGTCCAAAGTGTTTTTTCCCTCTGTTCTACAGGGACGGCGGCCGAGCCGCCCGGTTGCCTGCAAGCGAACAGCCCACGATGGGCATGCATCGAATCAATAAACGGCCTTATGTATGGTGCAGCTTGTCTAGCAATCCCTTTGTCAGCCTGTACCCCCAAGCAACAGGTGATGTCAAGCTTGCTGCATCGATTAGGTTGATAGAGGATGGAAGAAAGTGAATAGAATTTGCCACTGGCGTCAAATTCTTGAGGGGTACTACACATGGCTCGTGCCAAGGAGCACTGATCCCTAGACCCCAGGCCTGGCTCATGTCCCAGCGGGAGTAGAGAGCGGGGTCGTGAACAAGAGAGGTAGAATGCAGGAGTATCACATCAAAGTGTCTGACCACGCTACGGAATGCACACACGATATACGACAGAACAAGACGACCGGGACAGGTACTCGAGAAAAACGTCATCGCAGACGAGGTCAAACAGTTAAAAAAAGGCCAAGGGGGCGAGAGAGACAGATACACAGAAGAGTGCGTCTCCAAGGGGGGAGGGGCTCTTTGGCTTAAACGAGGGCCGAGCTGTGCTGGGCGAGTTCTGGGTCTTCAGAAGCCACTTGCTTTGCAGCTTCCTCGAGAATCATCATGCGGAGTTGCTGCTGCTCACCGGACGAGAGCGAGCCGGGTTGGGAGACGGCGCGCACGAGAAAAGACATTTTTTCGCGCATGGCGTGTAGCTCTTTTTCAAGTCGAGAATTTTCAGCTTCACGGCGCTTGCAGACCGACTCATGCTGCTCTTTCTTCTTGCGTTGATTCTCACGGGAGCGCTTGACCTAATGAATAGTCGGCCAACATCCGAGGAGAATGAATAACAGACGTTTACAGCGCAGATCCATCACCGATGCCGTCACTCAGAATTAGCAAGCTCGAGGCAAACCGTTTCTTTCACGCACACAGGCACAAGACAACAAGACACAGGACCAGACACAGCACAAAAGACGAAACACAGACACCACAGCAGCACACAGACACAACACACAGACATAAGACATCGCACATAAGACACAGAAAGGGACTAAGCAATAATTCAAAAACCTCTAAATAAAACAACAACAACGAAAAAAAACAAAAAAACACAAAAAACCATGAAAAAACACACACACACACAAAAATAAAGCGTAAACATGAGCAACACACCGATAAATTGTTGTTATCGCGCGCCTGGCGCCACTTGTTCCATGCCGCGAGGTGCTCTTCGTCTGTATCAAACTCGTCACGAGTTGGCTCTTTTCGGGTGTGTGGGCGCTTGCGCTTCACTGTTGAGGTTGTCTATTATACAAGAGGGAATCGAGGGTCAGTGGTGAGCGTAAGTGGCAGCGAGCGACGAAGGAAAACCGCGGTTAGCAGAAGTAGGCCTTGGCCTCGAGCAGCAGGCGGTCAAGCACGCACCAAGCGATGAGTCTTGGTGGAGCCAGCGGCGATGGCAGCAGAGAGGCGCTGGACCAAGGACTGCTTGGACCCTTGAGTGGGCATGCCACGGCGGCGCATCTCCTCACGCAATTCATCGACGGTCAGGGCCGCCACATCGAAATCAGGAGTGTTGAATCCAGCTGGCAGCTGGGCTCCGTCAGAGACGGCCTCGGCTTGAGCTACTTCGGCTGCCATGCTGCTGCGGTCAGGTCGGGGCTGGCGTTTGTCAAAGGTGTGCGCAAAGCGGATAACAGGATCGACGCTGTGTCGGGTCGTGCGCCTCGTTGGCGTCAACGAGCCTTCCTCGGCCCAAAAAACGGCTGGCGAGATCGATCCCCAGATACAAGCAGAAAGAGAGAGAGAGAGAGAGAGAGAGAGAGAGGGAGAGAGAGAGGGAGAGAGAGAGGGAGAGAAGAAGGCGAGAAGACTGGCGCTGCTTGCTCAATACGCGGGCACCGCCGTTTCGAAATTCAAGAGGAAAAATGCACTAATGCCTTGCACGCTTACGCAAGCGTGCAATAACAGCAATGAGGGGAAACAGTGTGATCGTAGTGTGAAGCGTGTAAATCCCGCCCCCGTGTCTGCACCGTAGATCACGAGTGCTGATAACCAAATGCCATCAAGACTGCCTTCAAGAATGCCATCAGACTACCCCTGCTCTACCATCAGGCTACCATCAGGCTACCATCAGGCTACCATCAGGCTACCATCAGGCTACCATCAGGCTACCATCAGGCTACCATCAGGCTGCCATATTGGACTGCCTCTCTCTCTGTTTTTTCTTCTTTCGAGGAGTTTCCGTAAGATTCATGAAACGCTTTCGCAAGCGTCATGCAATACATTTTGCGCTTCATGTGTATAGATATAATCGTGTTAAGTAGCCCCCATCTATACAGATTCAAGCATGAATGATACGCAGCATCGGTAACGTCAACTAAAAGTCTGACAAATACGGTCATGACGGCATCGATGGTCACTGTATTCGTGCTCTATTTGACCGTTACATTCCCGTCTCGCTTCAAGGCCATCATGGCAGCGGAGGCGGCAGCCAGCGAGGAGCTTCTGCTGGATCTCACGGCGGGCCCCGGCCAGTATTCAACTCTGCATTGGATGCCCTGCAAAATTCACCACGTATGTCATCCCCGTCAGTCTTGGCCTTTCAACTCGAGCCCCGAGCGTTTGCACTGCAGCGCTGACTCACCCTGCGGTCGACCTCAGGATGGCCCGGCCAATACAGACGCGTTTTTTTTCCCGTTGATCCAGAGTGAATCCCAGCCAATCCAACTGGAAAACACGACAGGTTGCCCAGAACTTTCTCCGTACAAGGCTGGCTTCAACGAAACCTCTGTTTTGCTCTGACTCTGACTTTGACTCTACCGGCTTTCCGACCGTCCCTGTGCAGGACAGCAACATCTGTGCACCTTTCGCGGACGTCGTATACAGGGCGCTACCGTGACCGTCCCCGACAAATACAAAGGTCAGACGCGCGGATCGCTCCTTGACACTTTGACCCATTGGGCAGCATGGCCTCCACTCAATGCTTTCATCGACGCCGGATCGCTCGGTCATGCCTGCAGGCACTGTTTTGCGGGACAAGTCTGTGCTGCACAGCGACACGAGTCTCCGTGTCATGGAACCCGTGAGCCGCTTCAGCGAATTCACGTACTGGAATCTCGATGATGCTCCCTCTGAGTTTGACTTCCCTCTGACCGCCACTCACTACTTGGCAGCAGCCACCCAGGTGAGGGCCGTCGTCGACTGTCGTCAGCGCCCTGCCGCCTTGACAGATTACCAAACCCACCGTCCCCCTTACTTTTGCGTCAACCATGCGACCGACAGATACACGAGCCCTTGACACCCGAGCAGGTCGAGCAGCGCGCGCAGAGCGTGCGCAGCAAGCTAAAATAAACGCGCTTGCAAATCACACTGTATCATGTTCTTGTCGTGGCTAATTTGACTTCCCAAGTCCCCAAGTCTTGTCGCAAGCGCTTCATCTTTAACGAGCTCAGCTCGATTCACAATGCAGAGCACACATGGCGCATATCTTTGCCCAGGCTCGGCCCAGGTGCAACTCCTTTCGTATTTCAAACTTTTAGGACTTGCCGCGCATCGCGCTGCTTACCAATGTCCAGTCTTGTTGCTCTTGCATGTGTTGTAACTGTCGCTGGACGCGTTCCAGTTGGACCACCAAAAGATTGTTGCTACATGCAGCAAACGCGTGGGGCAGAGTCAGCCCGGTGAGCCAGATGCCACCAGCGGGTGCGCATTTTTGATGAGTTTCTCAGGCGTACCGGTTCTCAGCCTCTGTCAAGCGCTCCGCGACGCTAGCGGCTTGGGCGAATCGTTCTGTATGCGACACGCACGTCCACGAACGTGGCTGCTGTAAGCGGCTGAAGACGAGCTGGCCAGGCCCGGACAAGGCGTCTACATACCTTCCAGGCGCTCAAGTACGCCATCAGGCTCGCAGCACAGCTTCGAAGCCACCTAGGAGCAGTCAAACAGGCATTTTTCATGACTCAGTGAGAAATGTGGGGCTACAACACAAGGATGCGAGCTCTGGACGCTGGAAAATGAAATTGCTCTTCACTTGTAAAGATACAAAAGCGAGAGGGGGGTAAAATGGACACACCTCAACAAGGTCTCGCCGAACAAGTGCTTGCTCACGCGTAGCTTGATTCACGTGCTGCAGGGCTTGATCCAGGCGTGCTTGTAACTGGTCTGCCAGAGCACGCTGTACTTGGACTTCCTTGGCACCCCGCTGGCACTGGTCGCGCCATTCATCTCGCTCGCGCCTTGCTCGCGTCAAATTTTCCGTAGTTTGTTCCAACCCGCGCTGCAGGGCTTCAACCTGACCCCGCATAGCCTCTGCTTGCAGCTTTGTCCAAGCGCCTCGTTCTCTCAGGCCTTCTTGGGCCTCCCGTAAGCCCGCCTCCAGCTCGGAATGCAGCGTTTGAAGCTCGGCATGCTCTTGCTCAACTGCCTCCAAGCGTGCCACCATAGTAGAATGCTCGGCGTTAAACTGTGCTTGCTGCCGTTCTTGATCGTTTTGTTGCCCCGCAAGTGCCGCGGCTGCAGCCTCTCGCTCAGCTGTGAGGGCCGCGACTTTCGCCTCCAACTCAGCGCGTGCGGTTGTCATGTTATCAAGATCTTCCGCTCGGGCACGCCATTCCTCGCACCTGGCAATAACTTCTGTTTGCTTGGCCCGGGTAATGGCTAGCTTTGCTTGTGCCTCGGCACAGGCCTCGAGCGCTGCATCACGCTCGGCGAGCAGCTGGGCATGTGCCGAGGCGTCGTCCGCGTGCGAGGCTTCCTGCGCGGCCAACAATTTGTCCACCTGAGCTTGAAGCGTGGCTTGCACCGCTTCTGCCCCTTCCAGGTCACTTTGCAGGGCATTCCGGTTTGCAGCTGCCTCGTTCATCGCCGCAGTCAACTCCTCGATCTGAACAAGCAAAGCTTGCTGCTTCGCCGTGAGTTCGACTTGTTCTGTTGCGCTCAAAGCCAACTGTTCACGAGCCTGCTTCAGCGCTGACTCGCTGGTATTTAATTCGAGCTGTTGCGCAGCGGTGTGGTCTTGGGTTGAGGCGATTTCGCGTTGAGCCGCCGACAACTGTTCGCAAAGTCGCTGCACTTCCTCATTTGCAGTCTTCAGCTGCGTTTGCAAATTGGTCTGCTCGACGTACAGGTCATCCAGCTCTCGCTGCTTTAGAGCACAGCTAGCTTCAGCGGTGGCCTGGGCTCGCTGAGCGGCCTCACGTTCCATGTAAGCTTGCATAAGGGCCGCATCAGGTCCTGCACGGCACGATTCCAGAGCCGCTTCGGTTTCGGCCAGGCTAGCATGCAGCGTTGTCATTTGTTGCTGCAGCACAGCAATCGCGTTGTCCCGATCGTGCAGCGTGGCGGTCAGCTCAGCACACGAACTTGACTCTGCCATTAGCAAGCTGCTTGCATGTTGCTCCAGTGCTGCCACGTCCTGCTCGCGCGCCACTACCACCATTTCACGCAGACTCAAAGCCTGGGACCAATCGTGCAGGCCCTGAATCACGAGGCTCTCGGACTCCGCGTTTATTCCAGGCTGGCAGTGGGTCAGGAAATCAGGCAGCGTATCGCAAAGAAGGGCCCACTTATGGGCATGTTCTTCGCATTGTGCCGCAAGCGCATCCCGCTCACTCTGCAATTGCACTAAGCGCGCGCGAAGCTCTGCTACCTCGTGGTGCTGAGATTCCGCGGCAGTATCAGCCTCAGTGGTGGCTCGTTGCATTCGAGCTTCGAGTTCACGCAGCGCTACCTCAGCTTGCGTGGCACGAATTTGCTCGGCTGACATCTGTTCCACTGCGCGAGCATTCGCAGCCTCTGCCTCGCGTAGCTGACCTTCCAGTCCAGACAGGCGCGCTTGTAGTTGTGAAGCTGCGCCATTGGCGTGGGAAAGGCCGTTGACGGGGCTGACGGGTCGCGTTGCGCTATCCACATTGCTCTGAGCTTGTGCCAAGTCAGTGCGGAGACTCAACACCTCGCGTTGAGCCGTGGTCAACTCAGTCTCCAGTCGGCCCAGGCGCTCCCTCTGCGCCTGGCTCTCCGCCTCTGAGCTGGCCAGGGATCGGCGCAGCGTTTTGAGCTCCTCAACCAGCTGAGGCTGATTATTAAGCTTTTCTTGCATGCGCTGAAGCGTAGCATCACTGGTTGCAGACTGCGAACGTAGTGCCTCCAACTCGCGCTGAGCGTCCTCAAGCTCACGTTGGCGTGCTCGAGCCAGTCGGCGCTGCTGATCCCGTTCGGCTGTGAGGGTGGCTCGGTCTTGAGCTGCGCGCTGCTCCTGCCCTGCGCGGGTGGCTTGGACTACATGGCTAATGGTTGCACGGACTTGGTCACCATAACCATCCAGGGCCACTGCTGTCCCGCGACGAAAGTGTGCATGCTCGTCTGCCAGCTCTTGCAGCGCCGCCTGCATCTCACGCAGGGTCTCCATTTGCTCGGCTCCCAGTCGCGGACTCGTTGGACGCACGGGAGCCAGGCTCATGGGCTCGGTAGCCGCGCGATTGGCTTGAAGCTGCTGCTCCAGCTGTTGCAGAGCGGCATCGCGACGACTCACGCGCGCTCGTGCCTCGTTGCACTCGCGTTCCAGGCGCTGTGCCCGCTTCTCAGTGTTGTCCTGATCGAGGCGCAGGCTACGCAGTTGTTGAGTGAGATCATCGCGCTCCGCCACGAGGCGTTGGCGCTCCTGGTTGAAGCTTTGCCGCTCAGTCTCCCATTCGGCCAAGGAAGAGGTGGTAGTTTGCTTGAGATCAAGAAGCTTGACACGATAGCTCTTAGTCTTTTCCTTAGCCTCGGTCAAAGCGGCTTGTGCTTGGTCTCGCTCACGTTGGGCAAGCGCCAGGTCGGCCTGCAAGTGCTGCACCTCTTCGGTAGCAGAACGCAGGCGCTTGTCCAACTGCCGAGTACTATCCGAAGCCTCTTGCTGTGCTGATTGGTCCCGTTTGAGCTGGCGACTGGCTTGTGTCAGGCCAACGGACAGAGCAGCAGCTGCGCTTGCACAGGTATTGAGGACCTCGCCCAGCCCATCGATCGGGGTGACCAGCAAGCTGCTGGCGTCCAGCGAAGTGACGCCGTTGAGCGAGTGCTGGAGATGGCTGGGCAGGCGCAGTTTGGCGTTGTGAAAGAGCTCGGTCAGTTGTGTTGTGGCAGCCTGGAGGCGCTGTACCAGCTCGTGGGTGGCGTGATTGTGCCGAGCCACCGCCCCGTCACTTAAACAAGGCGCTCTGGGTGCTTGAACCTCGTTTCTGTCACTGGCAGCCGTCTTGGTGGTCGGCCCTTTGCGATCAGAGGTTTCTGAGGCGTCGGAATAAGGAACCTTGACCGGCCATGCGCGCTCGCGACGCGAGCGGCGTGCGGGACTCGGGCTGCGGCTAGGACTGCGATCACTTTTGCGACGCGAGCTGCGGTGACGCGGGGCATGGCTTGGTCCATTACTTTTGTCAGGGCTAGGGCTTCGGCTAGTGCTTGAATGGCGGTGATGTCCTTGGTTGCGGCCTCGGCTGTGACTACGGGTGTGGCCATGGTCATGCTCGCTGCTTGGCGCATCTCGCTCATGGCGAGACCGAGTGATGTAAGTCCGCGACGAGCGTCGTCGCGTGCGATTCATATCCTGTGGGGGGGGCTGTGGCTGCGGCTAATGGAAAAGCACCAGACGCTTGCCATGAGACATTCGCACAAGGCAGCTCGCTTGGGTTGAAAGGCCGATTAATGTGTACGCGCGCCTCGGTGAGATGGAGTTGCATGGCCGTGGCATACCTGTTGAACGGAGTGGGCATCTGACTCGACACTGCCAAGGCTATCAATGCTATCCCGTCGATGCGAGAGTGCGGTATCACTCTTTGAGCTGTTGGCGTGACAGACCAGGTGCATGGCATGTGTGTTGTGAGGTGTTTACGTCAAGAAATCATTCAGGGAGCCATGCCGACCAAGACCTATCAGCCAAAACGCACGGGTCGGTGGTGCTGGACGTGGAACGGTGGACGGGCTGCTCGGCAAATTGCACTTGCATCTGGCGACGAGATGCATTCAGGCTTTCCGAGGGACCATGGTTTCGGGTGCTGCGGGAGGAACGGAGGCGGGGTCGCTCAATGCCACTGTTGCGCCGTGTGTTGACGGTCGAGGTTGGTCGAGGAAGGCCCGCGTCCTCCGTGTCAGCGGGAAAGGTTTCATTGGCATTCAGCTCAACTCGCAGCGTATGCGCATCACTTCCAAAGCGAAGTGCATCGCCATGACCAAGAGGCTCCCGCCCCTTTACTCGACGCCCGTTGACATATGTACCTGCCATGGTCGTGAGCCCAGAGACAAGGTTGAGGCGAGCTTGCAGCAGCCAGGGGCGCGCTTGGAACGGTCAGCCTACCTGTGGTTGTGGCGAGATCTTCGACGGCAAGCGCGCGCTTCTGTCCCAAAAAGCCAATGCGAGCATGCTTGGCGCCGCACGACCGACTACTCAAGGGGATATGACAGCTGCCTGCATCTGTCCCGACGAACACATAGCGCTGTGTTCGCACATCCAAGGGCACAACTCCTAGATGCAGCATCCCAATGCGATGATGAGGTCAGCTTCGGCAATTGCAGGACCCCTGGGGTGAACCCATGTGACTCACCTGAAGCGGAGCGAAGCTGTGCCGTCATAATGCCCAAGGAACCAACCAACACCGTGCTCCCGTCGTGCCGATGGAGAACAAGAGTCTATGGCCACCAGGGCCGAGCTGCTCAAGTTCTCGGGGACCAACACCCTCTCGGTTTTTTTATTGTTTGACCTCAACAAGTCGGCGACCGCACAAAAAAATTATGACAATTTCGTTGTTGATGAAAATTTTCCCTTGTGTGTTTGTTGTGTTGCTACAACAACAACAAACAAGCGTGGCGTGCTGACAATTTGAAATGTTTTTTTTTTTTTTTTTTGGGGGGGGGGGGGGGGCGGGAATGAGGAAATGAATGATGGAGGGCCAATAGCATATCAGATTGGTTGTTGAGCAAATGCTTGGCATCAGGAGCGCCTCGCATCTCAATATCACACGAAAGAGAAGGGGGGAGGGAGAGAGAAGGAGGAGGGAGGGAGGGAGGAGCAAAGGAAAAAGAAAAGTCGGTGGGCGTGGGAAGAGAGTGAACCCGCTGCTTTAGGGCGTCACAGCTTCCGGGAGGAGCTGGAGGGCTTCTTCCAATGTCGTGGGCAGTTGCGCGACCTCGATGCCAGCCAGCGGCAGAAGCTGTGTTCATTCGACAAGGTTGGCGTGCGCCGAAACAGTAAGAACAGGCAGGCACAGGCAGGCACAGGCAAGCACGGCTCTGTGGTACATACCGCTGCTACTTGTGCGAGGACATGCTGCTTCCACGCTTCGACGCTGGCAAACATGCTCGTGTCCGGCAGAGCAGGTGATGCGAGGTTTGAGCATAGGAAGCCAAGGCATGCGTCGCGCTGTTCCGATGGAAGAGTCGGCAACAGGGGCGCCTGCAATCGAGCCAGCGTGGCTTTGGCCTCGCTCTTTTGTTGCCGCTCCCACTCCCAGCGCGCCAATTCCTTGTCCGTTTCCTTCTGCGTAGACACAGCGAGGGGTGAGTGCATGGGCAAAATGTATGCCACAAATGATACATCAGAATGTAAGCTCTGAAATCCACTGCTTCCACTGACCATGAGAGCAACCAAGCGGGCCTGAAGCTTCACCTCCTCATCCAGAGGCAAAGGCTCGTCCTGCATTCCGGGAGTAACACACGAAAGCAGGCAAACCATCATCGTAAGGAGGCCGTATCATGCAGCGCGTCGACATCCTTTCCTCTGCCTGGCTTGACACGGACCTGATGGATGGCCTTGGCCAGAGATTGCAGAACCGTTGGACCCGCCAGCGGACTAGCAACCGCGACGCGCGCCTTGACATTAAGCGCGTCCAGATGGGGAAGCCCTTCAAAAGCCCTGCAGCACAGTTAGGTATTCAAAGAGGGCGTCAAAAATTATGTTGGCTGAGTAAAAAAAAAATAAAATTGCCAGGCAATCAAACGTACGGAAGCCGGGGAAGCTCATCAGTCGGGATATGTGGGGCTGCAGGGCGGGGAACGAGATGGCAAGCGGTAAGTCAACGCAAGAGTCCACACAACCCATGATGGGCCGGTTACGAAATACTGTTTTCCGACTCGCTTTCCCGAGCTCAAACGCTGGGAAAAAGCACGTACCTGATGCCAATACGCGAGTCGCCAGTGCATCGGCATCGTCATCTTCGAGGTTCATGGTCGAGTCTGACATGATTGCAGAGTGAGACGACCAGGACCCCAAACAGCGCCTCAGCCCAAAAACCCCAACCAACAAAAAAAAAACCGATCCAAACCTGGGTTCTTTGTTTGCGGCGATGCCTTGGCAGCCTTGCGCGACGAGGAGCGAGCGGCCGGCGCCGGCGACGTGGCGGACGCAGGACTTGCTATGTCTTGGAGGCGTGCCTCCGCTCGTTCGTGAGCTGCAAAATGCCGTGTCAGCCCAGACGGCTTGGAGAAGAGCTTGCCACAGACAGAACACACTGGTGCCAATAAATGATCAAACAAGTACGCAGTAGCAGCAGTGGCAGGAGCGGTGAGAAGGCGTTCGCACGCACATGCCTTCATGAATCAAGTTGGCAGACGCACCGTGGTAGGGACGCCCATTTTTTTGAAGCGGTGGGTCAGCCACCAGGCGAGCCGCCTCTGGTAAAGGAGTCGAAATGGGCAGCTTCAGTCCCATATTGGAGAAAAAAAAGCGTATCGTCCCCAAAAGGAGATCACGGCATAAAAGGGGCATCGTTACCCGCAAAAAAAGAAAAAAAAAAAAAAAGCACAGGCATTCAAATGTCACCAAGAACCAAAGTGGCAGAGGAAAATCCATGCGACCCCTCCCCATGTCCCGACGTGCAAAAGGGGGACCAAGTCTGAGTCCGTACCAGGGTATTTCCCGATTGCGGGGTGGCCACGGTGCTGGGATTCGGACTGGCTGGGACACCGCTGCTGGGCGTCCGGGGCGCGGCGACTAGCGTCGTGGATGTCGAGTTTGTTTTAGCCACCTTGGTCACTTTTGCGTGGCTGGAGCTGGAGGAAGAGGCTGGCGTGCTAGTGCCCGACGGTCTTTTGGCACCAGGTTTTGTCCCACTCGTGTTGGACGCTTGCTTTCGATGGCTAAGCAAAGGCAGTTGGGTAGGGTCAGCTTTTGCTTGCGACCAATCATGATAGTACTTTGCACGACTGACGGACCTAAGTTGTTGACGATGTTCACGACACACGATGCGGCCTGCACGCGGTGCAGACACTTGGGCGTCTCGAACCACGGTCAAAAGTCCATGTTCATGGGCACTGCCGCCAAAGGCAACGACGCGTGCATCAAAGTCAATCCACATCATCACACTGGTATTGGCACAGCTCCATAGCGAGAAAAAGACGTACCACGAGGCATGAAGGCGATGGCTGCAGCCGCTATGAGCACACTTGATGGTGGCGCTAGACCGCGGGCTGTTGCAAATGGTGCAAACCTGCAGCGACGAGAGCATGTGGGCAGGCAAGAATGAGGCCAAGTGTTTCCGCTCAGGCTTGTACTTGAATCAGGGCTCGCAGCGGGAGCAGAGCTTACGCCTTTGCTCAGTTTGAGATCAGAGACCGTCACACTTTCCCACCAAGGCGAACCATTGATGATAAGACCCGGAATAAACATGGCACAGAGCACGTGGCAGAATTGCATGTCTGTGCACGGCATGGGGAGGAGATGGTGAAAAGCGCCCGGGGCACACATGAACAAGCCGGTGCAAAGGCTACCCGCGAGGAGACGTACCACCATCTTTTGGATTTGCGACTGGCAGGAGCGCCCCCGTCACTACCGGGCAGGCCACGCACTTCTGTGATGGTGCCAGACATGTCAATTAGCGAGATCACGTTTTTTTTTGAGGCGGCTCGATCGTCGAGTCGGCTGACGGCCAAGGCCGCCGGGGCGCGAACAGACCATTTTTGATGAGCGAATAGTCAGGTATGGGGTGTGGCGTCGGCAATACCAGTCGTGCTTGGGCACGCGCTCAACGCCATAGCAGGCTGCATGCACGAAGATGAACCGGCACCAAGGGGTTAGCTAGGCAGGAGGCAGGGCGGGGTAGGTAGGTGGGCATAGATCAAGCAGGCTTGCGGACCTTGGTGAAACACATAGCCACAGCTTTTGCATTTGACAACATCATTCTTATCCGAGACATCGTTTTGCTTGCAAATGACGCAGGGCAGGTCGGAGGTTGCCCCAGGCTCGTAAATCTCGTCGTCGTCCATCTCCATCTCCAATAGTCGTTCCGACTTGACGAAGAAGAAGAGGAACAACAACAACAACAGGCACCTAAAGTGACCAACTCTCAAGACGGCTGGCGACCGAGTCAAGCGCCCTTTTACGCACTCATGGCTTTACCCCCACTACCCCCTCGCTCAACTGCCACCCGCCCAAGGTACACACACAGTCAGCGACGGTGCCAAGAAAAAAAATGTCGCACGCTCTCTCTCTCTCTCTCTCTCTCTCTCTCTCTACGGAAGTGTGAGATATATCACACTCCGTCACGGAACAGATGCTGACAAAAGTAGAAAATGCTGACAATCAACCTGCTGTGAATATGAAGCGTCACAGAGATGAAAACCCAGCTCAAACAATTAGCGTTTACTCAAAGCGTCAAAGCGTAGCGGCAATACCCAGTGGGCGGTCAAGAAACACATTTGGTAGCAAAACAACACACATCGGACCAATGGCGGATCTGGATCTGGACGTCGCGGGCATCATCGACCGACTCCTCGAAGGTGAGTTTGTGATGACCGCCTCGGGGTTCGGCGGCTGTGCTGGGTCGAGGAGTTGGTATTGGGTGGGTCTTGGGTGGATGTGTGATTCGTGGGTAGAGACGCTGGATGGGCTCGCGAGGCTGCAGGGGCTGGTGCACAGCTGGGTTTTGTGCTCGAGCCTCGAGCCTTGAGCCTCGGGGGTGACCCAAGCGGGCTGGAAGCGGCACATGGGGGGAGGCTTGGCCTTGTTATTGCATCGTTTTTCGCTCGGATATCACGCATGCTTGTGGCCTACAACGCTGCCTGGGTGCCTGGTAACAATAGTCCGGGGCTGTCGGCCGGGAAAGACAGTGAGCCTCGAGGAGCGCGAGATCTCCGGGCTCTGCTTGTCGGCGCGCGAGGCCTTTCTGGCCGAGCCCATGCTCTTGCGCCTCCAGGCCCCAGTCAAAATCTGTGGTATGAATGCTGGGTCCTCTGAATCCCCGCTTTTTTTGTGCTCTTCAATGAGAGCCTTCCCGCTCTTCTTTTTAAACCCCACTGGACGCTTGCTGTTGGACAGGTGATGTGCACGGGCAGTACTATGACGTTCTGAGGCTCTTTGAGCACAGTGGCTTCCCGCCCGCCAGCAGTTATCTGTTCCTTGGCGACTACGTTGATCGTGGCAAACAGGTCCGATGATGTTGCCACTCTCATCCCGGCTCCCCCTTCCCTGCCACTCGGAGCTCATGGCTGTCAACGACCTGGGCGTGATCTTCTTGTTGTGTCGTGTCAGTCCTTGGAGACCATCTGCCTGCTGCTGGCCTACAAGGTCCTTTACCCGGACAAGATCTGGCTCTTGCGTGGCAACCACGAATGTGCCAGCATCAACCGCATCTATGGCTTTTACGATGAGTGTGCGTCCCGCAGCGATGGTGGTGGTGCAGAGTTGCTCGGAAGCGCGCGCTCAACTGCGTGATCAACTCCTGCATCCTGACTCCTTAGGCAAGCGTCGCTACTCCATCAAGCTTTGGAAAACCTTCACCGACTGCTTCAACTGCCTGCCCGTTGCTGCCGTTGTTGCTGACAAGATCTTCTGCTGCCATGGTGGCCTCTCACCCGGTCAGCTTCTCGCGTCCATGCTTGCTTTCCTTATTTTGGTTTTGCCGTTTCAAATCATCTCCAGATATCTTGTGCCACAAATATCAAGCCGCCTGTATTAACTTTTGTGCCTCTCGGTTCTGGCTCACGCGCCCGTGCAGACTTGCAAGCTCTCGATCAGATCACGAACGTGCAACGACCAACCGACGTGCCAGACACTGGTGCGTGCGACTAGTGATTTCTGTTGATACTCCTCTAGAGCTCTGTCTTTTGCTTATATCTTGCCTGTAACCTGTGGTCACCAGGCCTGCTCTGCGATCTGCTGTGGAGCGATCCCGAGCGCGAGGTTGAGAATTGGGCCGAAAACGATCGGGGCGTTTCATTCACGTTTGGCGCCGACATTGTGGAAAAGTTTTTATTACAGCATGACCTGGATCTTATTTGCCGCGCTCATCAGGCAGGTCAACGCCCGGCTGCATGGCCTTTGCTCCTTCACAGCGATCAAAAGCACATGGCAACCTGGCTGACATTGCCGTCCGGTCTGATTGATGACAGGTGGTTGAGGATGGCTACGAATTCTTCGCACAACGTCAGCTAGTGACTGTCTTCAGCGCACCAAACTACTGCGGTATGGCTTGATGACTCCTTGTGTGATGGCCCGTGCTGTGCACAGCTTTGGATTGCGCACATGAATTTTTTTAGGGCGCTGGCCTGTGGAGACTCACTTTTTCTTCTTGCTCTTCTTGTCTTTTTTTTTTTTTTTTGTTTTTCTTTTCATTCTTCATTGGCCGCTCAATTGTCCCAGGTGAATTTGACAACGCGGGTGCCATCATGACCGTTGATGCCAACCTCATGTGCTCCTTTCAAATCCTCAAGCCCGCTGACAAGAAGTCAAAGTATCGCTATGCCTCCGACCCAGGCGCAGCAGAGCGTGATGTTTTGCCTGTGGCGTAAAGCGCCCAACCGTGCTAGGGATATGCGCGCCGTCTGCTTGTGTGGGCATTGAAAGTGTCATCGTCCAAGGCATGCACGCGCCCTATGTTGTTCGTGTCCCCTTTGCACTTCCGTTCTGAAGCGCGTCCCCCAAACTGCTGTCGATCCCGTGCAGCTCAGCTGTGCGAGCCGATGTGCATTATTGTGATGTCCTATGCGTCGATAGCCCGGAAGATCCCGCCCGCCTCTTTGTTGTCCTTTGTCAAACAGCCTTGTCAACTTTATGCCGATCAATTTCATCATCTGGTCAGACCGGTGTGATATTATCTTATGCGCGCGTTGATGAATTTTCATGTCAGTATACGATGTTCTTTTTCTTATCACACGCCACATCTACGTATGGCGGAGGTTGCCTCGTGCATGGATCGAATGCGGCTGGGCTTACTCTTGGGCATTAGAGCATGTGTATGCCACTTAATGGAGTATCGCTCAACCGACTGCGCCGCTTGGGCTGGTTTCCAGGTCGCGCACCGGGCGGCGGGGTGGTGCGCGTCATGGTGGGCGATCCACAACGGCTGTCAGCGCCGCCGCTGACGAACACGTCCGACTGCGCCGAACCAGTCCGACCAAGTGGCGAGGCGCGTCGTGGTTTTGTCCGCGGGTCAAGGGGACTCCCGCCAGCATCAGGGTAAGCAGCCCCCTGTAACTCAGGCCGTTGACTTGGGGGCGCGCGCTCCAGTGTGTCTCGTTCAAAGATGGAAGCATCTGAAGCGCCAGACTTGGGAATGTTATCGTCCAGCATTTTCTCCAGGGGACGTGTGTCCCGGGCTGCGGTATCCTGAATGACCCATTGCATGGCCATGGGTTGGCCAGCCACCAAGGTGGTGCGATAAATATGCTGGAGAGGGTCCACGCCCGTCTCAAAGCGGTCACCCACCAGTTCAGGGGAGCGTCGGATCATGCCTACTTTATCAAGCATTGCGCGAGCGGTGGGGCGCTCTCTCAGGTTTGGGTGCCAGCACCGCACGAGCAAATCGTATAGAGGTCGCGGCATGTGCCGAATCGGTGGCAATCGGTGTCCAACCCCGACGTTCGTGGCCACGGCCAGATTGCTCCAGCCCTTGTAAGGAAGGCGCGCTCCCGTCCACATCTCGTGCAATGTTACAGCTGCGGCCCAGACATCACTCGCCTTGGAGTAGTGTCCGTAGTTCAAGGCCTCGGGACTGCACCATCGAACCGGGAGTTGGCCTGTGAGTTCCACATAAACCGATTGGTCGCGCTTGAGGCGACGGCAAAAGCCAAAGTCGGCGATTTTGGCCAATCCTTGTCCCAGCAGCACGTTGCGAGCGGCGAGATCACGATGAATAAATCCTTCTTCATGAATGTACTGCAGTCCATTCAAGATGTCATACGAGTACTTTAGCTTGCGAATGTCCTCCATCGTCTCGTGCCGCAGGACACGCTGCAGCGAGCCTTGCTCCATGAGCTCGAGGACCAGCATGATGGGGCGCTCGTTTGTGACAGTGTCCACCAGGCGCAGCACGTTCTGGTGGCTGAAGTATGTCATGATGGTGGCTTCCTCCAAAAACGCAATTTCCTGCTCCACACTGGCGGAGTGCTTGAGCAGCTTGACGGCGACCAGGTCTTCCTGGGAACCGCGACGCAAACGAGCCCGCCGCACCACGCCAAATTCGCCCTACAAAAATCCAATTCACGCGCGCCACACAACATCAAGCAAGGCCGTTGACACCAAGTCTGCACCTCATTGCTCTGAGAACAACGAGACATACCCGACCAAGGTCGTCAAGAAACTTGACATTGGAACCGTTGAGCATGCTAGAGGATGCACGGCGTAACTGCTGCAACTGGACATCGGCTGCTCGGTCACGGACGCGACGCATGTCGTGTGCATTCCGAACACTATCTTTGTGGCTCAGCCCCCGCAAAACGCCTGGCGTCTCATACTCGATGCCGTCCGAGTCGTCTGATGTCCAATGAGGAAAAGCCAGGGTTGGGGGTGAGGTCAGCCACGAGCCGAGGGAACGCGTCAGAATGGAGCGGGCTAGCACAGACAGCTATGTTCACTCGCACAGATCAGCATAAGCGCAGGCGTGGCCATTTGATATGAAGGACTGACCGTTGATACTGGAGGAAACGGGGGACACGGCAGCCTGCATGCGCGCCAGTTCCCGCTGCTGTGGCAAGTTGGCGCTGCGCAGCGAAGCCGTCATATTGCTCATTCGCGATACCGTGCGCTTTGCCCCGTCGGGGGGTGTGGTGGGCCGAAACAACAACGGGCCTGCACCGACCACGTGTGCCGGGATTGGCGGCTTGGTTAGGCCCTCAAGTGCGTCATTGTCAGTCGGATCTATCTGGGCTAGTGCGTATGGGTCGTTCTCTTGTAATGATGCTCGGTCGGGCAGCGCAGGGGGTGGTGTAGCCAGTCCGTCATTCGCCTCGTCCTCATCGCCAGTCTGGTTGCCCATTTGGTCATAGCCGCCCTCCAAGTCAGAAACGTCCGTTCCACCAAAACTCATGTAAGAATTGCCTCGACTGAGGTGGGCGGTAAGGGCGGATAAACGTCGGTGGCGCGGTAAACGCGCAGCGCTACCAGCCACCGAAGACTGGCGCGTGACGGACATGTACCCATCGCTGTCCGACGCTGCGCTCGAGTCGTTGCTAAAGAGGCTTGCATGCGATTGGGAGTGGCCCTTCCGACCGGTGCGACTCAAAGCCTGGCCACGACGTGGGACGTAGGACAGCCTCTCCGTTACTGCGCGCAAAGTTTTGAGATCCGCCTGTCGTATTGTATGTGCGAAGCTTGGGTGAGCCAGGTGATGATCAACTTCCACTACAGAAGCACGTAGCTGCTTTGACAGCGATGACTGGAAGAAATCAAGCTGTGGCCTGGGTAAGATTTGCGGGAGGGAGGCAACTCACAGTGGGAGGGGACTGGACCGAGCGGGCTGCGCGCACTAGCGCGGTCGGGGGCGCGGGGCTGATTTGTTGACGAGATGTAAAGTGAACCGGCTCGTTCACCTCAAGTTCGCTTGGTGTGTTATGGCCTGACAACTGAGGTGAATGGAGTACGTATCCCTCGTCTGCCGCTTTGGCGGTGGCTGTGGCACGCTTGAGTGAACCAGCTTGCCGAGCGCCTGCAACAGTGTGGCGACGGCCTGACCCACGCATGGGCGAGGTGGCCCGAATGGCCGCAACACCCTTGCGCGTGCCTCGCAAATCACGGTTGGCTTGAACAACAATGCTATTCAGTCATGCAGCACCAAATCGAACTCTCGTCAGCAAAAGTGAAGCCCATTCTGTGACACCCAGTGGACTACGAGCCACATGGAAGACTCCCGACATAAAGCCCAATAAGCGTCCGTGTTAAAAAAAAGACAAGTCGTACCTGGTTTGCAGAAAGTCTTGTGCCGTGTGCTCTAGACGCAGGGCTGCAGAAATGGTTTTCGGGTTACCCAAAGACGTGGAGCGAGGACGGGCGACAGGGTCGGCTTGCTTTTTCTGGCGAATGCTGCGATGTCGAAAAGAGCGCAGGCGCCGAGAAAGCGTGGCCTCTTCACCTTCTGCTTCCTCGACGACAGCCAACGTAGAATTCTGTTTGGGGCTGTACCAGGCCAAGGTGATCAGCGAATATGAGTTTGCCAGCTAAAGTGAGAATAGTTGATGAGCAGTGTTCGGAGGCAGAGGGCAGACGTTGCTTTGACGCACAGTTGAGCTTCCGGGGTGATTTGAGGAAGATCGTCAAACTCGCCCGAGGCTTGACGGATCAGGAGGTCATCCGCGAGGCTATCATAATGCAGGCTGCTATGCGCACTGCGCTGACCAACCGACGAAAAAGAGCTTCGCGGCATGATGCCGCGGCCCACAAGTAGGGGAGGGCCATGGCTCACTAGGCCCTGTGATTCGGGTTCACTATAGCCAGACGGACGTGTGCCTAAACGGGTAACGCTGGTGTGTGGGCCCATCACCTTTGACAAAACACATTCATTCCAAGGTGAGGTCAGGATTGACAGGCACGAATCGAGACTTTGAAAAGAAGCAAACAGAAGGTCGCGCCAGCGCCGACCGGATTGATGCCAATGGAAGATGCCTTGCTGGATGCACGCTCCTGCATGTGCATGGCATAGGCCGACTCGTCTTCCGGTGGAGGTGTAGACAAGGCCTGTACGTGGCGAAGCCAACGACACTCCAAGGAGAGCATGACCAGCTACATGCGGCAATCAAACGTGGTAAACATCTTCGCTTTTTTCTGTCGCGCGCATGAAACAAGGTGTGGGCCGAGAGCAATGGGCAGCTGGCCTACCGGAACCATCAAGGCCAGGATGCCATAAACAAGCCGCAAGGCAGGTAGGTCGCGATGTAGGTCCGGGAGCAAGTAAAGCAGGCTGCCACCGACGCCAGCTGTCAAGGGCACCACAAGGGACAACCACTGTGGTGTCGGTTGAGGTGTGAGGGCAGGCTGAGGTGTTTGGCAGCGGTTTTTGTCAACAATCTTGGTGTCTTACCAGTCGTAGAAAATGCCCCAGTGGAGTTGTGGTGCGGCAGAAGGCAACAATTAGCACCAGCAATACCAAGCCAACGACGCTTCCTAGAATGTACCAGTGCACTTGACTGGCTAGGCTATGCACGGGTAGCCAGGCGAAACCAAAGGCACTGTCATGCATGGTGTCGACAGGATCCGTGATGAGTTATGCGGTGCAAATTGATGGGGTTGACGGTTCAAAGTTCTGGCGCGTGCATAATAACAATAATAGCGGCCATGTTGGTGGTGACGGCGTACTTTGCATCGAGTTGTCGTAGGCCCACGACGACCGCAGCAGGCACCATCCATAGCAAGCAAACAACCAGACCACGGCGCAGCCAGGATCCGTGTCTCTGGTACGTTGATTGCCGGGGCGTCCAATACACGACCAGACTGGCCAACGCCAGCATATGCAACACTTGCGCATACTGGGCACCCATGAGAACAGAAGGGGCGACCTGTAGTTGAATCAAACATGAGGTGTTGCTACACGAGACAACGGGAACAACTGAAGGTCGAGCCTGCCCGAGGGTGCAAACAAATCATGGCGTACATTGGCCACCGTGGCGCTGTCCAGATCCGTGGCGCGCAAGAGAGCCAGACCCGCCACCAAGCTCAGGCAGGTGGCCAACATGAATCCCAATCGGTACAGCTGGGCAAGACACCCGAGTGACATGACGAGGAAATGAGGTCGAGGTGGCATGCGCATTCTCATGCATCGAGTATGCACTACGCACCTTGAGTGGCCATCGAGCGGGTTGGCAGCCCACCATGACGATAAGGATAAGGCACAGAAGAATTGCAAGCAGCAACAATCCTAGAAAAAACGAACACCCCCAATCATGAGTAAGCGCTGTCCCAGTGCATATATTTGCACAACCACCCGGGTTGCCCAGCCTCAGAGCAAAGAGAACGTAGCGAGCGCCTTCAAAGCTGCCAGCAAAAAAAAAAAAAAAAAAAAAAAAAAAAAACAAGAACGAAACGAACAAACAAAAACTAACCAGCAAGAGCGTGGTCAATGCGGTTGTAGGCACGAGCTGGGGCAGTGTTGGCGACGGGTGCTGTCGTGGTAAGCGTCAGGGCAACACTACTGGGTTGCAGCTGGCAATGACAAGTCCAAAGCCCGGCACTCAGGTTGATGTCCAGGGTACATGCAACATCTGCCTCACACTTGGCCTGTGCAGGGACGGCCAAGACTGTGGTACCATTGACGGCGAGGGTGAGATTGATGATCTGGGTGTTGTTGGTTGTTTGTATTGCGCTCATCTGCAGGTCCACCAGGTCTAATGCAAGGCCATGGGTGGGTGGATCGATGGACAAGATGAGGCGCAATAGCGCCTGGTGAGCCTGATCCTGGCGCTGCAGCGGGCCCCACAAGCTTGCCACATTATACTGAACATCAACCGGGCCTGCAGTCAAACCCCCGGGCTGATTTGCATCAAAAAGCACGGTGGGAAAGATGTGATGGCGACCGTTGGGGTTACTGGCGGGTAGATAGGCTGCCAAGCACAGGGCCAACTGCATGCTTTCCTCTGTCAAAGCCTTGGAGGTGGTTGACGATGGCGTCGGCGTGGTTCCATTTTCCGTCGCAGCCAGTGTCCACTGCGTGAGGACAGTCATGTCAAATGTTTTCGCGTTGTCGATGGCGAGCGTTGCATTGGGGGCCCAGCTTAAAACAAAGTGGTCACCAGTAGTCATCAGCTCTGGAGCGGGCCCCATCAGAAGGGCAGCCTGGACGGCGGCTGCGTGCCACGCCCAGGGCTCTGGGGATGCCAGGGCTGTGTTCGGAGCAAGAAACAGCGCATGTGCCAGTTGCACATAGACTTGGGCCATCTGTGTAGACCCCGCGTCTGGATCAGGGATCTTCCAGTCAGCCTGAAGAAGAGCGTCGAAAAGGTCGAGGTGCGTCTCGAGATCTGCGATGGTAAGATTGGCGGCGGCGGAGGCATCGATGGCAGTGGAGGCGCGTTGCACCAAGCGGAGAATTTCTGTCACGTCAGTTGAACCAAGGGGCAAGGCGCTGCTGGCAACAATGGTGGCGGCACCGGCAAGCCGTTGGCGGCGAGCGGCTGCACTCGTGGGCGCGCCCGTTGCCCAGTCACTGGACCAACCCTCAAGGCTAGGGATGGCGCATTGAGCGTAGGATGGCTCACTCCAGGCCTGCAGCAGACAGAGAGTGGTGGCCTGCTGGGCGGATGCACAACAGCTGCGACTTGCACTGCCTGTGTGTGGTGACGGGCAAGGTAGAGTTGTGGCGCGCCCAGACGAGGTGGCGGGCCACGTCAGGCCGTGTGGACCGATGCTCTCAAGGCAAGTCCCGGCCACACCCAGCTCGGCCCATGGCTCAATCAAAGCGAGTCCGAGGAGTAACAGAAGCGGGTGAGCCCAGCGGGGTGCATTCAAGGAAGGCATGTCGTTCCGACGGCACGGCGCCATGGCAGTTGCGGGGCAAAGGCGCAGCCGACGCCTACTCGCGCGACGAGACGGGTTCCCGGTTTGTCAACCCTAGCTGGCCTGCTTGCTTGCCATTGCGCCTTCAGCCAGCTCTATTCGCCAGAGGGGCAGACTGACCACCCAGGAACAGAAGAGCACAGCGGATCGGGTAGGGTTGCACCCAATGCACCCTCGGCGAGGACCAATCGGTAGTAAGGGGGGGGGTGCGAGTGGCGCCAGTCAGTGATACTGAAGCCTATCAACGTCCGGCCTGCACCGAGCGCTGAGGCTGGGCTTCTCGCTTCAAAATTTGTGTCGTCCTCCACGCACCCCGATCTTCTCCTCCTGGTGGTGGACCACAAAGCCTGAACAAAATCCCGTTCCACACACATACTTGCGAGCTCTTCACCACCCTGTGCCTTCATATTATCATTCCCGCTTCATGTCCGATCCGCAAGTGGACTCAAGACCACACCCATCAAGGCAGTCCCCGGCGGACACATGAGTTCGTCCGGTTCGCCGTCCGCGCAAAGTCGGTCACTTGTCTGACAAAAACAAGACCGATAAAATCTGACAAAGGAGATTGTGTTGATAACATATGTTGGAAACAAAGCACGTTGATCTTTTGATGAAGACGTGTGCTTGTTGTTTGGATTTTTCCCGTTTGTGTTGAGGTGAGCGGCGGCTGAAATGGCAGCGACGTCGGTGCTGTTGGCAATGGCGGTGTGGTTATATCAGCTCGCCTTTGTTGCTTGAGGAGAAATTGCAGTTTGCATATGAGTTGTGCCGTCTTTTGTATCGCTGTATCATCGCGCAGTGTGTCAAGGCATATGAATTTCTCATCCTCTCGACCATGGCTGGCTGGGCCCGTGCGTCCATGCAGCGGTCGTCTGGCTGTGCTTTGTGCCTCCATCGCACATACATATACGCGCACACGCGAACACGAACACCCATAGACCATCAGCATGATTATTCCCGTACGCTGCTTCACCTGTGGCAAGGTGATTGGCAACCGCTATCAAGAGTATCTGACGCTGCTCGAGTCATCACGCACTGAAGAGTACGTCTTGGTGCCACGTGTTGTCGTTTTGAGATGCTGCACCTGTCACAGGCCGCTTACAAACGTGTCGGGTGTCGACGGATCTTATTTCTCTCTTTTGCCACGACCCACTGAGATAGGGAGGCTCTCAACGAGCTCAAGCTCAAGCGTTACTGCTGCCGCCGCATGGTGCTCACGCACGTCGATCTGATTGAGAAGCTGCTCGAGTATGCGCCTCTTGAGAGCGGCACCAACTAGGCAATGAACAAGTCTTGTAGCAGTGCCTCTCCATGTTTTTGTTTGGTTTTGTTTATGCTGGTCTCCAGACCTCTGTCATCTGCCGCCAGAGGAGCGCATACGTCCCCGTCTGGTGTCACAACCAACAAATGACGTGCCATGCTTGCAGTGAGGTGGCCGCTGTGGTGCCCACCTCGTTGACCGTGTGTGCGCCTTGCCCGGTTGTTTGTGAGCTTGATGTACGGGCCTTGAGCTCTCAGCTCATGCAAATTCTGTGATGTCTTGCGTCTCCAACTTGACTCTTCTGTTCTGAACAGTCTGTATTTGTTCGTTCCTCTTGCAAGTCTTTTTCCCTTGCGATCCGACTGTGGTTCTTTTTTTTTTGATGTGCCTCTTTTCTTGCCGAGCAGCTTAATCTGTGTTGACCCCGTCGTTTGTAGTGCCGACTGCGCCGTAATCCTGTGTTGTCTACTGTGCCGTACTTCGTCTTCTTTTACCATGGGCAGTCGTGCGTGCCGCGTCTCATAATTGAGATGAGAAAGCGCAAAACATTTCATTTCACATCTGAATTCCAAATGTCTCGTCCCATGTTTCGTCCACTTTGAGTCAGCTCTTTATAGTCCCCATCCTCATTAGTATTTTTTTTTTTCCTTCGATTTGGGGTTTTCCATATGTTTGCCTCGACATGTAGAGAGCGAGCACAAAGATCTTATTGTAGTTTGGAGACCACTCAAGCTTAAACACGCCACGGCTCACTCCACGCTGGGGTTTCGTCGCATCCATCTTTTGGCCATTTACACACGGTCCACAAAAACAGCAAGAGCCAAGTTTGTTTTGACACGCTTGGCTGCTTATCGGACGTTGACAATGTCATCAATCTTCATGATGCTGCGGACGGTTTCAGCAGCCAGTGAAATGGCGCTCATTGACACGAGCAGGGGCTGCAGCACGTTCTCCTCCAAAATGTTTGTGATCATGCCCTGATAAAAGTGGCCAAGCATTTGGAAAAAAAAAACATTCAAACAAACCAAAGAAGCCAGTGTAAGCGCAAGCAAAGCAGGCCAACGACAGGCGGTGGAAAAATAAACGAAAAGCTTTTGTAAAAACGAAGAATGCACGGAACAAGCAAAGCAAGACACAACATGATATACCTTGCGGACGTTAATGCCAGCAGTTTGCTCGCCCTCCTTGTGCTTGGTGCGCAGCGCCGTGACGGTGGAGATGGGGTTGAGGCCGGCATTCTCGGCCAATGTAAAGGGAACAACCTCAAGGGCCTCGGCAAAGGCACGCATGCAGTAGGCCTCAGCTCCCGTGAGAGTCTGGGCATGATCAGCAAGCTTCAAGGCGCACTCAATCTCTGGGGCACCACCACCAGCAATAACAGCTCCCTTCTTGACAAGGCAGCGGATGACGCACAGCGCATCGTGGATGGAGCGCTCAGCCTCGGCCAGGACAAGCTTGGAGCTACCCCGAACGATAATGCTGACCGTGCTGGCCTCGGCAGCAGCACCCTTGAACTGGATGACCTTGGTGTTGCCAGTGGGGACCTCCTCCACGAGCTCGGCCGCACCCAGCATGTCAGGGGAGAGCTCATCAACGTTGGCCACGGGGCGGCAGCCCAGAGACTTGGACAGGAACTCGACCTCATCGCGCTCAATGTCCCGGACGACAAGAATCTTCATCTTGGCCAAAAAGTGCAGGGCCAAGTCGTTGACGGCATCACGCAAGATTGATTTCTGAATGAGCAGGACGTTGCAACCAGATTTTTTGATCTTGTTGCACAAGTTCAGGATGTACTTGCGCTCCTCCTTGAGGACGCGGTCCATCTGACTGTAGTCGGAAACGACAATCTGGTTGTCCGTGTCCGTCTTGGGAGGGGAGAGGCAGAACTGAATCAGGCCAATCTTGGCCTTCTCCATTCGGTCCAGACCAGAGACGCGGTGGGCGAAGCGCTTGTTGAGCACCACACCACGCACCAACTCTGTCTCCTCAACGACACCACTGATGGTGAAAGCAAAATAGAGAGGGAAAGAGAGAGAAAGAGAGAGATCGTGAGGTTGGAAGTGAAGTGGAGCAGATCTACATCAACATGGGGCAAGCCACGAGTGTGAAGATGAACATACTCGGCCTGAAGGATCTTGATATCCTTGAGGTCCACGTTGTGATGCTCGTGATCCGCCACGGCCAGAACAGCATCCACCACGATCGGGGCAATCACATCCGAGCACATTGAGACGACCTGAGGGAGGGCAGAAAGACAGAGTGCAAGCATTCAAGGAGAGGGTCAGCCTGCATGACACACAGTGAAACTCAAAAGAAATACAGAAGCCGGGTCAACTCAAAACGAATACAGAAGCCAGGTCAACCCAGCTCACCTTGGAGTTGAGACTAGTACCGGCAGCCTTCAAAAGAGCTTCACGATCAAGCATGTCAATGGGCGTGGACATCTACACAAAGATAAACGGTAATGGTAAGTACGCGCAGTAATGCCCGAGGCCGCCGCCAAATTGTGCATTGCACCAGCAACTGTCATGAATAATTTCACTTCTGCACTCAAACCTCCGTACCTGTTCCAAGATATCGCAAGCCTTCTTCGCCGCGGTGCCAAAAGACACGGAGATTGTTGCCGGGTGAATGCCCTTGTACAGGAGCTTCTCGCATGCGTCAAGAAGGCTGCCTGCCAAAACGACAACGGAAGTTGTGCCATCACCAGCCTCGACATCCTGTGCCTTGGACAACTGAACCAGCTGCAGAAAACGGAGGGCATGGTCATTTGACGTTAATAAACATGAGTGGAAAGACAAAGGGGCTCGTCGAAGCGTTGCAGGTGACGTGCCATCTTCGCGGCCGGGTGCAAGACTTGAATGAGTTCAAGAATGGTGGCGCCATCGTTTGTGATAGTGACACCGCCGTCGGCATTCTGAATCATCTTGTCCATGCCCTTGGGGCCCAGACTGGTACGCACGGCATCTGCCACGGCTGCAACAGGCGAGCAGAGCGTTCCCCGACCAAAGCAAGAAGAGAGGCGCACATCGTGGGTGAGACGGAGTTGGATCACTGGCGGCGGGCAAGGCCGCGGGTCACAAGGGGACTGCAGCAGCCATCACACAACAACATGGGGAAACAAGGCTCTGGCACTCGGTTGCCAATGGGTGGTCCAAATTTGGTCGCATCGTACCCTTGGCAGCAGTGATGTTGCTGAGGCGAACCTCCATAGGCTTGGACTTGTCGTTGTAGACGCCATCCTGGGCGCTAGTTGCAGCGGGGGCCATACTGGATGGTGCTTTGCACTAAGTCGACTGAAAGGAAGGTAACAAGGAGAAAAGGTCGCAAAGCGACAGCTCGGGGCGCAAGAGCAAAAAAAAAAAAAAGACGAAGTACACGTGTGGGCAACGGTCTTCGGCGTCGCACAATAAAAGCCTGTCAGCACATACAGAGGCACACAGGAAGGAAGGATCCGAAAACCCGACAGTGAGAGGCGATGCCGTGCTGAGCGCCTGCTACAAGGCAGCCAAAGACGTCGGGCCTGACCTGACGTTTGCTCGAGATGAGCAAACGTCAGCATGAACACAGAAAAGACCGAGGCAAACACGGGCCAATGCAAAGCATCAAACTGGTCTCCCAAGCCTGAATGGTTCCACGCCTCTCGTGTCTGCCTCAGCCTCTGCGCGCCCAGGCCCGAGCCCCGCTGCCATTCTTCTTCGTTCCCATCACACACACACACACACACACACACACACGCTCTGAACTTTTTTTTTTTTTCGTTTTTTTTCAAAGAGAGAGACAGACACACACACACGCTGGTTTGAGCGGTCGCTAACCTTGGAAGGTCGAGTAAACTGCAAGTCTGTCATTTGACACACTCACCCCTGACAACACCTT